ATGTCGCGCTCTAAACTTTTATATGTGTTATTTTTTTATTATTATCTTAATATTTAAACACGAAGCTCCGACTCTCTACGATACTTTAAACAACAAGTAACCATTCTTCCGTATATTGTATGAGTGAGTCTCACTTCCTTTTGTTCTTAAACTTCAATTGGCACTTTAAAAATTCAAGACAAACGCTTTTAAGTCGTCTCGGTGAGGGTGTAGTAAAAATAACTGGAGCCCCTACGAGCTCGGAGGTACCTCGTCTACCGGTGAAATATCTAGACGTTGACTTAGCTGATGGGGTTATTGGATAGATAAACTATAAACTAAAGTCTGCTCTCAGAAGACTTTAAGACATCGCCTCGTCGCAAATAAGATAGAAAATCTCTGAAAATAACCGTTCGGTTATCTAAGTCACTAAAATTAGATTCGAGATTAAAGTTTACCGGTCTGTAGTCACCGATGCTCAGTCAAACACTTGTTAACTTTTCATCTTAACAGCTGAATAGTAATAAAGGTTGATCGATCACGAAACTTTTTCAATAAAATGCAATTCAACATGAGTGCAGAGTAATATTAAGTCGTTGGGACCATAAAAAACTTTCATACTTTTATGTTTTTAGGTTCCCGAATATATTTCTGTTCCCTTATGACATTTCCTTGATAAAATCAAGTTAACTATTAGTTTAGTGTTTGACAAAAACAGTTTAACACAAGAATTATTGTATAATTTTAACATAACAAATATTTATTTTTTAATATTAAAAATATACGCTTAGTAATTTAATATAAAATAATAAAACAAATATATTAAAGCTCGATGGTATCAAAGGAATAAATTACAGCAGTAAAATAACTAAAATAAGAAATAACAGCCATCACACGCCGCGCTTCCACCAACCGTCTCGAGTTTCCAATTATATCTCTTTTAGTTCAGCCAACTCATATAAAAGTTTTAACCCGTGTCCTTAACTAGATCCCACGATGCTTCATATAAGGCTATAATCATTTGAAACTAATCCATAACTACTCCATCGCAGATTAAAGCTCCAGCTGATATTATGAACGAAGATAATGGCGAGCGACTTGTACCTACTTTATTGACTTTTATATAGATCATTAACGTCTCAAATTGAAACAAATGTATACTTATAAATTCAATTCAAAACAGATACTGCTTTAAATAACAATATATCTAAACTTTACGATCTATATTTTTCATATTAATAACATTTCCATTGAACTACATACGAGTATAATACAATTTGATTCACAACCATATCTATAGTGCGATACAGTGGTAATGTTATTCAAATTTATGTAAATACCATGAAATCAGATGCAAACCGGAACCGAACACCGAACACGGTTATGAATATCAAAAGTGCTGTAGGTGCAATCACGTCACTGAAAAATCATTTCAATTTGGCAGCAGAAGTCGGGTGGAAAATGGTTGTACGGCGCGAACAGCGGTAATATGCTATTACCATCCTAACAATGTTACTGCCGACTTAATTCTGCCCCGGGCTCTACGGACAGATTCGCTAATTTCTCTTATGTGCGACGAAGAGCATCGATACTCGATTTGAATGTATGAATGAAACCTCAGGTGATATCAGATTAGTACTACTAAATGCGTTTGAGGTTTGAGGTTTTTAAATTAACTGCATATCAATTAAATATCGTAAAAAATATTTATACAATAATAAATATAAACGAATTATTTATATCTTTTTCTATTTTATTTTACTATATGATTTTGTTTTAATCTGATATGGTATATAAATTTAGTTATAGCAAAAGAAAAAGTTTATAATTAGCTTATTTATTCGTTGTTTAATATCGTGTATATATATAATAGTTATAATGTTGGAGGGTGTGTTTTATATATAGTGACATTGCACAAGACAGAGTATTGTCTTAAACATTGTTGCTGAAAGGCTCTGAATAGAAGCAAATCCCCGAGGACCCTAATGGTTTCTCTGCGTGTATAGTGTTCTTGGTGACATCACATTCAAAGGCGCTATTAGCAAGGCACACTGATAGACCTAAATCGGGTTTAGTTGACCGCTACTGCCACTTATGAATACCATCGTCGGGAATTGATTTCGTTCAATGTTAGCTCAAATTAACATGTTAAACTTTTAACTTTAATCACTAGTAGTGAAATCTTTTAAAGATTAATCTACAAGTATTTTCGTGATCATCTAATAGGAATTTATCACAAATTTACCAAGAGAATTTTCTAAGAGATTGAAAATAATTTTAAATCGAAATCACCGCGCTCCGTGTCGGTATTTCCTTATTGAGAGAATGGCGTCAAATCCCTCACCTTCAAAGAAACGAGGAGATAGACTGCCATTGAAGTCCCGAGTGAACATCAATGCCTATTGCCACGTCGCTTATCTACAATATACGGCGTGAGAAAGGCGTCGTGGGAGAAGATCTCGCTTAAAGGAGAAAATTATGCAGCCGACTGAACAATTATAGCTAAGTCAAATCGGTTCATCGCCAACAATATGTTATTTAATCACTACGACGTCTTGCCACGCGTCAATAAGGCAGCAATCATTTTGGGAACTCATTGGAAAATCGTTTATCGTGCTTCATAATAACTTTCACACATAGAGAGTATTATGACATAGTAACCCTGTTTTTGTATTTAATAAATAAATATATAGATGATAACCTACAGTCGTTAAGGTTTATGTATGATTAACATCTACCAAAAATTCTCGGGACAGCGTATGTACATTTCTAGAAATGTTCACTCGAAAAAACAAACGTAACAGTGTTATTTTAATAAGGAAAATACCAGCACATATTCTATGATTATTAACAAGTGAGATAAGGGCCCCATATGTCGACGGAGTTGACAATCGTTTTGACAGGCGGCCGGCTGAGGGCGCTGGCACGCTATGGGGGACAACATCCCACTGACATTTTATTATTTTTATGTTAATTTCCCACTCGAACCGTGAAAAATGTAATTTGAAACCTCTTTTTCCTTTCACGCCGTCCTGTATCTGCTGTATAAATATTTTAACAAACATTTTTTAATTCAAGTCACCTTCAAAACGGGCGAGTAGATTACTGAGTACAATTGTGTTAGTGGGCGTTAAATCTAATACTTATCGCGACATCTTCCCTAACTCCGTATAAAACGTAACTCGACCGGGTACGAACACGGGCGAATAATTTTAATAGCTAGCTGACAGATTATTTCAGAAAATTAAATTTTAGCTCGTTGGACACAGCCCATAAAGTTCATGCTTACAAATCTCTTTGTTATGGCATCGTTACAAGATTATGTCCGTCCGTAGTGAAGACGTCGCCATGTCGTCATGATATCGCATGTTTTATTATTTTATGCTATAAACGCTCCGTCCGCCCTGTTTAATTACACAGAAACATTTTAATGTACAGCATTAAGAAAACAACAGATTCTATTATGACAATTTGACAGCCACTAAAATTCAGTAATGGCGCCATTTTCGAAATTTAAAAAATTACATTTTTTATTATTCCGATATATATTTTTTAGTACTTGAATTAAAATGTCACAGTCGAGCCGATGAAGCTGTCAGATGTAATATGGATTGTTTTATAAATGTTAAATCCGTCAATCACACGCAACGGCCTCTTCGCAGTGTCACGTGTTCACGTGGCCCAAACTCACGTTCCGTACCCGTACATCTAACTGTTGCCGGGCTTCTGTTTGTACTTATACTCAAGTTTATTTGTGGACAAAGAGAAGCCTGCCGTGACCTCGGCTCTGACGAAATCAACGGAAACTTATTCGTTAAGTCACGCGTACATCAAATTAAATTTAATAACTTTTTATACTTAAACATTACGTTGCAAGGCTTCATGGTTACACAGCAGCTACTTTTGCGTTTTATAAGAACTTACACAATGGAAAAAAAAACATAGATTAAATATAATGCGGTCAACTAAATATTTATTTTAAAAATACATAGTTTGTTTTATTGAGTTTGTTTTGTAACGCTATACGTTAAATTAAACTCATAACTTATTCTGCTTTCACCGCACTCGTTAATTCGATGGGACATTACAACATTAACTTTGAAATGTGGTTACAAAATTAATCCGAAGTTCACAATTAACTAGTTGTCAGATGAAATGCGTGTTCCTGAAAATTATAGTCGCATTACACTGCGCTACAAACAGTACATTAAAAAGTCTAATTAATTTTTTATCCATATATAATACACGCTATATGAATATACCCCTACAAAACATGTCCAGTCACTTCATATTTCCCCAGTGTCCCCTAATAATGTTATTGAAATAATTATTAACAACAGCGTCGACCGAAACGCGTTGGTTAGTTTTAATTACCCACGGAAGCGATGTTTTATACAAAGGAAAACAATCCGAATTAAATTTATTACTATATTAACTATATTTATTTCATACATAAGACACAATGAATATATCCTATTATAACGTTTTGGAGTCTAATTAAAACTACGTGCTGTTCTAATGAGATCAGGCTCTGAATGTCACAACGCATAAATCCAGTGTAATGAACGCGGCGTCCGTTAAATAGCGTGGAGTCCGTCAAATTGCTCACAATGCGATTATTCCATTATGAGGAACCTGAAATGAAACACCAACGTTTAAGTCGTTTAATATTATTTTTATATTTACACGGAATATTTAGAAAATATTAAGCTTTCGTGTTGATATATACATAAAACAGTTTAAGCAAATACTTGACTAACAGTCGAAAATGTTCGTTGTATAATTATTTTTATTATTTATGAATTAATTTTTTCATATTTAGCTAAGTTACAAACGTAATCATCTTTTTTCATTTACATTAAAATTATTTACCGTCTGCTACCAAATACATACCAAAGTAGTACATAGTATTTTAGAAGAAATGAATCAAAACCAATTCTTATAAGCCATAGAGACTGAAAACATTATGACATTTTAATGAAGTATAGCAAACATTTATATATATGTTTTTTGATTGTCAGTCTGTCGCAAGTCCGCCGACCATCGCAACTGGATCCTCATGGTACAAGAAGTGTTCTGGCTCGAGCACTCGACATCTGGGAACAAGCCTCCAGGCTCACCTTCACGGAGATCAATTCAGATGAAGCTGACATCGTCGTTTCCTTCGCCAAGTAAGTTGAAAAAAAAAACATTAATTCCAAAGTCCTTTCAATCAACGATTTCTATTAGAAGTATATTAGCTTTGCAATAAATAGTTTACAAATATGGTATAAATATGGAGTTATCACATCGAAAGGCTTTTAGGAACCTTATTAACATCGAGTACACGCCTAACCTAAATTTGTAAAAGCATTTTTAATTAACTAATATGATCGTGTTTACTCCTACAAAAATGATGTTTTCGCATTCAAGACAAAGCATTTTCACTCATGTAACACTGCCGAGCTGTCGCTTTGTTTTTTTTTTACAAAACAGTTTTCAAAGAGAACGTCATACAGTCTAAAAGTAGCATTCGATACTCGTATTTAAAAAAAATCTGACATTTTTACTATATACCTATTTAAAAATAAGCAATAACATTTTGTGATATATACAATAAATTTATTATATAAAGCTTTAATCAAAAAAATATGGAATATAACAGTAACAATTCTATGTCACTTACTTTTTTGAATGGATTCGAACAAAACAAAATACCGTAGAAAAAAAAGTAATTTATTTAATTTAAGCAGTATTAACAGATCACAAAACTTAGATTCGTGTACTGATTCCTTGCGTTGATAATAAATAATAATCAAGTAAGGATTTAGCTGACACGTTCTATCCATTTAAGGGGGATTTGCGACATTTTCGTGCCAGGCATCACAAGAAAAAAAAAAGAAAATAAACTAAAAGCAATCTGTGGCCATACGAAATTTAAAACATTTTAAACGAAAAAAATAACGTACCTAAAACCTTCTAGATGAAAAAGACAAGTGATATTAATAATGTTTTTATATTAACATAAAAAATAATGTCGCCTTAAAATTGTTTAAGTTTTAGATACTGTAATATACCCACCGTTTGCTATTCAAGGTGAAGCTTTACTTTCTCTATTTAGTTTTGCTGAAAGGACGTGACTTGCTAAATTCACTTTACTATTAATCTATTGGGTCCTAGCCGGGGATCGTATTAAAGAAAAAAAATGTTTAAACTAGATAATATGAAACAGTTGTGACAATTGATTAATTCTTACCAACAAAAGTCGTAATATTTTGTACGAAAATATATGAAATTATATAAAAAATACAAACAAGGTAAGCGAAGACACGACGTCCATATAAAATAGAATAAGCTGAACACAAAGTTTCGCTTATTAGATCACGGTGGACGCTATATGAAGAACAAGCGGCGCGGCGCGGCGTCTGAAACCTCAACAGATGACATATTGCGTCCGCCATATTGGACGTTGCAAAACTTGCACTTGTTTTCTGTGCTCTAAATAACATTTCTTTTACGAAACTAAAGCGAGCACCGAATAGCAAGTTCACGCTGATACTTTTATTAGTTGCGACGGGATACTCTCGAATGCTCGACACGACCACTGATATCACATGATAACATTCTACAACTTTCAATATACTTACGATTTACGTTCAGAAATAAAGACATCGGGACCACCGAGCTATAATGTATGGAAACCTTAACAATATAAATAAATGATAACGTAGTTTTATTTGCGAAAAAATATAAAAAAAAATACATTTAGAAACATAAAAGTAATAAAATTTTAAAATATTATTTAAATGAAATTCTAATAATTGTTTTAAAGTATGATAATCTGTGGATTGTAACAGAATTCGTCTACAAAATTTATATTATATATATTATATGTTCAAGTTGTAATTATTTGTTAACATATTCAATACTGAACGACTTATAAAAATATCTTTATATATTTCACTCAAAGTTTTAAATTGAATTTAACTTATATAAAACTAAATTTCGTAGTTATAAAAGATAAACCCACTCCTTTAAAGCATTGAGTGTTATATCATAAAGACAGCCATGGTGGGTAGACACCATCGACGCAATAAATCATCCTTGAACACGGAAACTTTCCATAGGAACCCATTATATTGATGGCGTATATCAGCACTACACTTTCCCATTCCACGTCACTGAAAAGGGTGTATGGATAACCTTGTTTCCAACCAGCTTTTAATGACTTTATTTATCATAACATAAACAAAACATTTTTTTGATATATCTATATTATTGTAGATGAATTTGAATATCTATTAAATTTAATACAATAAATATTTACTGAATAATATTTATAGTTTTAATCGTTTAGTGGGCAGTTTGTAATAGTGTAGTGTAGAGTAAGTTGCTTTCAGTTAGCCTTATTATTCAAATAAAAGTTATATAATAGTAACACATATTGGCCTCATTCCTATAAACTTAAGTACTTTCATACTTGTCCAGCTATATCGATTAATGGCAGAAGTTTCTTCTTAGTAGCTAACAGCTAATATTCAGTGAAATATTCATAGACAATGTCCTTCTACTATTTTGTTTTGTGGGAAAAATTATTAGATTGGAGTCAAACCCTGGGGAATGGAAGTTTGATTGCTGTTCATACTCACGCCGGCCGCCGCGTTGAAATGAATACATTAGTTTATTTTCATACAGAAAGCTCATTTTACAGCTAACAAATGTGAACTGTACTCTCACACAACGCAACTTAAAAGTACTTTTAGATTAAAACATTTATTACACTGAAACTCTCATATAAAATAATTATTTTTAAGCAGCACTTTCATTAAATGCAAGTATAAGAGACGAATTCTTACTACTTAAGATCATGCTATCGCCTTATCAGCATACGTTAAACACTTAACTGAACATGTTCCGATGATTCTCTTTGTACCTTTTGATAGTCTAAAAACATATCAACTTTGAACATAACAGCTTGAGATAAAATCAGTTCCTTAAGTCTCACACACTTTTAAAGCGTCTCTTTATTAGTATTTTAAAACAACACAATCTGAGTTTTATAGCTTCATCTTAAAGATTTTCAAGAATGCTTGTGGAGCAGATTCCTCCGACGTTGCATAAGCTTTTCTATTTTGCTTAGAGCCCTTACAGCCAAAACGCCATGTTGGCACAAAGCGATAATAAAGAGTTTAAGTTTTTCTCAAAATGTGTGCCGCATATACTGTCTTTACCACGTTATTCTGAAAATCTTTTTCTTAACAGTTTTCTTTTCAAAGTTCCGAAGCCATTAAGCTGCATTATTCTAGAAATATGACAACGATCTTAAATATTTTATACTTACACTAAACATTTTATGTAAATCTGTGTGCTTGAATTCTTTTGTGCTATTCTAGGATAACTTACATCTTCACATAATATTTAGACTACATTGTTGTGTTCATTTCGTATATCATAACTTTGTATTTAATACATTGTTCCGTACGTTTAATTACTTTTTTATAGCTATACAATTGTAATTTTCTTAAGAATATATCTACATCAGACTTAATCAGTGTCATAGAACAATACAAATTATATATAATTAAATCATCAAAAAATTTCATATTAACATTAATTAATATTCCTTTAAAACTTGTATCTTGTTTACGAGATTTTGGTCTTATAAATCTTATAAGACATCACTGGAAGCTTTGAAAACTGTATGTAAAGAAATTTTAATGTCATAGTCTTAACTTGACGCAATAAAAAATGTTATTTTTGGTACAGCATCTAGTATATTATTATGTCAAACAAAACTGTCATTTAAAACTAAATAAAGCCATTGACCAAGTATTAAAAAATCATTTTCATATTAACAGACGCTACCACGATGACGCGTATCCCTTCGACGGCCGTGGCTCGGTGTTGGCTCACGCCTTCTTCCCCGGAACTGGTAGAGGTGGTGATGCTCACTTTGATGACGACGAACTGTGGCTCTTGAGACCGAACAACGACGATGAGGAAGGTACGTAGTATCAAATAAATATATAATATTCAAATACACTAACAAATTAACAATACTACTGACTCAGTTGTTAGAAGTATATTTTTTAATTTTCTGTGTCATATGTCGTAACTTTCATATTAAAATAAGTATGTTTATTCTAATAAAATAAAGCATAATATAAAGACTTTAAAAACAATGCAGTTTTAGTTAAAAACTAATCCACTTTAGGTTTCATCGTGCCAGATAGTTAATTAACCTGTGTCGAAGCGGTAGTTTTTCATGAGCTTCGTAGGAAATGAGTATGTCGCGGTCAGTCCATGTTTTGACATGCAAATGGCGAGGCAGGGCTTTAGGCTTGCAAAATCAATGTACCTCTAATGTACATTAGGCCCATTACAATACAATTTAAGCTAATAATTTGCAAAATGAATAAAATTTTTATAGTCAATATATTTATAAAGCGCAAATAGAATTTTATTTAGCAGTAGGTATTAAATTGTTCTTATTTGTTCATTTAAAGTGTATCTATACTTACTGACTAAAGTAAATACTTCCATGAAAGTAGTTTGATAGAATAAAATATGAACTATAAAAGATACATTCGCCGGTGTTTACTGATAATCCAGTTGGTCGCATGTGGAACAAACACGCTTGTAATATAACAGTATAAAGTATATAGTGTATTGGTTGTACGGAACAGCTAGCTCTAAGGTCGACATGCGAGTATAACACCGAACGCGTGATAATTCACTCAGACTGTGGATATACACGCTATGAATTGTGTTTACGCATTCATGTGCAAACATTGACCGGTAGCGATGAAATGTTTTAGGTACGTCGCTGTTTGCGGTGGCCGTTCACGAATTCGGACACTCGTTGGGCTTGAGCCACAGTTCCGTCAAAGGCGCACTCATGTTCCCCTGGTACCAAGGCTTCCAACCAAACTTCGTTTTACCCGAAGACGATAGGAATGGTATTCAACAGATGTATGGTAAGGAAACATACTTATATTTAACTCTTAATTCAAAATATTTATTCGTTAGTTATCTAATATTATGTCGTTATTAATGTAGGTCCGAAGGTAAAGAAGACTTGGGCGAAGATACCTTATTATAGACCAGCTGAAACGCCACCGACCACAACAACTACTACCACCACCACCACAACGACAACTAGACGACCATACATTCATCAACACCACCCAGAAAGACATCCGAACCATCGTCCTTACACACCATATCCACGCCCTCCAAATAGAAATCCAGTATACTACCCCGAACGTCCCACACTACCCGACAGACCTCATCACCCAGAAAGAAACTACCCCGATCGTAACCCCTACTACCCTGATCGTCGTCGCTATAACACTACAGAAGAACATCCACGAAGAACAAACCACAATCACTATCCTCGACCAACAGAGACAACTACACACGCTACTACCTACCGCCCACGTTACCCGCAGTCCCGACCAGAATATCCCAGCCATCCAAGACAGAATTACCCAACTGACCCCAGTCAAGATTACCCTAAAAGAAAACCCACTTATCCAGTTAAAACTACTACCATCAAACCAACCCCTCCTCCCGACAAACCCGATACATGCGACACTAGTTACGACGCTATATCACTAATACGGAATGAGCTCTTCATTTTTAAGAATAAGGTGAATATTGATATTAATATAATAACAAAAATATGTTTTTATAGCATTTAAGCTTTGTCAGGAATAAAAATTATATTATTTTAACAGTATCATTGGAGGATTGGAGCCGACAGACGATACACGGGCTATCCAATCGAGATTACTAGAATGTGGACCGGCTTACCAAAGAATTTAACTCACGTGGACGCTGTTTATGAAAGACCTGATCGGAAAATAGCTTTCTTTATTGGTAAGTTAAAATCAAAATAAAATCCAATAACCGGTAACATTTTAGGAAGGTTTATTCATATATCTACGAATTAAAAATCCATTTAAGGATCTGAAACATTGAAAACAGCATATTTAACAAAAAAAATATTTGAATCTTTTGTCTTTAACACCAGTGCATAAAGCATCAAAGACCTCACTGTTTTAAATAATTTAAATGTAACCTTTGCAGGTAAGCAACTGTACTTGTTTGATTCACAATACTTGATGCCGGGATATCCTAAGAACCTCGCTCAACTCGGCTTACCGGAGAGCCTCGAGAAGTTAGACGCGGCCATGGTGTGGGGCTACAACGGAAAAACTTACTTCTACAGTGGCAGTATGTACTGGAAGTAAGTTGCAAAAGAAAGGAAAAAATAAATTGGTTGTTTGTAAAGTAGGTTTACGACCGAGATGTTTACGTGATAACGTCTTATTGGTGATATAAGTTTTTGGGAAGTAAGGAATTAATGAAGATAACAATTTTTTCAAATTTTAAATTACATCTATCGTTTTCAACAAAAACTTAACCGGACGAGAAAATCTCCATTCGTTTGTATGCCGCTAGAGTGAGAGAGACGGAAGATCGGTCCACTCACTCGAACGCTATGCCTGCCTCCGCTCGTGAGGATTCCGCGTGACAAGTTTCACGGAATGACTGGCAGCGCTCGAGATCGAGATGAGACGGGAGATCGGTCTCTCTCTCGTTATACCTGCGATCGCGCTCGTGAGGTTTTGGTGTGACACAAGTTTCTGAACATGTCACCCGACTAAAACGATTTTAAAGACGTTATCACGTTAAAAACTTTATAATAGTGCATTATTTCACTTATATTTATTTTTAATATAAATTATTACAGATTCGACGAGGATTTGGGACGAGTTGAACTCGACTATCCTCGTGACATGGCCATGTGGAAGGGAGTTGGATACAACATAGATAGCGTGTTCCAATGGAAAGACGGTAAACATCACATTAAATACAATAAACATGGAGTATTGACGACAAATTTACATAAATATCTAATTTACAGGTAAAACATACTTCTTCAAAGGCAAAGGTTTCTGGAAGTTCAACGATTTACATATGCGAGTCGAGAACGAGCGTCAAACTCCTTCCGCGCCTGTGTGGATGTCATGTCCCATAGAAAGGACGGGAAGACGAGCTCCGTTCAGAGCTTTGCCGGCCCCAGGGTCTACACTACGCTCTCCCAGTCAAGCCACTCATAACAAACATAGCCTACTACCATACCTAGCTTCACTAATTATTATACTAGCCCGCTCTCTATAGTCTAAAATTCTATAATGTCAAATGTCATTTGACAATTGACATTTGTAATATCTCGTGCTGTTCGGAAACGTGTTACTGAACAAACAAGTACATATCGGTATCGTCTGATAGTAAGTAAGCGCAATCCATGCACTGCCTATTATAGTAATTAAATTATTGTATCGTAAATGACGTAACTATTAATCTCTTAGGCTAATTCTTATATGATGCATTTTTATATAAAATTTTAATGCTATATATGTACATTTTGATCTCAATATGATCGATTTCTTTTTATTTGATGTAAGGTACATAACACCATTTATTTAGCTTCTGTACAGATTATGTAGTTTCGATGTCAGTATTTCTATGAACTTACTATAACACGTTACGTTAATAACATAGTAATCTTTTATAAATAGGAAGGTTAATTATCGTATTATTTTAGTAGCAAAAAGCTGACTTTTGAAGAATAAAAAATAAAATACTATTAGTATGGCAACATTAATTCTAATTTAGTTTTAAAGTTATAAACATTTTTATAATGCATTGTATATTACTGAACTAATATTGTTAGATTAAAATAGAGCGAAATTTTGTCATTAAAATAATTTAACAAAATGTGTATAATCGCAATGTCCACAAGTATGCCTTAATATAAATAAAAAGTATATTAAAAATATAGAATATATGTATTAATTATTATTATAATAATATATTATTTTTATTAATTATGTAACTTGTATGTAACTCATTAAACAACTCCTATGCTGGTTAGAGGTTCACATATTTAGTAATTTGTAAATTTTTTATAATAAGTATATAGCTGTATATGTAATGTCTCTAGGGTATTCATATTTACCAATATATAATCTAAGAATTTATAAATTAATGAGGTATTTGTGTCTATTATAATATTTTATATTGGCTTATCAATGTCTTGTAACATTAAATTATTGAATATATACTAATTGTAATGTGTCCTACTCCTAAAGGTATATAACACCATTAATAAAATGGTAATGTTAATTAAGATTGTGTATGACTGTTTGTCGGTTTGTTTATTTTATATTTAAACAAAATAGATATCAAGAACAATAGTAGTTACATAACAGTATATAAAGATGTACTGAAAATCTTATAAATTATTTCAAGTCAGAAAGAAACAATATAAATAATAATCTTTAGTTCACAATATCTCCGGAATGAAAATGGTGCTTCTAATAGTTAGTTTTTGTACAGAATAAATTCATATTAGGTATTTTTGTATGCTTTTGTAAGTGTTGTATGATTAAGTGTAGTTTATTATCATTGTGTATGTATAACACAGCCTTCCCCATATAATCTTGTGCAATCAGCAGATATAGATATAAAAATTATAGCTTAAGCTTCTGATCAAAAACTGTCATTAATTCATTACCTATGTGTATGCATTACAAGTATAGTCCTCATAATAATGTGATTTACTTAAACTTTGGAAATAAACAAATAACTGTGATATTTACTTTTTAAAAAGCCATCGGCAAATTTAACACAAAATTTCAAATAATAGAATGAACTTGTAAATGCAGATGAAGTTATCCTTAAGTAAGAATGTTTAATAAGAATGAAATAAAGATTTTTGTAATATTACTTCTGTGTTTTAATAACTATATGTATAAAAGAATATGATTATTAATAAAAATCATACTCAGATATGATTTTAAATAGTATAAATCATACTCAGATATGATTTTAAATAGTAATTGCGGTCAGAAATCCATTTGAATCTTATTTGAAAGTACCAAAATGATAAAATGTTTGATGAAATAAAATGTTTGTACATTACAATATTTCCACAGATATGAAACCTTTACAGTACATATTTTGATAACTTTAAAAAGACTATAAACCCAAATATTAGTAGTAATCTTCATAACTAGTTACTTGATATAAAAACAAATATGCAATATTTTATATAATAACACATTTTTTGTCATACTGAATATAATTTTATAATATTTCTTTCTAACATCTTCAATCAAAAATATTTCTATGAGATAAAATACAAAATATAGATGAAATTAAACAAATAAATCTTATTCACGAATTCATTTAATTTACTAAGACTAGTTATAAAACCAACAACAACAATTTTTATGATGACAATTCTTTAAAACCTAATTTAGACCAGTCTTCTTTAGCCATTAAACCATGATCCATTCGGCAAGCTAAGTACTCCTTGGCTTCAGTTCTGCATTTTGAATTATCACTGTTGTTACCATATAAGCAATTCATATACCTGACCATACTTTTTTTGCAAATCCCCTCATGATCCAAAGGAAAACTGCCCTTATCTGGTGCAGTGGGTATAAATTGTTTCTGACCAAATGTCATAGCCGTTGACATTGTTATTGTTTCTATGTAACAATATATGCAGAAAAATGTTCACTGATAACTGATTATGAATTTACAGATTTGTATATATCATATACTTTTTCATATGTTGAAACACTATTTTCACCGAAACACTTATACCAGTAGCTGTTAAATGTTTATAAGTTATAAATATAAAGTATATAATTACTCGGATTTGTTTACTTTTCGCTATTCGTTACTACAATGAATCTGATATCTGTACATATAACCAAATATTGACATTGACGTTTAAAATTGAATGAAGAGATAAAGAAGTTATATATTATTCCATAAAATCATAGTCGGTAACGAAAGCTTTTAAAGCAATTATGCCTTTTAATAATTACCATTTCATTTAAACTATTTTTATATATATTATGAAAATAATATTTCATTTTATTTCAAATGTAAAAAAAAATATGTAAGTGGTATGTAGCCAAAATTGTCAAATCCTTCAAGATGTCAAACTTCAAAGTCAATAACTCACATGTTAATGTTTTGATTGCTTGCTCCGCTAACTGTTTAGTAATATTACTTATTGTGGCTTAGATTATTTAAAGATACTTATAATTAATAAATTGGCAATTCTACACTTACTGTATGTTTACTAGCTTCAAAGTGAATCATTATAAATGAGAATAATTACGAACCATGTCGCGTTTAATAGTAAAAAATCTACCCAATAAGGTACCTATCCATACATATTCCATTATTGTGTGTAAAAATATGAAAGTTTTATTTTATTTTTACAAAAATCTATTCTAGGTAACTGTTGAAAAGTTGAAAGATCTTTTTGGAGAGAAGGGGGAAGTAACCGATGTCCAGTTGAAATATACTAAAGATGGCAAGTTTAGAAATTTTGGTTTCGTGGGATACAGAACCGAAGAGCAAGCAGCAGCAGCAAGAGAACACTTTGATGGCACTTTTGTAAATAGCATGAAAATAAATGTTGAAGTATGTGCCAACTTAGGAGATGAAAAAAAACCTCGAGCCTGGAGCAAGTACGCCACAGACAGTACTGCCTATAAAAAGTTACATAAAGATGAAACCAGTGACAAACCGAAAAAAGAAAAAGTAAACAAAGCAGAGAGAAATAAGAATAAGATAAAGGAACTATTAAAAAAGGTGAATTCATATATTTATATAATTACAAATAAAAGTATTGCTTATTACTAACATTAGGTCACAGAAAGTATAATCTTAATATTCTTTTTCAGCACAAAGATGATCCATTGTTTACAGAATTCATTGAAGCTCATGTAAATGATAAAACTGCATGGATAAAAGAGGCTTTAGAAGCGGCGAATAAAAGTGATGATGATAGTGGAGTCGAGGATGAAACTCCATCCAAGGATGAAAAAATACAAGAAGATAAAACAGAAGACAAAAATGACATACAGGATGCTCCGCAAAAAGAAAAAGTTGCTAATAAACAAATAAGTGATTTAGAGGTATGATTAGAATTTAAACATAAATAATTTAGATAAACAATGTATGATATTTGACTCAATGTTCTATGGGAAATATAACATTTCTTGTAGTAACTTCCTTCAATATAAAAAAGTGAATATTTATATTGTTTATTTTCATAATTTCTCAGTATATGAAACTGTTAATGAAGAAAGTCGATGGCTATACAGAAGTTGATAATAAAGATGCAAAGCCAGAAGACGACAAGCCTAAGAAAGTCCGCAATCGTCCATTGTTCTATGTTAAAGTGAGTGTTACAAATTAATTTTCTTATACATACTCCTATTAAACTAAATGATAACCTGGTTTACTAGTGATTTAAAGAAATATAACTATGAGATACTATACACATTTTCAGATAACAGGTCTACCATTTAAATGTAAGAAGAAAGACATTAAGGAATTTTTCAAACCTTTAGTGCCATTTTCAATAAGACTACCTCTTGGTAAAGGGAAGAAGTTAGCAGGATTCTGTTATGTCGGTTTTAGAACGGAAAAAGAGTTAAACAAAGCACTTAACAAGGATAAACTATTCATAGGTGAGTTTATTATTATATAAAACTTTCATTGATATTTATATAATAATAATGAAATATATATTGACACAAGTTATAAATATTTTAACTGGATTTTTTCTATAAATTCCTTAAATTATATAAATTACAGCAAATCATCGCATTCATGTACATAAGTATGAAGACAAGGCAAAAATTGCTGCAGAACAGGAAGAGTTGCACAATAATAAAAAGAGACAAGAGGTTTGATATCAAATAATAAATCAGTAAAAGCTAATTGAAAATATTGATCATTTTAAGGCCCTGTATACAAAAAATAAATTAAATATATATTTATTATAATTTATTTGAGCAATATGTGTATGAAACAAAAAAATTATAGTATATTTATTTTTTATGTTTCAGCAAGTAAATAATGGAGAAAGTATTGGTGAGAGTGGCAGAATATTTGTGAGAAACTTGCCTTATGTTGTATCAGAAGTAGAGTTGACCAGCTTGTTTGAGAAGTATGGTATGTCATTTGCTACTAGATATTACAAATATTTAAAAAATAGCCCTAGATAAAGGAAAGAAAACAAATTGAACAGTAAAGAATAATTTTAAACAACTGATCCTTATTTTAGGAATGTAATTTAAAATTTCTATGGTATATAAAAATATTTGGTTGCTAGTTTAAATTTAGTGGGCAACATTACATATATATTGAAGTTTATTATGATTTAATAATTTTTATTTAATAGCAATTTACTAACAAAATATTTCAATGTCTATAAGATATAAATTATGACGCTAACTTTCATTAATTCAGACAATATTGAATATACCAAGTTTCATTGAAAACGAATGATGCTTTTCTTTAAATTTTCTACTTATTTATCCAAAATGCAATTACCAATCACAGAAGTATGTATATTAATGTGATGTTATATATCCAGGCCCTATCGCAGAAGTTTCAATGCCGATAGACCCAATTCTCCGTCAGCCCAAAGGGTTTGCTGTCATAACATTTGTGATGCCCGAGCACGCTGTTAAGGCTTATACTGAACTCGATGGAACAGCTTTTTGTGGACGAATGATGCACATACTACCAGCGAGGACTGAGAAACTTGAAGATGAGATTGATGGTAAGAAACAGCTAAATAATAATATAAAACTATCATTTTATTATACAAGCTGTACTGTATTTATGTAAGATCTTGCTCTATTTTGTGCTGAGTGACATTTTACATGTTATTAATTTAGCTTTATGAAAATTAAAAGAGAATTTTATATCCATTTATATTTGAGACACATCACTACTTCATTTTAGTAGTTTTTTTTATTATATAAGTGCATTTTCAGGAAGTCTTTGCAACATCTTATTCAACAAAAATTTTTATTTATAAAACAATGCAACATTTACACTTTTATAAAGAAATATACCATAAGATAGTACATGGAATAGCATATTAAAGTTTTCACATATATCTTTTGTTATAATAAGTTAATATAATGAAGCATTATATTTGTTTTTCCAGAGGATCTGCCATTCAAAGAGAAGAAAGCCTTAAAGTTGAAGCAGCAAGCCAAATCTTCTCACAACTGGAATGTTCTGTTCCTCGGATCTAATGCTGTGGCCGATGTGGTCGCTTCCAGTTATAATACAACCAAGGAACAACTACTTAGTGATAATAATAAAAGTATTTTAATATAAAAATCATTATATTTTTAACAGTGAAGTAATTTTGACATATTTAAATTAGGTATTAGGAAATCCATTGGCTCAGACAAGATTAGAACCTATGTCAGGAGTATTAAATTCAAGTTGCTTTAAGAACTGAGCTATCATGACCTTACTAGAATCAGAGTATTAAGTTGTCTATATATATAATTTTCATATTGTTAACGAGTTGTCATGTAACTAGTTTTTTAATGAAAATCCCGATCAATATTTTCTAATTTTGTATTTTATAGTATTTATAACAGGACCTACATATGTATTGATTTGGCTGTATTTAGCCCAATTTTAATTTCTATAATTTTATTGACATTATTATTTAAACTATTATTCTAGATACGAGTGCTGCTGTTAGACTTGCATTGGGAGAAACACAATTGGTCGCTGAAACTAAAGAATTCCTTGAGTCAAATGGAGTACATCTGGACGCTTTTAATAGAGTGAGATATATTATTAATTGCTACTAAATAGATCATTGATATTAAAACTACTTAACAGATCGTCATTACGTTTTATATATTACTATTTCCGGGATGTAAAGTAGCCTATATGTTATTCCTGCACATCACCTTCTTGTATACAAAATTTTATCAAAATCGGTTGAGCCGTTTGAGTGTGAAGAAGTAACAAACATACACACACACTCACAAACTTTCGCAATTATAATATTAGTAGGATGTTATGAATTTTCCAAAGAATAACATCAAACTACCAATTGAAATGTGTTATATTCAATTCAATTTCGAAGATCTAAATATTTTTTTATATTTTTTATACAGCCAGCCAAAAAGAGGTCTAAAACATGTATATTAGTGAAGAATCTACCAGCGGGTACTGACAAAGAGGAAATCAGGAGTTTGTTTGTTAAACATGGACAAGTGGCGAGGTTTCTGATGCCAAAGCACGGAATCACAGCACTAGTTGACTTCATAGAACCTTTCGAAGCAAAGAAAGCCTTCAGCAAACTAGCTTACTCACAGTACAAATCCGCGCCACTATATCTAGAATGGGCACCAGAGAATGTGTTCGTTAAAGACGCTAAAATAGAAACTGCTCCCGACAAAGAAACAAGCGATGTGAATAAAACAGAAGCAGAGTCGTCTGAAGAAACTAGTGTTAAAGAACCTGAGACGAAAATTGTTGAAGAAACGCCAGATGAACAACCTGAAAATGATACGACGTTGTTTGTCAAAAATCTTAACTTTAAAACTACAGAGGAAACATTGAAATCGGTAAATAATATTGTTAAATTTTGTTTCCAATACAATGTAGAATTATCAAGATATATGTACAGTACGAAAAATCTTAGTTATCCATGAATATAATTTTCTGTTTATGGTACAATTCTTCGCTTAACGTCAATATCGAGACCAATTTCAGTCCATTCATATTATGTCTTAAAAAACTGCCATATCCAAAAAGCATATTGTACATTCTTGTTAATCATTTTCGTTGTATTTATTACAGCATTTTTCTACTTGTGGGAAACTTCACAGTGTGATCATAGCCAGAAAGAAAGATCCCAAAAACCAAACTCAACTTCTATCTATGGGTTATGGTTTCGTGCAATATATTAAGAAGACCCACGCTCTAGAGGCCCTTAAAGTATTACAGGGTTCAACACTCGATGGAAAAACTTTAGAACTTAAGAGATCTGAGAGAGGAAATATGTTAGTACAATTATTTTTAGCTTATATTGTTAAAGTCTAATAAATAAATTAGTCAATGGTGGCCTGGTGGCTAAAAAGCCCGCCGGGTTCGATCCTGGCAAGTACCAATGTGATTTTTCCTAGTCATATGTACTTTCTGAGAGTATTTAGACATCACTGACAAATGGTGAAGGAAAACATCGTGAGGAAAGTTGGACTTATAATTTCACAATTATAAGTTTGAAATCACCAACCCGTCTTGAACAAGCGTGGTGATTAATGCATGATGTCAGGTAGGCGGCCGGTCGTAAAAACAAATAGCCAAAACTATTTACAACATGTACGGCAGACCCTGGCTAAAACTGCCAGGAAGAAGAAGAAGAAGATTGTTAAAGTCTAATCATTCTGCATCTATGTAGTTCATGGGAAATTTATATCTCATTTACTTAAAAATATCTCTTTGGTATTTTCAGAACCGAAGTCAAAACGTCGAAGAAGACATCAAAGGACACGATACAAAATGGTACTAAGATTCTAATACGAAACGTACCGTTCCAGGCGAATAGGAAGGAATTACATGAGATATTTAGGTCTGTTTTAAACTTATAGAAACAAAAATAGGGAATTTTGGTATTGGTATTACATTTTTTATATATTTTGTTTAATCTCGTTTAATTAAGCATCATTTGCTATTAATTTATTATAGAGGAAGATCCCAGAGCTCCCAGACGTCACTTATTTTCTGATGGACAAAATATATACGAGTGAGTAGTGGTGGGGTGTGCTATGATCATATGACTAGTTGCTACCTTGGCCAGACGGCCATTTTTCAGGTAGCAATTAATCAAGGTACATAGAAATACTGCTCACTTCACTTAAATTCTGATAGCTGATTTTAACATATATTTCACACAATATCGTTAAAAATCAGGATTCATTACTCCCAGACACATGCGGTCGGCGGTTTTACCTTACAGACGCTTCAAAGCTATTAAAAAAATTAATTAAGGTCACTTATTTTCTGATGCTTGATTTTTATATATGTTATTCAAACAATTATTTTAAAACGTTTTGCAAACGGACAGACCGATCCAAGGGGCCAAACATTCACCAGACCCAATTTTCATGTCGCTGAGAGTAGGGGCACGGGCATTATCCGTGCGCATAAGTGCGAGTGAGACAGACATGAGTGTCATTGCTTCTCTCCTTCTATTTGAAAATCAGAAAAATTTAATTGACAGATATTGTGATAGTGTATTTTAGAATGTGGATAATTTACAATTTTTTCCAAGAATTCTGTATGATTTTCATTTTGATTTTTAGCTTTAGATAGAAATACATTTTTATCTGACGTAATTAGAGGCAATCGTTTGGACTTGTGCTTTTTAGTTTTTTGATCACAATATATACAAGTAAGATTATTTGGAGTATTATTTACATCGATATCAACTGCAGTATTACTGTCAGAAAGTGAATCAATATTTTCAGGATGATCAATATATTCTTCTAATCTTGAAAAATCCGGTTCGACCAACTCAGGTAAGACAGATGGGCTAGGTATTGTAGTAGTGTCAGGTATAACAGCAGCTGCTGGATTAAAATGTTGAGACGTAGATGCTTCTGGCTCAATACATTGTGTATCTAATTCAACTGTCGTTGAGATATCAGTGGATAAATTTTCTGCAATGCTTAATAACTTTTCTGTTGAATTAGCTTTCTCGGTTGCCGTATTTTTTGGTAAATAGTACTTTTTATTTAACCCTGTAAACGATTTGTAACAGTTTCTGTGATAACCACTTTCAAATAGTTCACTCGGCAAAACAACGTCTTTAAATTTTAGGTTATGTTCCTTTCTATGTTGTAAAATCACTCGACACTTTTTTAATGTCTCTTCCGTAAATAATATTAAATTTTCATCAGAATTATTGCAAAATACACAATTTAACAAATTAGCCATTATATTTTTTCAAACACTGCAAATATTTGTATTTTTTTATACGAATTGCTACTTAAATCACAACACAGCTGACGCACTCAACAGACGCGATACATTGACTAGTGGGTAAGAGTAAACCGAATAAAAGGAGAGAAGCAATGACACTCATGTCTGTCTCACTCGCACTTATGCGCACGGATAATGCCCGTGCCCCTACTCTCAGCGACATGAAAATTGGGTCTGGTGAATGTTTGGCCCCTTGGATCGGTCTGTCCGTTTGCAAAACGTTTTAAAATAATTGTTTGAATAACATATATAAAAATCAAGCATCAGAAAATAAGTGACCTTAATTAATTTTTTTAATAGCTTTGAAGCGTCTGTAAGGTAAAACCGCCGACCGCATGTGTCTGGGAGTAATGAATCCTGATTTTTAACGATATTATGTGAAATATATGTTAAAATCAGCTATCAGAATTTAAGTGAAGTGAGCAGTATTTCTATGTACCTTGATTAATTGCTACCTGAAAAATGGCCGTCTGGCCAAGGTAGCAACTAGTCATATGATCATAGCACACCCCACCACTACTCACTCGTATATATTTTGTCCATCAGAAAATAAGTGACGTCTGGGAGCTCTGGGATCTTGGACTATTAGATATATTTTTTATACACCCATTTAATCTTGACATAAAACCAATATTTTTTATTACAGAGCATTTGGAGAAATCAAAACACTGAGGCTTCCACAGAAACTAACAGTGGGCTCTGAACAACATCGAGGATTTGCGTTCGTTGATTATTACAGCAAGGCAGATGCAAAGGTATATTTACATAAATAGACTAACTAAATGGATATACATAATATATACAATAAAAGTGTTAAAAAAAAAAACTTAAAATAATATAGTTAACGACACTTGTCACTTTTAATATTATCTGTCCTGCATTACGCTATTTTTTTATAACTTAATAATTTAATTTCATTAAAAAAACAATCAATTAAACTCATCCACTTATTAAAAATAATAATATTGCTTTATTTAAATTAATATTTTATATATTTCATTTATTATTTTTCATGTTACAGTCAGCATTTGATGCTCTGTGTCAATCAACACATTTGTATGGAAGACGTTTGGTACTTGAATGGGCGGATCAGAGCGATGAAAATGAAGATGTAGATTTGTTAAGAAAAAGGACGGCTGAGAAATTCAACGCTAAGACACCCGGCGGGAAGAAATCTAGAAAAGGCGCCGTTGACGTTGATACGTTTGTTGATGTCGATGTTGATATGTAAATTTAATTAAATATATAATTATATGCTTATTATTTTTACCTGACCTTCTAAAATTGATTCAATATGAATAGATCTTAATAAATCATATAATATAAACAAATTGTAACAATTCTTAAAGGTCTTGCATTTTTATTCTTTTCTTTTCTGAACATAATCTAGTACTTTAAGATAGTTATAATGTATCATATGTATGTGCACATACTAAATGTTACAAAAACATCAAAACTATATCAAACTTTTCAGTTTTCTCAGTCCTTTCCAAACAGGTTTCCGTACTGCACACAGTAATACCACAGTTAGTCTTATTTTTATTGTAGTTATTCAAGTTAATCTAGCTATTTAAGATATCAGATCTACTTTAAGAACCAGAAAGATAAAGATTTTGCTAAGAATCCAGAGCAGTCTTAACAACCATACAATCGTGATTAACTGATTTCCGGCTTACCTGTACGGATGCTGCCAAACGATCTGCTCGGATACTCGTCTTCTGATTGGGCAAATCTTAATGTATATAATTATCAAAATAATATTATTTATATACAGACGTCCAGCGTCTTCCAGTTGAGTTTGAAAGGTAACTGGAAGAGGAAATTCATCCATTACATAAATTAAATCTGACATCAAATACAATTCAAACAATTCTAGAACATCCTTTAAATACTTGTAGTCCACTATTAATTTCTTTACATTATATCAATGAATGCTCTAATCAAAAAAAAATTTCGATATGGCATTCTGTTTCCACAAACTTTATTGATAAATAAGCAATTACAAAGTTATCAGACATCGATATCGGAAACCTTCGAAATGCAATATTATGTGTTACTACTTTTTGCCCGCGACTCCGTCCGCCTGTACTTCGGAGTTGCAATAATCTGCAACTATGGCCTCTGAATTTTATTTCCACCTCCGAGGTTCCCCCTTTTAGTTTTATAAAAATATTGTATTATAAAAGTAAAAAATAATAAGATCATGACCCCGAAAATGAAGTACAAATAGTTTCACCCGTGAGGAATCGGGATTTTGACATAAGGCCTATGTCCTTCTCCAGGGTTCAACCTATCTCTACAACAACATTTATCAAAATGGCTACAGCAGTATAGGCGTGTAAACGCAAGAGACAGACAGACAGAGCTACTTTCGCATTTCTAAAATAAGTACGCATTTGGCCGAAATGATATATTGCAAAAGATACCTTTCTACATTAACATGAAAATTCACTATATTATTTTATTATCTATATAAACACTGATAACTTTGAAAACAAGTCATAAGTTTTGTTATTGTTATTAATACACAGGTTATAATTAAATGAAGGAGGAAATAAATAGATTTTTTTCATGTAGTCACATTTATTTTCGATATTTATTACATTTATGCTGGATGGCATACATAACTATAACATCTTCAGTAACACACAATTTAAATATTAATGCAATATACATTATTTAATATATAATTAAGTTTTAATTAAAATAAATCTAGTTAATATTTACATAAGTGAAATTATTCTAAGTATTAATTACAGTCGCTTATCTAGAGACTATTAAATTAACCATAGTAGTCCAGATATGGATTTTAGCTTCTAAGAAAAATTAAAAGTTGATTAAATCTTTACAAACTAATTTGATAAGATATTACTAACATCACTAATAAAATTTCATTTTTATATTTACATATTTTTTTAGAATGTTCACTAATAATGCAAGATAGGAATAGTGTTGCTATAAAGTTCTTATAACAATTGCTTTAAGAACGCCTACTGACATAAAATTCTGTGGTTAAAAAAAATATATGACAAGTTTTAATAAATATCACTTCAATCTGTACATTTGACAAATTATAACAAATGACTGGATCGACAAATACTATTTCAAGTTATGACAATGATCAAATAAAACTATGAATTTATATCATTAATTAAAAAATGCTTTAATTAAATCAATAATACCTTCAAAGTTAGACATGTTTAAAATTAAGGTCTAAAGCTATCAGGTGTAATTTATGCTGCCTGTAAAAATACTTTAAAAATGAAAGAACGCTTGTATTTTGTGCATTCCACAATAAAAATTTGATTGTACACAATTATCTGGTATTCCAAAATCTAGCAATGTCTTCATGAATTATATATTGTATAATATATATAGACCTCACTCTCACTTCAATAGTTAAAAGATCAAAGAAATCCACCTCAAGTTTTGGTGCATTTACAATAATTACTTATCTAGCAAATAGAATATTGTTGGGAAAAATATGCAAATAACATAAAATCTTACTCATAACTTAATCAATCTTGACAGTTGCATAAATTTTTCTCACAAAGAAGCTTGTACCGATATAACCAACAGTACCACAGATTATTCCCAAAGTTAAACTGAAGAGAGCCATATAACCGAAATAGAAGGTTGTTTGAAACAAACCATACATCTTTGTTTTGAACAAGAAGTAGTAGAATGAATACAGGTACACATATAATGCAGTACTTCCAGCAGATAAGAAACTTGTCCACTGCCAGCGGTAATCCTCGGCATTCAACAGGAAGTAGGTGCATACAATCGTAACACACACAGTTACAATCATCAGAATCAGAAAAACGAGCAACATGAATCCATAGACATAATAGATCTTGTAAGCCCAGAATGAAGTGAAGATGAAATACATTTCAATAAATATAGAACCAAATGGTAAAATACCACCCATGATGATGATAATGAATGGTTCCATAAACCATTTCTTCTCCGGGATCGGTCTCGGTACAGCATTAATGCGGCATGGATAGTCAGGTTGTCCTGCTAGATTACGTCCAAGAACTGTACCAACCAAGGTTAATGGTAGGATCACAAATGTGCAAATGGACATAACAGCAATCATACTGCCAAAAGGTATAGCTCGGGATGCATGATAATACATTGCAATGAAATTGATGAAGAATGCTGTACCACAAACCAATACAGGCAACAGGAAGGCAGATAACAACATTTGTTTGATCCAGAGTCTGCCGCCCATTCTAGCGTACAAGGAACCACCAAAATATCCATTGACCGGTGATGTCGCTGCATAAATGAAAATCGTTGTTGATAGGAGGGATCCTCTTTCTGTATACAGTTCACCAAATATAGTGAAAATAATAACAGCTAGTGTAACAACAGTTAATTGATGTCCAGCACCTATTAGAGCTGAGAATAATGCAAGATGTGGGACAGGCCTAAATACATCACCATGAACCTGTTTCCAGCCATATTCATCTCCCAAATCCTTCTCCAAGTCATCAAGATCGTCATCTTTGGAGTATCTGGCGTAATCCTTACGAAGAGTTCTCATAAGGATCATGGATACAAGACCTACCAAGAAAATAACCATCATGAAACTGTTGAAGATGCTAAACCAATGAATCCTGTGTTGGAAAAAATTCGGGTCCAGATATTTGTCAAAACGATCTTCAAACTTAATATCTCTCTTCTTCCAGTTCACTTCATAAGTGAAAGGAATTTTTGCATTAGGTACTAGTTTCTCTTTATTCTCTGCCGTAAGGTTAACTTCAACAATTCGATTTCCATTGTAACCGATGTCGAATTTCTTGTGGGTCCAAATGTAATAATTGTCACCATCAATTTCTCCGACAATTCCCCAAATTGGAAGATCGTCTACGTACATTTGGTACCAATAGTGGTTTTTCACGGCGTAGACGAGTGCTTTATATGACTGCTCATCGAGTTCTATGGCACAAAATTGTTGTGCTGGAACATTTTCTTTGAATGTGATGTCCAATCCACTTAACTCCAACTCGACTCCCTGAAGAGCTTCCGATAAAGTCTCATGGTAATGACCTATTGTAACTTTAGTACCAGCACAAAAAGGCAGTGAAAAGTATGCATACGTCTCTTGGCGATTATGGTACGGACCCACCGTATTCATCCACAGCACCACCTGCTCTCTGTCTTTGTAGGTATGGGTATGTTCATCTCCGTTAGCAATATGCCACAGAAGGAACAAAATGTATAGGACTTTCATTTTAAGTTAATAATTTTAATAAATAAAACGATAAACATAACACGTAAGTGAAAAGCCGACGTCAGACATTTGTACAAATGTTGCCAAACAGCAATACCCGAATTGAAAGTAAATTATTTAATTTTTTTAATACAGTATTAAATAAATTCTAAACATATTGCATATTCTTACTCTTTGTATTAAAAGTAATAGAAAATAAATAAAAATATTACTTAGTACAAACCTATTTCATATATTATTATTCTTAAGACTATGATTTTAATGTCAAATGTAATTGTCATCGTTTTGTACTGGACTCAGTCACTGTCTCTTGTCTAGTAGACAGTTGTTGTCACTGATTGTTATGTTTATCTCCTAAGTCTCAACGTGATTATTTATAGGTTATAAAAATATTTCTTTGTTATATAGAAACATGGACATTGATAATGACCTGCCGAGTTGTATTCAGGCTAGATTTAAGTCAGACACCGGCGAAGAAACTGGTAGTCCATTAGATTTACCATTAAATATAACGAAAGATCAACTCTCACTCATTTGTAATGCTCTTTTAAAAGAGGTAAATATAATTTAACAGTACATATTTAATTGTATTTGACAAAGTTGATCATAATAATTTACGTTTCAGGAAGATAAACCCTTCCTATTTTTTGTAAAAGATGTGGAAATAACATCTACACTTCAAGATGCACTTGATGTATCCAAACTTAATACTGAAGAGGTGGTTGAGATTATATATCAGCAACAGGCTGTGTTCAAAGTCAGGCCAGTTACAAGATGTACAAGGTACTAAATCACTACTAACATAAAGTTTCCTTTATCTTTATATAATATATAATTCTTCTGAGTGTGTATGTCACTGAACTTCTCTCAAGCGACTGGACTGATTCTGATGATTTTTTTTTGTGTGTTCAAGGGGATCTGGGAATGGTTTAGATTCACAAATTTGTCCGCTGTACAATGTTTTTTTGATTATTTTTTAATTTATTAGTAGTTTTTGATACAAACATTTTTTTTTTACATAGGATTTGACAACTAACTAATATATCAATAATTCTGTCGCACTTCAAAATACGGAGATTTATGGCTTCAATAGGTAAACTCCAAAAATATAAATAAAAAAACGTAACAGATATTTCTTGATTATAGGGAGATATGAAGTTCGCCGGGTCTTCTAGTTTATATATATGAAATATTAATTAATATATTGTTGTGTAGTTCTATACCAGGGCATGCAGAAGCAGTTATATCCACAAGTTTTAGCCCATCGGGTAAACATTTAGCGAGTGGTTCTGGAGATACGACAGTCAGGTTTTGGGATTTAAACACCCAAACCCCCCATCATGTATGCAAAGGTATAATAAGTTATATAGTATAGACATTTCAGTTATTAATAGTATTTTACATTAAAATTTAAACTACGTTTTATTGATAGGACATTCAAACTGGGTGTTATGTATCAGTTGGTCACCAGATGGCACTAAGTTGGCCTCGGCATGTAAACAAGGCAGGATTATGATATGGGATCCATTAACGGGCCAACAGATTGGAAAAACATTGTTAGGTCATAAACAATGGGTGACTGCTCTCGCATGGGAACCCTACATTAGGTATATACATATTTATCAGTTTATCAGTGAAAAAATAACACAATTAACTACATAGTCAAATATTTTTAGAAATACAGAATGCCGTAAATTAGCTAGTTCATCAAAAGACACCGATGTCAGAATATGGGACACAGTGACGGGAAATTGTGTATTAAATCTGACCGGTCATACTAAAGCTGTTACTTGTGTGAAATGGGGTGGCACTGGACTTATTTATACTTCATCACAAGATAGAACTATCAAGGTAAATTGTATTTGATGCTAAAAAAATACTTTGAGAATTGATATAGTCACACTTCGCCTCAGTTTGACCTAAATGTTTTTTATATTATGTAAGAAAAAAGATTTAATAAGTTTATTTTCATAACTTCAAAATGAATATAGTGTCGTTTTCTAGGTTTGGAGATCCGAAGATGGAATATTGTGTCGAACATTGGAAGGTCATGCACATTGGGTGAACACATTGGCTCTAAGCACAGATTATGTTCTTAGAACTGGCCCATTTCATCCCATACTAGACAAATTTGATCATACAGATGATAGTGAGTGGTTATTTATTAAAATCTTTTATATGTAAGAATACAAATATAAACATTTAACTTCTTTTTTTTAGAGATAATATTACAAAAACGAGCTCAAGAAAGGTATGACTTAACTTGCTCTAAAGATGATGAGAGACTCGTGTCAGGTTCAGATGATTTCACATTATTTCTTTGGATGCCACAGAAAGAAAAACGGCCGGTAGCAAGAATGACAGGTCACCAACAGCTTATTAATGATGTTAAATTTTCACCTGATGCAAGGTATGCTTACTTTTTCTTTGATTACTTAATAAATTCAGTTGAAAGAGCTTAACTTAAATATGTATATATATTTTATTCAGGATAATCGCTTCAGCCTCATTTGATAAGTCAGTAAAGTTGTGGGAATCGACTTCAGGGAAATTTATAACAACACTAAGAGGTCATGTACAAGCTGTGTATATGGTTGCATGGTCCGCAGATTCCAGGCTATTATTAAGTTCAAGCGCTGATTCAACATTAAAAGGTAATCTATTAACTTCATTATATTATGAAATATTTTTCTTTATTTACAATTGTATTATTTTAATAGTTTGGAATATGAAGACCAAAAAGTTAGAATTAGACCTGCCAGGTCATGCTGATGAAGTTTATGCCGTTGACTGGTCACCTGACGGATCATATGTAGCCTCTGGAGGCAAAGATAAAGTTTTAAAACTGTAAGTAAATTTCTATTTTAAAATCTAAACTATCATACTGTCTGTAGGAGTTATTACCTAAAGTATAATGAAGCTTATTTTTTTGTATAACATAATTGTGAAACTAAGCTGTAGTAGCCAAATATTTTATTAATTTATATATTCTTTAAACATAATGAGATGTAAGATTTTCGCGACTTTGATTACGGTGTCTGAAAAGTAGCCGAAACGTCGGGAGTATGTAGTGTTTTACGAAAATATAGTCGTGTAGTATAATACGAATAATATTAGTTTCAATTAAATTCTTCAAACATTTTTGAAATGATACAGAATACATTTTTTTATATTTCAGATGGCAACATTGAAAAATGTGAAACAAAATCTGGTACTGTTTGTTTTATTGTGGAAGCAAATTTATATAACATGATACATTAAACATATTGACTATTATGATGCTATTTTATTTTGATGCTCTTCTTAACGTTAGCCTTAATGCCTGATGCCTCTCCGCCATATCTCGTAACTTCTGTCCTTGCCTCTCTAACAGCTCCCTTCCTTCTTATTTTAGCTTTTCTATATTTAAGCTTATGTTTCACACGTGGATTCCTTTGTTCCTTCTTTCTGTGTGGTGTCAAGCCTTTGTTTTTAGCAATTTGATATGTTATCTCTCTTTTATCAACAACATCTCCTGGTAATATGTCTTGGCTCGATGTGGAAGGCTTTTGTTCATCGATTTCATTATTATCTGAGAAACCGCTCTCATCAGATTCATTGTCATTTCGTAATGAATTGTCAGCTTCATTTGTATTTTCGAATTTATCATCAACATCTTCATCATCAGACACTCCTGTGTCATCTCCTTCCTTTTCAACAGCATTGATCAATTTAAGTTTCTTTGCTGGATATTCTGAATCCTTGCCTGATTTACGCTTCTTATTCCTCTGTTCCTTAATCTGTAGTTTAAGATTATTTTTGACTATACTCATTATACTGTCTATCTGTGGTTTGATCACTTCAAGATATATTGGTTCCATTTTCTTCAACATTTGTCTATACTGATATAACCTTTTGATCACAGGATGATTTTGAACATTAATTCTTCTGCTTTTCAACAATAAGTAAAAACTAATGTTTGTGCAGTAGTTTAATATAAGATCATAATTAGTTTTGACAAATTTGGAAGCAGAGCAGTCTGGAATTTTTCCACCCTTCACTAGTTCTAGAACGGGACTTAAATCCTGTTTTGCTACTGTCAGCTTTGATTTGAAATCATCAATGAGACCTGAGAATTCCGGGCTTTCTTTTTCAAGTAATTGTAATTTTTGCCTTTTGGACATTTGACTTACATCACTTTTAATAACAGTTTCTTTATCATCAGCTTTGGTACTTTGTTCATTGAAGAACTCTAGTGTGAAATCTTCCTCTCCCAGTTGCTCGATTAATCTTTTTTGAATGTTTTTAGCTTCCTCTTCTTCCATGAGAGCATTTTCTTCCTCATCTCCGAACCCACCATAATCTTCATCTACATAATCAGTTGAATAGTATGACTGTTTCTTCTTTCCCCAAGCTTTTGAGTCTGGTAAGTCATCATCTGACTTTTCTTGGCCCTCCACATCACTGTCAGCCATTCCCAAATCACTTTTGTCGTCATCTTCTGACTCAGAGAACCCATAAACTTCCTCTTCGCTACCGGAATCTTGATGCTTTCTCTTACGCAAGTTATTCATAATTTTTTTCTCTGATTCAGTGTAATCATCTTCAGAGTCGGAGGGTTCATAGTTATCTTGGATGTCATATTTAGTATTAATTCTGAAAAATTATAAATATTGTAGAGCAAAAACTTAAAATAATACATAGGTACATTTGTTGAAAAAAATAGAACATTTTTACTAAGGTAATACAACATTACTAGTAGTATAAACTTAATCTGAAAAAATAGTGAATTGTTATTCATAATGTTTAAAGCACTGTCTAAATTCATGTAATTGCATAGAACAGTTATCATCCCAGAATTGGTAGCAATTCCTTGGAAAACACATGACAACAAAAATAGGTAGTCACAACTTTGATATCGATTTAGGTTATCTTAAGTTAAAAAGCATTAAAAAAATTATATGTACTTACTTTATTTTGTCTGCCATCGTGTTTTGTATCGCTTAAGAAATAATCCGCAAAAGCATGCCAATACTAAAGAGGTTATTTGTTATTGTTTTTTTTATAACCTAGTTATTTCTTCATATTCTTACGTCAAATTAATGGTTAAAATTAATATTTTCTTTTCGTAATATAACTTTACATTAACTAAGATTTAATTAATAATCACAAAGTCATATATCACTTCTAACATATTACCATATGACTAAAGTATAATATGGAACATAATACATCATGAGGAGCCATCATTTCTAAATTGTCACTGTGATTTGACAACAGCTAATTTGTAATAAAATTCACAGCATAGAGTATGTTATGTAAGTAAATAAATTTATTAACTGAAATGATTAATAAATATTATAATAGATATATTGAATAAATCATGTTATACTTCTTCTTCTTCTTCCTGGCAATCTCCAGCTTTAGCCAGAGTCTGCCTAATCATGTTATAAATCATGTTATACTATTGGGCCATAAAAAATTTGAAAAATAATAAGAATCTTTTTGAATGTTTATCAATAACTGTGATGCTGGTTTATTAACAAAATAAAATTTCTATCACTTTGACCAAATAGTGGGTTAATGAATTTCTCTCCTTCAGTTTCTCGAGAAAAAGTTAAAATATGCGAAATAAAACTGCGCGGTTATATTTCAAATATGCAGTCAAGTCTAGCTTATTATTTTCCCTGTCTTATTTACATTTACTTATTCAAGTATGGAAGTAAAAAATTTGGATATAAGTCAGAAAGCTGGACAGATTGTAACCTTTGAGCTAGTGAACAAGGTATGACAAGATTTATTATCCAATGTTACAGTTTCGTCCCAAGTACTAAGTACTGCAACTTTCCTTTTTTCTCGGTATAAATTATTTTATGATGACTGCTTGTGAACTCAAGATATAATATAACTGGTACAACAGGAAGACGTTATCAACCAAATTCTTGTTTTTTCTCTCTCAAATTTTGTTCATGTGAATTTTTAATGTCTCACAAGCAAGAAAATTTTCAACCTCAATTTTTGATATTAAACGATTAACTTTAAGTAATTAAGCTTCCTAAGGTATTCCACGAATACAATACCATTCCCTCAAATTCAAGATCTTCTCCTGAACACCAACTTTCTACATATTATACTCCCCTGGACTTAACTACTTTATTTTTCAACGATAGTGTATTATTATTTTTTCTTTAAAATTACCAACTGTCAAATGTCAATCAGTTACCTGTCTATAAATATTATGGATTAACAATTTCAGGTTATGTTAATGTTCTGATCTAAAGAAAGGTCCAAAATTTGCCATGAATTTAAAATTCTAGCTTTATGATATTAGAAATATTTTGAAAAAGATGTTACATGTAACAATAGCAAAATTAACCTTAACTTACTTTATATTTTTCATGATACCGGCCTTAGTATCCCTTAAAAAATCCGGAACTGGTAAAAATAATAAATTAAATGATTGTATGCGATGTGTGATTTTAAAAGATTCAGTCAACAACTGGTTGGAAAAAACCTCTAGAAGCAATCATGAAGGCGGAGATGTTGCTTGGGAGGAGGCAAAATTAAAATCGTACGCACGAAGTGAGATGCGTTTAGTAGAAATTCAAGAGAAACTATGTTCAGAAGTAACAAATCACCAAGATCAGTGTTACATCCTTGCTGAAGAAGCGGAACAGTTGTTGGAACAGTGGTGGTTTGAAAAAGACCGTGACGCACTGGACTTGTATACTTGGTTGTGTATAAATCATTTAAAGATTTGTTGCCCGTCAGGTCACTTTGGTGTTAACTGTGAGCCTTGCCCATTAGATAAGAATAATAAGATATGCGGCGGCAACGGCGAATGTAGTGGTGACGGAACCCGCAAAGGTAATGGTACATGCATTTGTAACAAAGGATTTGCAGGTAGTAATTGTGATGAGTGCTCCAAAAATTATTTCCAAATCGAATCTTCATGTAAACCATGCCATCCTGCATGCAAAGAGTGTCATAGATTTGGTAATGATGCTTGTGTAGACTGTGCTACAGGTTGGAAAAATGAATTGGGAGTTTGTGTTGATATTAATGAATGTTTGGATGCCCCTTGTAACCGTAATGAATTTTGTATTAACAGAGAAGGTTCATTTAAGTGTACAGCTTGTGATAAAACATGTGACACTTGTCTCGGACCAGGATCAAAAAACTGTTCATCTTGTAAAACCAATAACCAACTATGGCTTGGCCGATGTATGAGTAGATTTGAACAAAACAATATATTGAAGGAGGCATTAATGAGAATTTCTTTGTACATATTTTGGGTTTTAGTAACATTTCTCATCTATAAAAAATCAGCTGCACTCGCCTCTCTCACAATTATACTATTATCAACATTTGTTTTCTATTACGAAAAATACTTTGAAACAAATCTTTTAGATATAATTTACAGTTTTATATGAATTTAAATAAAACATAAGATAAAGGTGTATTAAAATACATTTTATTGTGAAATGGTACATAACTACTTTTTAGTATCATTTATATACAAAATTAAATATAATAAACCAAAGTTATATTCTTAAATGTAACAGATATTCAATAAAAAATAAAGCATAAATTAAACTGCCAAAGTCACAGTATATATGGTACAATTTTATATACTTTTGTATAATTATAAGTTACCAAGTAGGTATTTCAATTGTAATTTACAGTTTTCTTAATTTTCTGAAGTGTTAACATGATTGAAAATTAGGCCATATGACCTCTAGACCTTACTTCATATTGAGATTTTTTCGACATTAATAAACTGGTGTAGTGAAAAAAATACATACAAAATAATAGAAAATATTGACTTTATATAATATAGTTATATAAGAAGTAATTTAAAGTAACACTACCTTATAAATAGCTGGGGCCCAAAAATCATGTCCTTTGCCAGGAATAATGAAAATGTTTAATAAAATGACATTTTCACATAAGACACTATAAAAATACAAAATGCTACTTTTTGGCAATCCAATGTTATACATAACCTATTTGTGTAAAAGTATGTAAGTGGTTATAAAATAATCAAAATCATGATTGATACAAAAAAGGGTATTACCATTATAGAATACTAAGGTGCAAAATATTACAGCAATGTGATGTAAATGGTATTAATATATAATTAAATAATAAAAAGTAACATTTTCTTTTTATTTATAAAATAAGATTTATATCTCTTTGAATTACAGTGTAAACTCTTTATAATGATACACATCAAAGATTACATATTGATAATAACTTGGTTGTTTTTGTTTCTTCACTTCATTTAACAGTTACCTCTTGTATTTCGTTATTAACAGTTTACACTGTATATAAAACGGAATTCATGAAATTACTATATACTTTATATGTAGCTGCAAAATGAAATATTTCATTTACGGATATCATACGCAAATAGACATTTTGAAATCTTCTTTGGTGACAAGTATAGATAGACGCAGAAATAAAACGTAAATGGTACTTAAGTTACAAATATATTACTCAACAAAAAAACGTTTAGAATTTATATAAAAAAGGAAAAACAACTTTGTTCTATATTTTTTTTTGTTTTTGGTAGTATGTCATATTTAAGTACTAATGTAACACGATTATGAACTAAATATGAAAACACTTAAGATAGACTATTTTAAGTCAAGAGAAAATAAAAATATGTTATACAAAAAGCACTAAATTACATTGGACTCATAATACTATCAGTATATTACGCGCGACTAGCAATAACATCTATTGTAATGACGTATTGAAAATGTGCTTTGTATCAAATTTTAATTTCATATATTCACTTCATATAAATAAAACAAGAACCTTTTTTTAAAGGAAAATTATCTACAGTTATTAATATCAGTCGATTGTAACAAGCTAACACTAAAATTTGGGTCCCTTTTTAATACGCGAAGGCTTCCAACTCATTCACCATACTTGAGGTTTGTGCAAGTTTGGGAATTCAATAATACTTTTATTCTAGATAATATTTTTATGAGTCTTTAATTTTATTCTGATGTTTAAGATTTTGGTAAGGGCACTTGTATTTACTGCGTTCCAACACACTAAGTTATGTTAAGAATTTAGATAAATTAGTTGCAATCTTTACATTGCATTGATTTATATGTATTTTTTCCTTTTTAAATTAATTTTTAAATACCGTAAACATAGTTTATTTCATTATTTCAGTCAGATTAGGTGAATGAGTCAAACAGTCTTAAATGAAATGACTCGAGAGTCTAAAAATCTAAACAGTTCTTTTAATGCGCAAAATTATATTAAACCTTATCAGTACAGTTACTACTACTCTCAGTCTGTTTGTTTTGTGGAATGTCTTTAAACGTGACTTTTATTATAAAAAAAGTATGAATTTAATGTATCCTCACGATGTAAATCTTTCGCCTTCTGTATAAAAAAGTAAAAATACTTATTTTAATAAGTAAAAAGCAACGTCAATGTCTCAACCAGTGTGAAAAGAATATTTGAGGAAAACGTTATATTTGTATAAAACACGCTCGAACATGTCGGAAAGGCCATACAGAATCTCACGTCTTTTGTGCCTTTATCAAAATTCTACATTTTCTTGGCAGTAAACAGAATATTACATATAAAAACTTATTTATAATCACCTACAACTGTTTAGGAATGAATTAAATAATTGTATTATATCTACCGAAAAAAGCAAACTTGACCTGGAATGGGAAATAATGTTAGGTGGGTTTTAGTGTTTTTGCCAATAAAATGATTATTCTTACCAAAAACATAAGATTGGGAGGACTAGTTTTGAAGAGCGGGAACATTATGCGAATTAAGCTTACACGTGCTGACATAGCATTGGACGGTTGTGAGGTGATTAGGAAAAGCGAGCAGCGACACATACAATAATAGTATTGTACTAACGGTTTGGGATCTGAAGATACTTCTATATGAGTTTGCATCGATAATTCCATCGCTTTTAAGATAGTGCTTCTATATTATGACATATGAAGTAGAACCAGATATATTTCATTAAGATGTACTACATACAATCAGAGTCTATGCTATCGATTCAAACTCATACTGGAACTGGTTATTCGCGGATAAATACAGGGACATTTATATCGGAGTGCTAGCGGACTGGGTGGAAGAGTGGGGATAGAATGAAGCAAGGGTTCGTTCAGTCTAGCGGGTTAGTCGCGTGTGGCGCGTGGCGGTGTGCGGTCAGGTGCTGCGCGAGGTGCCGCTGCTGCAGCAGCGTGTACAGGATGCCGGCCTGCGCCATGGCGTCCACTGTACCAGCAGCCAACTGGTCCGCGCGCAGCTTGCCGCCAGCAGCGCTCGGACGTAGTAATGTGGGACCGAATACGGTCGCCAGGTTGTGTAGAGACATCTTGTTCTCGGACTCGTGGTTGTTTACTCTGGGATATTAGTTTCATTTAGTATAAATATTTTAATAAAATTTTTAAAACATTTTATCAAGGTCTGCTTCGTCTTATCGTTACAGTCCTTACGATAATGTTGGTTATTACCTATAGTATTTGGTGATACGGATGCAGGACCCTACTGACTTGTCAGTGACTTGACATAAACAAGATATTTTTGGATAAATTATTTTTAAAAACGGTACTAACAATGAAATTATGAAATATATTGTCGTACTGACACAATTATGTTATGAGCTGAGTAGAATTAACGCGAGGACTGTGATACCATAGAAACTCCTTGAAATTACCATAGAAAACTTAAATTATAATTATACGAAAAATGTATGGCTGTACTCCTAAATATTCTATGTAAATGTAATACCAACTACATTCTAGAAATTGTTAACAAAGCTACAAATTCCCTTTTACTTAATTTAATTTTCTGACATATTGATTTCTTATACAGGAGATATAGTTTTAAAACGTTTGATATTACTTACTTGACGAAGTGGTTTAAAAGGAAGTCGATACAGTTCTTGTTCAGATCCGGTAGTTGTGCGTAACATTTCAGAAGAGCGTGTCGCCTGGTGTGCGCCGGCGCTGAATCCGTAGAGTTACCTACACCCTGTATAACACAATAAATATATGTTTAATCCACAATACTATAATGTACATCGACTTAACATGACTATTTTACTTTGATTCTAGATTAAATCCATGTATGTAATTCCCTTATTAATTACTTTATAGAATTATTATGTTTTATAAGTTATTTCAAGCATCTTATATAGTGAGAGACATTATACTACTACTTTTTACCATATTTCATCGACATCAATCATTGACAATGAATTAAATTTCATCTAAGTACTTTCTCATCTGGTAACAATAATATGAGACATCCCTACTAATATTATAAATGCGAAAGTAACTCTGTCTGTCCGTTAGGCTTTCACGGCTAAACCACTGAACTGATTTTAATGAAATTTGGTACAGAGATAGAGTTGACCTTGAGAAAGAAAATAGGATAGTTTTTATCCCAGACTTTTGAAAGGTTTTCTTGGAAATGCGATATAACCGAACTCCACGCGGGCGAAGCTGCGGGGGGAAAGCTAGTAATATATAATAACAAATGACTATACCGGCGTTGAGCCCCAAGCTTTTAATAATTCTGGATACAGCGCGTCTGTGAAGAGAGCTTCAGGCAGTTCCCTAAGATATAGTTTGAGAACTCCCGTTACTGAGTGGACGTCCACTTCCTTGAGAAGCTGTTCCGCTTCATACGCATCTGAAATATATACAAATAACAATATTATATATAGAACAACAACCGCTTCTACAAATATGATTCGGTAAAGTTTCTATAGTAGTAACTGCAATGTATAGAACAGCATATAATCAGCAAATTTTTATGATAAACTAGCTTTTGCCGCGACTTCGTCCGCCTGGAATAGTGACTTCCGGCAGATTTTTGGTTCTTCCCACATAGTTCCCGTTGTTTCGGGGTTTTCGGAATGGTTGAGTTCCCGTAGAATTTTCAGGATAAAATCTACGTTTTTTTTTATTCACAATGAAGTACTCTTAACCAACAACATATTTATTTGTTTATTTGAATAAAGATTAATATTATTATGTTGATACAACTAACAAATTATTTCGACCAAATTAGGTACCATAAAAACGGGTTTTGTGATTTCATCTTAAAAGATAGACATATACTGTCGCGAACTCTTTTTTAGATCATTAAAAGAGCTATTATTCTTTAATACATATTTTTTGTGCATCTTGAATCATTTTCACGGCGCACGCAACGAAAGGCTTCAAAGATGAAATAATTTCTCCCGTTTTTTACACATTTACCGCTATATCTTTGCTCCTATTGGTCGTAGCGTGATGTTATATAGCTTACAGCCTTCCTCGATAACTGGACTATCCAACACAAAAAGAAATATTCAATTCGAACCAGTAGTTTCGGAGATTAGCGCTTTCAAACAAACAAACAAACTCTTCAGCTTTATAATATTATGATAAATAACGTTATATAGCCTTTAAAATTAAAATTAATAATCATACCTGAGTCTGCTAGTATAACAACATTTTTCATTTCATTTAATTTCGTCTTGACAATAAATTGTACTTAACGTAGTCTTAATCTACTATAGTGTATCGGGATGGTCATAATTTAATTAATCAAGACTGTAGGATCCCTGGTCCTACATGTAAGTATAACAGTCACTGGCTCACTACTACCCCGCCTAGAGCGACGCACGTCCCCGTTCTGCTCCACGCTAGTCATTAGACTGCCGAGCGCATGCCACCCCCTCCAGTGGGGTACGTGAGACAGTGTATTATATCTATTGTATACATACATACACTACAAAGACCAACCTAAGTTGAACTTTAGTGAGGACTTAATGTAACAGTATTTATATATGGTACTAACTGGTTTCGAAGCTCTTCCTTAGCCGGTTGAGGTCGGAAGCACTTCCAGACACTCGGTAGATGCCCACCTCGCTGATACCACGACGCTCCACTTCACGGACACACGCGCTTATTATGAACGGGATGTTGCGCTTCTCACGTCTGATAAATATGGATTATATTTAATATTTATTATAAAACAATGATCTTATTTCGTTAATTGAAATCACTACATTTCATTATTATTTGATATACGAAAATATTATATTTTTCACATTATCATTTTCCAATTGCAACGAAAATAAAACGTCTTTGAATGTTACGTTTAATCTATAGTAACGTCAGACAAGTAGTGACCATTCAACTGAATTACCATATAAGAATGATAAATGAATTTGAACGTAGGGGCGGTTTAAGTATTACGAAAGCAGATTTATTACAATTTTTTAACCCCCATCCCCCTTGTCAGTAAAAGTAAGCAAAGCTACCCCCTCCCCCCATGCTTACGTAAACAAAATAAGCAAAGCAAAGACCCCCCGCCCCTTCATAGTAATACTTGAAGGTCCCCCTAATATATAACTCGTATAAAGTACATATAAGATGTGCATTAACTTAGCGACATGTGTGATCTTAGCCCCGAACAGCGCGCCGGGCTTGGCGCTGGGCACGTGTCGTGCGGAGCGCTCGGGAGGCAGCACGCGCAGACGCAGAGGGAGCGACCCGCCGCCCAAACACACGGAGCGGGACACGCTCTCGCACACCCACTCGCGGGATAACTGGAACACGGGATATTGGTTGATTATATATAGAAATGTAATTTATAATATTACTAGAAGACCCAGCGAACTTCGTATCGCCCTATAATCAAGAAATATCTGTTACGTTTTTTTAATAAATAAATTTAGGTTATACCTTGGCCTCAGAAACACGTGGTGGTTATGCTATTATTAAATAGTCGGTCATATATGACGTTTGTATTTTAACATAGCGCCATTCATTGAATACAGTCAACAGATAATTGTAATAATGACAAATAATTTTCTTTAATAGACAAATAATTTGCAATAAAATAATGTTGTGACTATAAATTGAGATGTAAGCTATCCTATCTTTCAAGTTGAATCAAAACACGGAATGCAAATCAAATTTAAAATCGATTTAGTAGTTTAGGAGTCCATCGCGAACAAACACGCGACACGAAATTTTTATATGTATATATAAAGATTTTAGAAAGAACATAAACTGTAATGTATATTCATGTGGATATAACAAATAATTTATTTAAGTAGGAGCATTTTTTATTGTCCTGTAAATTTTTGATGACGTATATCCCATAAATTGAATAATATATTCATTAAATTGGACTAAAAACAAGTTTCTATAGAGAATTCCTCGTAAACAATTTAGGTATAAATTATAATTAATTTTCATTAAAAATATGTACTAGCACTAAGTAAAAATGAAAAAAAAATCACATTAAATGCTTAGTATACATAAAGTTGTTGTGCAAATACTCTCATGTACTCAAGTGGAGGGTAGATATCAATAAGTCATATAAAAGAAAGCCGTAACATTCGTATATATGGGAAGTGTTTTAATGAAGGTGTTTTTTATTGGCAATAATACCTTAAGAGTACATTTCCCTCTCAGTACAGGTCTGGCTGCGTCCTCATACAACAGGAGCCTGAGGTTCTGTGACCCTTCAAGATCCAGAGTGAAGCTCTCGTTCCAACGAGGCTGAGCGCTGCGGCAGATCAGCTTAGACTTCGCCTTGCGGAAATAATGACCGTACGAATCCACTTCCACGACTATGTAGTAGTCTGTAATGAAATTATTGTTATAACTACGATACACTAGAAGTTTTTGGAAATAATTTGAATTTAAAACAATCAAGTTGTTTAGACGTTTTTTGAAAAATCAATTTCTTATTAGGTATATAGGGCTACCATTTCTTAAAATTTTGCTTTAAAAACATAACTACAAATAAGACAAACTGAAGGTGAATTGGACTATAACTACCAAAGCAAATAGTTAACTAAATAAAACACATTATTAAAATATATTCATAAGAAATGGCCTTGTTGATAGTAAGTTAGTATTCACACTGTTTGGACTATAAAAAATATACTATATCTAGATCGCGTTATCTTTTAAGATGCCATTATCATGATCAGATCTTCTAGAATACACAACTCTATACACCCATTCAGTAATATTTCTTGTAATATATATAACTAGCTGCGCCCCGCGGTGTTACGTAAGTAAATACGGTTTTTCGCTTATATGAGGAAAAGTCGAATATTTTCCGGGATGTAAACTATCCTATGACCTATCTATTATTCCTGAACGTCAGCTTCTTGTATACAAAATTTTATTAACATCGGTTTAGTATTATAATTGCGAAAGTTTGTGAGTGTGTGTGTATGTTTGTTACTTCACGCTCAAACGGCTGAACCGATTTTAATAAAGTTTTGTATACAGGAAGCTGACGTCCAAGAATAACACATAGGCTACTTTACATCCCGGAAATCCGCGGGTAACACCGCGGGGCGCAGCTAGTATAATATATAGTAGGATGTATATACCAGCTGCCGTATCAAGAGGCGCGGTCATCCCTCCTATATGTAGCTGCAGGTCTCCCAGTAGCAGTGAGTCGTCTCGGCCGCTCCTCAGCAGGTAGGAGCCCATGTCCGTCTGTAAGTAACTGCGACACGCGGTCACCCAGCCCTGGAGCTCCAACATTGATACTGTGCTGGTACCGGCCGGCGGCGCGGACGACGCCTGGTGGAAAACATAGTATATAGTATAATATAAATATAATAATTTTATATTTAACATCTAAAGTAACCGACATCAGGAAATATATACAAAACAGTAATCGAACTAGTTGTCTGTCCATCCACTACTAACATATTTGGACAAGCTTATTACTGTAATAAAAAATGAACAAGAATTATACTATAATATAGGGCACAAGGGTGACAGCTGAAAATCAGCAGAGATAGAAAACCCTCACAGCCTGAGCTGTCTCCTTTTGAATGCACACAAGTTTTATATCAATTATATTCATTTTCTTTATTTTTGTAATGTTGTTTTTATATCCTTTTTTGTATAATTTTGTTTTTTTTTTCTTTGTATGTATGTCAATAAATGTATTTTCTTTCTTTCTTTCTAATATTGCTATTTATCAGGACATTCATAGTCTAATATATTAGCAGCGTTTAATGTGAAGCTTTAGATATTTGGAGGTGCTTTTGGACCATTTCCAGAGAGTCGAACGCCAATCCAATTACCGTCTAGAGTAGAAATCGGTTTAACAATTTCTTCGTAATTGAAAAACGAATAAGCGAATATAAGTTATTTAGGGTAGGTTTCCGTGGCAGTTAGAGTTTCCAGGAAAATTACGAAAACTACCTATATACATATTATAATAAGAAATACATATTAAAACTTATGACATACACTTAAGACTACGTGATTAGGTATCAAGATAGCAATGCCATGCCATTTTTTGTTTCCGTTTCAAAAACTATCTACTATTCCTTTTAAGGATGGAGTACGACCTACATTATCTATCTAAAGACTGAGAAATTTAAATGGAGCATTATCCGTAACTGTAGAATCGTATTGACCGCCTAACGATAATTTTTAATCGTATGATATATTTCTTATATTCCGCCTAACAAAACAGTGAAATTTATTTGGTTTTATCTTCAACCCATCTCTCCACTATAGTATTTATACACTTGTTATTTATCCATTTGTTTGAGATCATTGATCACGTATAAAATGGATTCTGTGCATTACTTATTAAACTTGAACCGATACCCCCACTATTTCTCATTATCTATTAAGATATTACTAATAAAATATTATTGATATACCTGCAAAGCATGTATGGAATCTATCCACTGCGTCCTTTCGTATTCTGAACTGAGGAAAAATACGTGGTGTCTCTGTAAAGCGGTGCCCCCGGGAGCTTTGGCCCCGACACGGAACACTAAGTTTGGTGACGCCAGAACAAGTTGACCCTCAAGTTCTGCTAACTTCTTGCGTTGCTTCTCCGCTGTACCGCGACTTCCGAGACGGATTTTCTGTTATATAATTTAACTATTATTAAGGGCATTCAAGGAAGAAATTAAATTTTCTTTCATCCTGCCAATGATATCTAAATAACTTTTATATCACTATTTAATACAATATTAATTACAAATATTTTTGAATACACTCTCGTAACTACTCTGTTACATATATTAATCCTACAATCTTGATGGTTGCAATGATAAAGCCTAACACATTATATGTATACTTTTGTCAAAGCCATTATAAAGACAATAATAATTCTTGATTATCCCGATTTCCATTTAAATAATAACTGGCGCGTTCTTCTTAGCAGGAAGCGCTTGTGTTAGCAGAGAAGGAACAATATATATAACCTTCACGCTCCAACATCGGCTGTATGATAAATACCTTGTCGTCGTGTGCGGCTCGTTCCTCAGCTAATATCTGGTCGCGGACAGTGCAGGCTTGCGACTTAAGCGCTACGATGTTAGCGGGTGATGTTTCCCGCTCCGCCGCCGCGTTTGCGCCCTCATCCTCAACAACTACTATATCAGGCAGCGGTATGAACCATTTCAGCTCGAATGTGAACTTGTCCCTGCCAGAAGCCTGGAAAATTGTGTGTTATAAGCAAAAATTATTAAGGCAATTTTGTTTTTGTTTAGTACTTTTATTAGGTACATACAGGTCATAATTGTATGGAACTTTCAAGATGATTGTTTTTGAATGATAATTTTAATGCCACTATCCAAAAAATTTAGACAAGGTCCTGTTTATTAGCTTATATTTTAATAAACTCCGACTCCATACTTTACCTTATATTTTGCGCAAGCTATTACGTCATTGAACAGGAATAAATGCCGCAGTTTCCTATGACCATCTGATAGTTCGACTATGAATGAGTTCTTAACCAGACGCCGTTGAGCTCTGTCTGCATTCTGAAAGAGGAAATTTATATTATATTTATGTTACCATACTTATGTAAATAACATTTTATGTGTATACTTACGGGGAACATTGATTTCGTTTGTATTATATTAAATTCATCGAGGAAATGTTGAGTCATGTTTAGAGCGTCTGTCAACATCGCATGGTCGGGGTGACTCGCTGGAGTATACTTAATAAGATCCTGTGGGTAGAAATTGAAAAATCAGATTATTTGCGTGTTTGACAACATCAATCATTTAGAAAAAATATACATCAATTCTTGAGCGACTACAATACAAATATTGTCTCTAGTAAGTTTTGGAGTAAGATCTAAACATTATGTAATCCATGTTGAGTTAGCTTGTAAGTGATGATACGCAACTGTACAATTAAGTTCCATGATGTTATAATGTAGTTATAAGTTTTTGTGTATCACGTTGGCTTCCTATTAAATAAAATAAAATAAACATAATATTGTTCTTAACTCCTCTTATCAGAAGTAATGACAGAAATAACGAACCTAAAATCTATAATAACTAATCTGAATTCTGTCGCAACTCGCAACCCCCCTCCTTTTCATATCATGCCCTCCACTCACATGTAATACAAGCGCGTTCTTCTGTACCCTAGCGACAGGTTTATGCAGCAGATCGTCCAAGGACACAGGTTGTCCCCTACAAGCTATCTCCCTCGTAAGGTCAGCGAACCTCTGCGAACTACCACACCTACGTCGCACGGCGTCCGTCGCGCGACCGTAGTTGTGGAGGAAAGCGCCGTATACATTGATGTTCTCCGCCTGGATTTAAAAAGATCGATATCTTTTTAGTGCTTCTTATAAGTATTAACACGCTATTTTAGGCAAGATTTTCTTGTATTGCTTTCATTTACACCACTATAAACTAAACAAGTTATTTTAATATTCATTTACTTCTTCATTTGTATATTTCAAACTTCTTTATTAACTATAATTATGTAACAAAATTAAGTGTTGTAATCTATAACTACGTCACAATTTATGTGTATTGATGTTTTGGATATAATAATTACGTTACTTTTTCTGCTTTTCTCATTGGTATTTTAAATAGTGCCTTTTAACATTACAATTAACGAAAATAAGTACATATATTGAATAACTCTAAACATAAATCTTTACATTAAATATGTTACACAATTTATAAATTTTTATAAAGTTGAAATTTTACTAAGACATTTTGTCTATGTATGGAAATGAAATATTTGCTGTACAACTTTATGTATGAGTAAACATGTGTAATTTACAATTCCATATTTGGATAAAATTCCAATATAATAGAATGGATTCTTAAATATTTGACTAGTAAATCACAACTTTAGTCGTGTCAGGGATTCCCAAACTTTTTTGAAATACTGACCCCTTTTCCAAAACGAACTGTAATCTTAGACCTCCATTATTGATAATAGTCCTTTACCTTAAAACAGCTACTTACAGAGTATTATTTTTCATTCTGTCTTAGGTCAATAGGAGAAGATAGAATTCTCACTCTGTGTTCTTCGCTGCGATATTCTAATTCCTTTGTTAATTCGACATCAAACACTTTGGGAATCCCTGACATAGTGTGAAACTTAACTTACCATCTTTTTGAAATGTATACCAACGGAGAGCGGCTCCTCCCAGCTGGCGACAGCATTTTTGAGACCCTCCAAAAAGTTCTTATGCAATTCGTGCAATTCTGATATCTTATAGAATATAGTACCGAATTCCTCTTCCGTTATAACGGGCTGTGATGTTGACAGAGTCGCTTTTATAGCGTTCATGTACTGCGATAAGATAAATCTATGTTAACAGAAATTATACTTCACGTGTTTGAGTTGAAGCTATTGTTATCATTAGAAAGAAAAAAGCTAAGGACATTTAAAGTTTGGTTTGAGTTGTGAAATGTTGGTTGAGAGTAGCCTTAGTCAAACAGACTATTATCATTGACAGCGCTATGCTTATTACGATGAATGTGTTTATAAAAAAACTAAAGGAATTAGCTCTAGAAGAGTTTCTTTAATTATAAAATTCACAACTATATACAAAATCTTGTACTAGTTACATAACTTCATAGTTAGCGATATACGATATAAAGATGACTTCATCGCCTTTTAAAATAAAATTAAGGGAATATACTTGAATTTTAATACATTATGATTGATTTATATAAGCAGTTTATTTTTGTATATAGAATCAGTGTAAATTTACCTTCTCCATGACATAGAGACATTCTACGTAGACAGTCTCACTTTCTATAATACTGGTGACGATACATCTGTGCATGGTCAGCCTTTCAGCCTCAGCATTATTGCTGATCATAGATTCCTAGAACATTAGTTAAAACACTCAATACATGTATATCAATACCAACGAAATTATACTCGTATTAAGACCCTATTGAATTTGTGGACGAAATTGGTAGGTTTTTTGATATTACTGTCATATTAAACCATTACTTAGATCACCTTTTAAGTAAATGTAATAGTTATATACTTTTTGTACACATTGTTTAAAGTAAATGAGTAAAAGGATTTTTCTTAAAAATCAAGGCATGAAAAAGGAAAAATATACATATACAAAAGATGTGACAGAGTAGTATATTATTAAAAAAAAAGTAAATGAAAAATATATTTATTATTAAATTGTTTTTATAGTTTCTTGTTTTAATTATAGAATTGCATTACAAAAATGATATAAATAACATCTTTAAAAAAACTCAGCTTTCGTATATTAAAAATTTAAGGCACAAAACAATTTTTTTAAGGTAAAAATTGAAAGAAAAAAGGTCAACGTTGCGTGTGCACTATAAACTTGCATAACGAGAAACAAAAGGCGATTAAAACAATATTTTCTAAACACGATCTGTAAAACAACGTTTACGCCTTAAAATGTATTCTCACTTACTCTGAAGTAACAGCTACAATGAAAGCTTTACATTTTATCGCTTATACATTTCTTATAAAATCTATTATATGTATAGATTTTGACAGTAAGTGTTATATTAATATATATTTAAAAAAATTATGGTATATAGTTTATCTTTTACTGTATTCAATTTCAACGAATTTACACCCACAGGTTACGAAGTGAATCGAATAGAATTCACGCCGGTACATGATGCTATCATTTTCAAAGACATCGCTGACATTATGACAGAATTCGAAAATAACATGGTAAGTAATGTTAAATTAAACACATTGTATATACATAAATATTAAATATTTCAATATTACAGTATTCGGAACTGAATACCCCGGTCATGAATTATAGCGAAAGCGATGAGGATATAGAAGATTTACTATCAGAATATCAACATTACTTAGATAAGGCGCATAAACAGAGAGTTGGTTATATAGAGAGAAGCAAAAGCAAAAATAAAGTGCCGATGTTACGTCACGAAAAATATAGCAAATTGAAACCAAAAACACAAGTCGACGAGCAAACAAACTATTATTTCGACATGAAACATCACACTAATCCCTTTTTCAACGCAATGAGTTTACCTATTAAAACTAATTATGACACTGAAATGAGGGAGAAGACGATGATTGATTTACCTCAAATTTTATCTAAACCAACCTACGAGCCAACATCGTCTTGCCATTGTAAGGTAGACCAAATCCCTTGCAAGTGTCCATGCAAGCAATGTTTCATAACACTAACCGAAAATGGTGAACTTAATCATCACGACCAGAAACTCAACTCAACGAACGACAAATTGAGTCTGAGAATTAAAGTTGATGTTCAGCTACCAAACTTATCTGATTTAATCAATTTCATAAAATTACACAGCGTCGACAGAAAAAACAGTCCGGAATGGCCTACACCAAAGAACATTCTAGCAAATTTTAATGTTCCATTCCCATTTGCTGAAATTCCAATGCCCATACACACTTTTGATTTCCGCAATAATTTTCGAAAGGATAATCCTCCTGTACATAAAATAACGATCCATAAAAAGAAAAAATCACGATCGAACAATGGCAAGAAGCATAAAGGTAAAAAATTATTTAGTTTCCATCATGAAAGTATTGAACCACAATATCATGAAAATAATACTGATGTAATCAACAAACATAATTTGGATAATAGGACGATAGGCTTCAACAGTAGTGAATCAAATATTGTTACACCAAGCAATCAATCTGATGTTTTTGATACATTCCGTAATATATCAAGTCGTAATATTGTAACTAATTTTCCCGATACCAAATTGGACTCTTTTAACACTATATATTTAACAATGAATATTTCAAATAACGAAAATAACACAGAAGAATCAATCAAAATAGAAAACAGTATTGAGAACGATTACGTTAAATACAACATCACGACCGATCAACCGTTGCGTTTGAAGCGCGAAGTATTTGATTTCAGCGTACAGCCGTTTAGAGGGCCGTTTAAAAAATTAATAAACGAAACCCAGCAGCAGAATCAAACTTTTATAAATAACACAAAAGAATCGAAAAAATCTATAGTCCCTGCGGACAGTCTTTTGCTTTATTGGCCAATTGAAATCCAATCTCAACCAGCGCCTTCAAAGAATATAACAGCTTTGATCATGGAGAGAGAATCAAAGAAACGTAAATTAAATATAACCCACGAGGCTATACGTAGTAATCGGACGAAAGCTCTCGAACAGGCGATTTTTGGGGATGTTAATTGGAATGACGTTGACACTGTGGCACCTGTTTTCATGTCGTTCGTAGGTAAATACATTAAGGGCATACTAACATTCTGCTCGGACAGTGTATGTCATTCAATGAAATGTTCAGATAAAGTATGCACGCATAGAATATGTACACCACAAAATAGATACAATCAAAACGGCCATTGTCCCGGCAACAATAAAACCGGTAAGTATCTTAATTTATTTATGTTATAACTAGCTTTCCGCCTGCAACTTCGCCCGCGTGGAGTTCGGTTATATCGCGTTTCCAAGAGAACCTTTCAACAGTCTGGGATAAAAATATCCTATGTTCTTTCTCAATGTCAACTGTATCTCTGTACCATATTTCATTAAAATCAGTTCAGTGGTTTAAGCGTGAAAGCGTAACAGACAGACAGAGTTACTTTCCATTTATAATAGTAGGGATAAGGCCGAATATGAAATAATTATCACACTTAACATTTCAGACAGCGTCGCAAATATGGAATCTATCATGGATCTACCGTCGAGCGTCGCTTTTGAAATAGTCGATATATTAAAAGACAATCTTTCGGGTAAAATTTATGGTAAAATGACGCTATGTATAAACTCCAAATGTTGCACGTTTTCGGCCGCTAAAAAGAGTTTCCATAAAGCCAAATGCACACAAAAAGATGTCGACCCGTCATCTGGTCATTGTACTAATTTAAAAAACGCAAAAGTAAACTAAATCTTACGTAGAACATTACAAAACTTAAGCTATATAACTATATTGTTTGTAAACACTGTAGCTGGCTCATAGAGCTCTGATAAAAGTAGCTTGCACTGTGGTTTTATCTTTACTGAGTACAATAATGTTCATGAAAAATACATTTTCAATAATTGTTGTCGTTTTATTTCTTGTGATACCTGAATTACAAGTAAGTAAATTAGAAGAAAAACCGTTGTAAATAATTAACAAATTATGTTATTAATTAACTGCCTCACCCCGTCATCGCCTTGTATTATCAAACTGAAATATTTCAGTTCTTCATTCATAAATTTATGTACAGTCAGTGTACGTTAATATATGAATTAAATAATTTAAATTGTCTATATGATTTAGTTATGAAAATTTAATGGTAAGGAAAAAAAGTTAAAAATCAATATGACGTTGAATATTTCAAAGCTTACATACAATTAATTATTTTATTTGAAAATGACACTATAGGAAGGACACGCAGTCTACATACTGCCATGGAGATCAATAAATCGCGATATACCTAAAATAATAGACTTTGAAACAAATGGAAACATAAAAACTAAATATATACCGAAAAATCAATTCGTCAATTTGAAGAAAGTCCTCGATAATTCAAAGCGGATGACATCTATTCGTGGAAAAGACACCGCGAATGCTTCTGTAGCGGTGATTGGTATACGAAATTTCATAAGAGATTTCGCAGCAACGGTACGTCCGATGCAAATCATCAAGATATTAACATACTGCAAGGAAGGCGCCGATCTATGTAAATTCTTAACCTGCCCGAACATCACGCAGAGCTGCTTGTTATGTGAAGTCGATTTAAAAAATAAATTCAAAAACGGCACCATATGCCGGTCCTATTCAACGACATTCCTGACAAATAAATAAAAAATACAAAACGAAAATATTCTTTCACTCACAATGGTTCTTATCGATGAGGAGTAAATTAAAATTTTTTAATAATTAAATGCATTTCTTCCTTCGTAAGTCATTAAGTAAACATTCCCGGATTTCTTATCTTATAAGAGATACGGTGCCGTCGGCAGTATATAAGGATAAGACGGAGCAATTCAAACATTAACATTGTGCATCTCACGCTACGGACAGATGTCACTATGTTAGGTGCTAAGATTATCGTGTCCTTGTGCATTTTGAGTGTAGCGCATACATCTTTGGGCAATCCGTACAATTGTGAGTATTTTATCAATAACAATAACATCCTTTAAAATATTAACAACCTGAGCCTCTTTAGAAATTAGTTATGTATATTTCTGTGTACAAATTCCTTCTACAGACAATGTGGTTGAGGGTCGCGGTATTGGCTCTACATTATGGGGTTGGATATCGTATCCTTTTACTTGGTGGTATGGTAGCACTGAACCGGTTCCAGAGACCGATCAACTCATAGGAACAGTTCCCATCACTACAACAAAAGATGTCGAGATAAAGCCGCATAACGTGACCATGTGCAACACTCAGACTTGTACCACTATGACATGCGACAGCAACGGATGCAAGGAACTAGTCACATGCAACATTTACGACACGGATTTGAATGGGGACTGCAGGACTTATAACACAGTCATACCACCAGAGGAGCCAACCACTGTCAAATCTTCAAGTACGGTTGAAAAACCGCTAGAAATAACTACATCTCAGTCATCAACAGCCGCGCCCACAACGCCCATTCCTAGCGATAACCCACCAATCGAAGAGCGCCCTCTGGAGCTTGAAGCGGTACTATCATCCACCGTTACGGAGATAGATAACAACGAATGACAGGTAAACATCCAACTCCATATTTTTTTATTCAAAACAAACCTAAAAACAACTAAACATTAAATAATTTAAAACATGATTATGTGTAGCCAAGACCGCATTCCATTACGTGTTTTCATTATCATCTCAAATAAAATTTCAAAAATGTAGACCATGAATCAAATAACTATCTTATTTCAGATGAAATACCAAAAAGTAACGATGCGTACGGTTCTCAACCAGTGCATCTGGACGAAATCATTTTAGACTACATACGGACATACATCGTCGAACACGTAACTAGAATAACAAACAATATAATAGAAAAATTAAACATAGATTCTGTATGTACAAATGGTAAATGCTATTACAAGAGATGCTTTAATAAACATTGCATACTGGAGTACTGCATCTACAACATAATCACGGGAGATAGAAAATGCACCATAGACAATATACGCAACAAAATAAACAACATATTTATGGACAAATCAAATTTAAACTATAAAGAAAAAATGGAAGCCAATGAAATACCAAGTGACTAACATGAAAAAATAAACTACGCAATTAAATAAAGAATGTATCTTAAATCAAAATAAAGTTTAATTTCTTTGAAAACTCAATGTAAATTAAAACATCTACTTTGAAAGGTCTTTTATTTTCTTTTTCTCATTTTATTCTTCAAATAATGGAATATTTAGAATGAAATATTTATGAATTAATATAACACTCCATTCAATTAATAAATGTTATCAAAAAAACAATAATATAATTTTGGCATTCGTATAATAACAAAAAAGAATCTATTAGTTATTGTATTTTATATTATGAAATGAAGAATTTATTTTACTGAACAGTATATATACTTAGTCCGAGTTCGCATGACTACACACTACACAGTACATAGCCAGCGTTAACAGTTTTCATATATCTTCTCACATTATAGTACTGGTAAACGGGAAAGAGTCCGTATGCAGTGTGATCGGGCTAACTATCGCCGAGCACAAAGGTACTAATACCTAAACATTTGACGTTTCGTTACCGTATATATACATATAGTATATACATATATAATTCAAGATATATTTACTATATATAGTATAACGTTTCCCGTGACTTTAATTTACATTTCCAAATTCCAATGTTAGGAATGTAACTTTTGACATCACCACTTACATCCAGTGGCGGCTGTACCTTAAGTGCACTCGTGCGCTGAACCACCAATTCAAAAGATTTAAAAATAACAAAATATTACTTCATCTTTATTTTTAAATTAACATTTTAATATTTATTTTTTAAACCGACCGAAGATTACCGAGATCACCCGATGTATGACGAATTGAGCGATGATTGACATCTCGTTATGTTTTGTTGCATTTTCTAATTTAAATATTTTTGTAAAGTGCACCACCGGGTCGATTACCCACCAGCCGCCACTGCTTACATCTATTATAATATAAAGCAAAATTTACTTTTCATTGGTACTTAAACTTGAGTCACACATAGATAATAATTAGTTCGGGGTGTGTTACGGAACAAAGCAACAAACATACAAACCGTCATCACAGATGCTAAAAAGTAGCCGAAACGTCGGCAGTATGTAGTTTTATCAAAAACTAGCTTTCCGCCCGCAGCTTCGCACGCACTAAAACTATCCTATGTTCTTCCTCAAGGTCAACTCTATCTCTATACCAAATTTTATTAAAATCAGTTCAGTGGTTTAGGCGTGAATGCGTGACAGACAGATAGACAGAGTTACTTTCGCATTTATAATATTAGTAGGGATAAAGTCGCGTAGTATATCCCAAAAATATAAATTTAAATAAGACTCGCGATAATCTTAGATCTCATTATACAAACCTGTTGCTGTAGTTTTCTTAATACGGGTGGTGTAGCGCTGGCTTCTGTGTCAGAGGATATGGTCCTCAATAGAAGCGGTGTATCACTTGAATCAGCCAATTCACCGGTCTCACTTGGTTCCGTACCTTCACCGGCATGTCTACACAAAAATATAAGTAAAGAAACCTATACTTCACAACATGTAAGGCAGACCCTGGCTAAAAGCTGGGAAATTGCCAGGTAGAAAAAAAACCCAATACATTTGTTTAAAACGCTTATATATCTTGTAATTTAAACTCTTCTTCTACCTGGCAATTTCCCAGCTATAGCCAGGGTCTGCCTTACATATTATGAATAGTTTTGGCTAATTGTTTTTACGACCGGCCGCCTGCCTGACATCAACCCTCTTTTGGGAATCAACATTAATCAGTGATGTCTAAAAACTCTTAGAAAGTACATATGATTCCGAAAAATCACATTGGTACTTGCCCGGGTCAGGATCGAACCCGCGCCCTCGGCGACGAGAGGCCGAGAGGCGGGCCCTTTAACCACTGAGCCACCACTGACTTATCTTGTAATTTAAACTGTTAGTTATAAATCCTATTTATTCATTATATGTATTAAATATATTTATTTCAATTAATATTAAATTTAACAAATCAATTTTAATTAAAACTAAAATATCATATTACTATTCCATATAAGATTTATTTACATTTAACTAGTTAGTAATAAAAGATGAATCATTTTATGATAATAGTGTATACTACACATAATGTTGACGATACATTTTTACCACACTATTATTTAACAAGTGTGTGAGCTGTTTTCCCCGAATTTAATCACAAGCAGGCCGCCAGCTAGTTTTAATACGCCATTTCCTCTTCGAGCGTAGTTTTTAACGTTAATATATTAAGTGAATGTTCACAACAAACATTCATGGAAACGAGATGACTAACTACATCTAAAATAGTACGAAGTTTTCATATTTGTATAATTTAATAAACAAGTAATATATTAATAACTCAACAAGACAAAACAACGCGATGACTATCACAATGAAGCGGATTTTTAAGAGAATTACATCCGTGCTTCCATTTCAAAATCCTATTTAAAAGTCACATTAAAATCGGTGCAGCGTTTTAACAAAAAAATTTCGGCACCCGCACGGTAAATACATTGAATGCTGAGAGGTTTCGTCGTATATACTAACTAGCTAACACGGCAGACTTTGTACTGCCTCAACCGATAAATAAATAATGTTTTATTTATATTTTTGGAGTTTATCTATAAGCCATAAATCTTCGTGTTCTGAAGTGCGACAGAATTATTGACGTATTAGTTAGTTGTCAAATCTAATGTCAAAAAAATGTTTGTATGGGAAATAGAAAAGCGATGTTTTAGGCTTTTCCCGGAAATAATTACAATTTTTTTCAGCTTTTAAACCTTTCCTGAACCTCCACGAACATTTCAAGACTAAGATAAGATAAATCCGTTCAACCGTTCTCGAGTTTTAGTGAGACTAACGTACAGCAATTTTTATATATATAGTGTATACTAACTGTATGAAGTAGTGTATGTTGACGTAGTTCGGTGCGACTGCGGAGGGAGGTGAATCGGGAGCCGGCGGGGCAGAGGCTGCCGGCACCGCGCTAACTTCCTCCGCACTAGAACTAGTACCGGCGCCTCCTATATATACAAATATATATATATACATTATATAACCACATATAAGTCGACAGATTACGTATTAAAATTGATTACCGCAGTCAAATTATCTTATTTTATTTTATTAATTGTTAACAACTTTAAGTACAGTACCAATCTCTGTGTGATTGTAATTTACTATTGTTATAAGAGTAGTAAAAATTTACTGCATCGTTTCTGCTAGAAATTAATCGATGTCCACGAGACAGGCGTAGCCTAGTGTGGACGTCAACGTTTACTATATATTGCATTGTTAAGTGTTTTTACAAATGAATAAATCAATAAATGTAAATGTATTAAATTAAATCTGTATAACGTAACACCAACTAAACAAGATAAATATTGTAAATAAACTATCTCGTATTCGATTCAAATTTCAATCACCACATTATAATCATCAACATATTCTTTTGAAGATACTTTTTTTATAATAAAACAATATCATTATGACCAAGTATCAATAATATAATATATTTACCGGCTTGTATGTAGACGTATTCCCCATCATTGATGTCCACGGGAACTTGATCGTAGTACGGTTCATCCTCGGTAGAGGGCACAGCTGGTATACTCTCTAGTGATATCGGTGCTGACTTATCATCAGAACCCTCGTGTAGATCGGGAGTCGTTGAAGTTACTTCCTCGTCTATAGAACGAGGGGTAGCCGCACCACCTGAACGCTTGCGCTCCGAAGACAATGAATTGATTGATTCATAGCTTTTAACCTGATGTAGTAGAATTAATGTAAGGAATTACTATGGCTACACTTTTTAGATAAACACATTTTTCTTTGATAATCCATGATTCAAAAATGTACATACCAATGAAAAAAACAGTATAACTATCGTTATGAAAATATGTAAATAAAAATATATTATGGATGAGAACTTTGTAAATCAGAGACATTAAATAATTCATTGGATAGTTTTACACTAAAAATTGTTTTATCTTAGCTATTCCATATAAAATATCGTGATTATTATTAATAGAATAGAATAGAATAGAATATACTTTATTGTACACCACAAACAGTAAATTTTACACGGAAAAAATAAAATAAATGGAAATGTACAAAAAGGCTGTCTTATCGCTATGCAGCGATTTCTGCCCGACAACCTTCGATTTGGGGAAATTGTGCAGCGAAAAGGTAGGTGGTGCCTAATATTTATACATATATACACTAATACATATATAAATAGATACATACAATACATACAAATATACATATATACATAAATATATATACTAATAAATATAAATGAACAATTAGACATATAAATATAAATGAATATATGTAATAATATATAAGTCGTCTCAAATACTAAATTATTAACGACAGCTAAATAAGTATGTATAATAACATCAGTGCGAATAAAGCATGGATTAAAACATATAATTCGGCGCAATTACTATTGTTTGAATAATCAATAATAATGGAGGGTAGTTGAAATTATCAGTTGTGACCCGCATAACCTGCGTAGACACCTGTACAAGTTTTTAAAACAACGAATTCGCTCCTATTCCGACATATATATAACTAGCTTTCCGCCCGCAGCTTCGCCCGCGTGGAGTTCGGTTATATCGCGTTTCCAAGAGAATCTTTCAAAAGTCTGGAATAAAAACTATCCTATGTTCTTTCTCAAGGTCAACTCCATCTCTGTACCAAAATTTCATTAAAATCAGTTCAGTGGTTTAGGCGTGAAAGCGTAACAGACAGACAGACAGAGTTACTTTCGCATTTATAATATTAGTAGGGATTACCCTTTCGCTTATGGATGGTGTAGAGGCTCGACTGGTGATTGATTCCCTGGAATCAGCGTTCCTCAGCCGTCGTAAGGAAGATGGAGGACTGTCTTCCGCTAGGCCAGACTCTGGCAGCGAAGCGCCACGCTTGTTGAACACTTTCGGTGGTGGTCTAAGAAAGAATAATTATATAATTATTGTCTATAGGCGGTACTCTTGATAACATATATTAGATGTATCAATTAAAATTTATTAAATATTCAAAAAGATATCTAAAATAATAGACGTGAAATCAATTCCATTCAATAAATTGTAAGTCGAAACATTTATGCTCACTAATATTGTATCATAAATTACCAGTATGTCTTAGTCAAAACAAACTTAATTTAAATTAAAAGCAAAATTTTTAAAAAACTCATTGGAATAAAGTATATAGTAATTTGAATTTGACCAAATGCTAACAGTACATAAGCGAATTTTTTTCGTCGTATGACGTCCGTAGGGATAAGGCGTAACCTAGACAGACTTACCATATGTCATTTTAATTGACATAAAGCCATACAAAAGTCTGTCATCTGTAAAATGCTTTGTTTGAGCCAATAAATTTGACTGTGTTAATGTTTTTCAGTAACTGTTAGAACTATTTTAGCATGAAGTCACTAGATAACTCCAATAACTTTTTATATAAATATAGACCTCACACAACACCACTACTCACAAAAACTGCTTATCATGAATATTATAAAAGCAAATGTTTATTTTCTCATTCTGTATCATAACAACTATAAAACCATTAAATGAAGTGGAATTTTAAGAATATATAACTATTTTAATGCTTTCTACAAAACAAACTGAGTTTCCATTTAAAAGAAATGGATTATTTCTTTTATAATCAATTCAAATAACACATGTCACCTAGTTAAACCTATTTAATGATATAACTTACTTTGGTGGTACTTTCTTCTTAACAGGAGGTGCAGATTCCAAGGAATTACTTTCCGATGATGGTGTAGAGTCATCTGACTTCTTGGCTGCCTTCTCAGCTGCTTTGAGACCATTCACTTCAATCACAGTAACAAAATCACCCGCTTGTGATGCTGGACGGTTCTTGTTTTGTGTCTTATTTGGTTCTACATCTACTGTAAGTAACAATAAATAATACATTAACCATCAAACACTATAAACTAAATTATAAACAATAATTCTATCTTTACATACCACTATTGTCATTGTCAGTTCGTTGTACAATTTCACTATTACAACGTCTCCGAGCTTCTGCCGCTAGATTTGAAGATAGCTCATTGATGCATTGGTTAACAGAACTCCTTTCTGCAAAGTTTATTGGTTTTTTCCTCAAATGGACCTCATCATTCTCGGCTCCCTCTATTGAGTCATCGCTTTTTAAACTTGATTCACTCTTCTTTGATAATGAGTCAGTGTTGGAATCCTTAATATAATAAAAACATACATATTATATTACATAAGTATTATGTGACAACAGATGTAAACATTTCTCAATATTGCATGCTAGTTTAAAGCTATGGCTTTGCTTGCAGGTTTTTATTTCTTTCATCAAGGTTTTCACTTTTGAAATAATACAAGATTTTATTATGTGAGAAGTATTACAGTATTCAAAAAAAAAATTGCATGGAAATTATTATGTCAATATTTGCAAGCTATAATACAATTTTTTGCCTGCCATGTCTTAATTTTCTCTTGATTTAGATACAAATAAAAAAAACTATTATATTAACTATGTATTATAAAATAAGTAGTGCATATTGTTCATTTGTAACAACAATCTATTTGGACTCGCCCATGAAGTAGTTATTTCAAGTACATTACCTAAACAATAACTGGCTAAGTGCTCTCTAGGGTGTGTGAGAAGCATATCAATTAATATATAAAGTATAATAGACTATATTTTTTTTGTTGCATATACATCAAAAGTTAGTTAAACTTAAATGTTACATATTTCTTCTTTTCATTGTTATTAATTAACTCTATACAAATAAGAAGTCAATGAGATTAAGATATGAAAAATGTATATACATGAATAGTTGTCAATCATTATCATAGAATTTTTTCTGTACTTGCCATATGTACACATATAATTGAAAAAGACTTAACTAGTAATAAATATAATAATAAAATTAAGACTTATATACTATTCATGTAAAAGTTACTTTTAAAAATATACTAAATAATATAATTAATTGAAGTAGACATTATTTCGTATAATAGAGGGTTGTAGTAAAGATTATATGATAAGGAAAATCATTACCTGTTTGCTATCAGATGTCTTATCATCATTCGTGTCAGCCCCTGAGGGCGGCGCCGTTCTGCTTTCCTGAGATGCTTTATGTTTTTCGACGTCCGACAAAAGAGTCTCTAAATATTCAACATAGAATTCTTCCTTCTCCAACTCTTCCCTGAGAATCGCAACTTTCTGTTTATGTTTAGCCAAATTAGCTCTGACATCTTCCTCCCAAGCTGCTGGGAGGGCACTCTCGGGAAAACGTTGCACCCACACACGCTGAAAATCTCCGAAGACACTCATCTCTCACAAAACGATTTCATGTCAATTTTATGTTACAGTAATAATCACAGTATCCTCTGTCTATTGTAAAAAATGTATCAGAAATTCTGTCATCGTAAAATCAGAGTAAGTAGTTTTTTTTATTTTGACATTTAGGTGTTCAAAGATTAAGCAAAGGTGTACACTGTTATATGCATTTATTATTATATCACATGAAGAAATTTTGTTTATAAAATTACTTTATATTCTTAATAACACCTCCCTTACAATATTGAAAAGTTAAAATTATTTTATATTTTATTTTATAATTCGAATCTTTCGTGTAGAGTAAATGTGTTGTCTATATCTTCCATTACCAAATATGATTGATGTTTTATAAACAGGCAACAAATCTGACTTTGACAACATTGAACTATTGAGTGCAAAAGTATTGACTATTTAATCTGGACCTGAGCCCTGGATACAGTCTAGGCACTAGGGAGAATCTAGGTTTAGCCTAATGGCGAAATATAAGAACTATTAATTTTTTTTGTGTAGATATTGAGTTTGAGATTACTTATAAATATGGATAAAACAGAAGTTAAGGGCATGTTAGATGATCTTAAATCTTCAACTTCAAAAATAATCATAGAGTCTCTATTAAGAATTAAGTCAATGATTGTTAATTCTGAGAGAGGAAGTAGACTCTTCAGGGAATGTAATGGTTTTCCTTACCTGGTACAACATTTGCTGAAACCAAATGAAAATATTCTGAATCTAACATTAAGTATCCTGGGGGACCTGTGTCTGGAACAGAAAAGCTGTATTGCTGTAAGTTTTTCTTTTTCATCCCTTACTATATTATTAAAATATTTATAGTACAATGATTGCTATATTCTTTGAAAAGATTATATACTAGTTATTATTGTTTTCTTCTCTTCTAATTAACAGATTTTCTTTTGTGTGCTCCAATATTGTACACATAAATATTTGTCTTCTAACACTTGTTCATAAATTTTATTAATTTATTTTATTAATAAAAATTATATTTCAAACAACACTTCCAACAATTTTGTAGTTTTTTAGGAAATGTGAAACATATGTTTTGCTTTTAATAGATTCTTTAATAATATACACTTAAAACTAATTATTGTATTTCATAAATCAGTTTTTTTTTACCGCTATGCTATATACAGATTTAAAATTGTTGACATAAATTATTTATATAACACTGAACGACCAACTTAATAATCTTTATTAAGAATACATTTATGAACGCAACATTAGCAAAATATATGAGTTAAATAACTAATAACTCCAAGAATAGTATAGATTTATTCTTTGTTTATGTATTACAATTTTTTTTATGTCTTTTGTATTTTAGAAATAAAATAGTAATAAGTTTGCACTTATTACATTAGTGTTACCACTATTACTACTGTAGTTGAAATATTTCTCTATCTTTTTTTTTTAATGTGTTTTATCTTTCTTTAAAATGTATTGGTTTTACTCCTGTAAGGTCTTAAAAATGAATGAAAGAAATTTAGTGCGTATTTACAATGAAAATTTATTTAAATTACAAGTTGATTGATTGATTGACCAATTGATTGGTTGATTGAAATCTCAATCTATAAATTAACTTAAACCTGATAATTCATAATAATTTCCAATTATACTATATAGAGAATAAGAAAAATCCATATGAATGATATATTTCGTGAAACAAAACAAACAAGTCGCCATGCTATCCGCCGCGTAATGTAAATCAAATAACGCTGTGCAATCCTGTCTTTGAATGTTTATAGTTATATGCACGGCGACGCATATCTAGCCGAGCTACGTATTGATTTCTGCGTGCCATCTGTATTATAATATGATTGTTACAGATTGGAAAATTGAATACATATGGACCTTTGGTAACGATATTAAATACGGTATGTCGCGATAGCATTCTAGGGAGGACATCCCGTTTAATCGGTAATTTGGCACGTGACAGGAAGAATGCTGAAAAATTTTTCGATCACGGCACAGTCAAAGCGCTGATGGCAATTATTGATAATAGGGATAAAAAAACCTCGTACGCAACCCTCATTATGGTCGTAAGAGCTATTCGGTTAGTATTTATAGAAGCTCGTTATATTACGACAGGGTCGTGAAATATAAGGTTTAACATTCAAATAGATTTATGAGAAATATTTAAGTTAGAATTATTGTTTCATAGGAAGCTGTGGTCGGTGGAAGGGAAGAGAAATGAAATGATCAGTATGAACGCGATCCGTTGCATCGCTATATTGATGACTTCTGAATGCGAGATAATGGGTTACATTAAATCCTCTGATAGCGATAATGACGTCGATGAACCTACCAGACTCCAAATGGACTTTATGGGTGGAATTTTAAAATGCATATGGACTTTCACTTCCCACCCTGTTTCATCTTGTGCTGAACAGGTGAAATACCATTACTTGTCATTTTGATTTTGTAAACATTTTTACGCTGTTTCGATTAAGACTAAAAAAAATATTTTAATTCTTCCGCTACTTGTTTTTAATAACATATCTTATATTAACCATAGTTTTACATATCCCTTTCCTCCTTAAAGATGATCGTTTTATTACTTCTCTGGTAGAATTCACTGCCGATTTATCTTTACTCTTAAATATATTAAAAATTAAATTTGCTTTACATTACTATCACATAAAATACAGGCAAAGAGCAAGAATCTTTATGCCAATTATATTTATGATTTTTTTAGATCCAAGGCGACGGTCGTGGCTATCAGAGCCTCGTGGTATTAACAAAAACAAACACTACGATAGCCATGAAGTGTTTGACGAACCTGTGTTTCATATCATCATGCCGGCCTCAGCTCGGTATGGCGGGATTCGTTGAATGTCTCATAGAAAATCTGAAGAAGGAAAAAGGTTTGAACAAATTATTTTCCGTATATTATTATTTTTAGCATTCAGTTCATTCTATTACCCTTACTAAGAGTTTATATGTACGTGAAAAGAATTGCAGAGAGTTTCCAAATTTAAATATTATTATGTGAGACGTTTTATGAATATAAAATTGAAAAGCATATGTTGTCTTTTGAGATGATATTGAGTTTTTTTTCCATTATATAATTTATGGTTTTTATTGTAGTATTATGATCCTAGTTACACATTCTTATGTTTACTATTTTTGAACGAACTTTAGGTCACCGAATCCTCACGGATCTCTAATAGGATGTATTAATTAGACCCTATATAACTTTGTGGCGTAAGCTGAAAACTACTTCTTTGATTTGATTAAAATTCTTCGCTACCTAAAACAATATGGACATTTTTCTTGGATGTTAAATGTATTCACCATAGAACAATAGCATATATCAAAAACAAATACTACTATTTTAGATCACAATTCGCAGGAAGATACGTATGACGTCATTTCCCACTGAAGATTCAAGTGTACAGCTTGAAACAGTCTTTTTTTTTTTCAATTAAACAAGTACATGAATAATTTCGTAATTATATCACAAATAATATAAATATACTAGAAGACCCGGCGAACTTCGTATCGCCCTATAATCAAGAAATATCTGTTACGTTTTATTTATTTATATTTTTGGAGTTTACGTATTAAAGCCATAAATCTCCGTGTTTTGAAGTGCGACAGAATGATTGACATATTAGTTAGTTGTCAAATCTAATGTCAAAAAAAACGTTTGTATCAACAACTGCTAATAAATCAAAAATTAATTAAAAAATATTGTCCAGCGGACAAATTTGGGAATCTAAACCATTCGCAGATCCCCTTGAACACACACAAAAAATTTCATCAAAATCGGTCCAGTCCTTTGAGAGAAGTTCAGTGACATACACACTCACAGAAGAATTATATATATACAGATGTGTAATTGATAATACTTTCAGACCCAACATATTGGCCGGATGGGTCACCAATGGCTTTGGCCCAACTGAGCGGTGAATCCGTGAACAGATCTCGTCTCCGCCGCTGTGGAGGTCTACCTCTGCTGGTCAACGCAGCTAAAATGAACACGCATGCGATGAACGCACTGCTACAATACGTTTTTGATGATTCTTGTAAGTCATATTTCAATCTACTCAGTAAATGTATCGAAGATTTTTATTTTGGAAACTTTATTTTAAAATTCAATACTTTGAGACATATTGGTGAATGATTTCATAAAATTGTGATTATGTAAGCTGGTTTATCATGAGTTCATAGTGATGATTTTCTCAGCGTTCCAAATACTTATCGGCGAAGGACTTGTCAGTATATTGACGGACAAGTTAACAACGTACGTACGTAATATGTCGTATGAGCACAACGTGACGACTGGTTTGAGCAAGGAGCAAACGAAACCTAAAGAAAAACCTGTAGACCAGGGTTTCGTCTACGATGTAGCTGTTCAAAACTTATCCGGGGATATGTTCTTCCGTCCCGCTTCTGGGTCATCAAAAAGAAAGAGTCAGCTGCTGTCAGATACAGGGGATGATATGAAGGTTGTGATAGAAAGAGACAACATGATCGTCGGCTTCGTGGACGCCATAGAGAGTGAGGCGAGCGAGAGTGAGAGCGAAAATGAGGAGCGTCCTCCGCCCAAAAAGAGAAATCTGAAACGATCCAAGTCCAAGAGCCCGAAGAATTCCAAAAAGGTAACATCAGTTCGAGCTTATAATATACTGTTCACTGCACTAATTATTCTAAAACACACATTTCTCATATTTATCCGTAGAAGTCAACACACATAGCAAGTAAAGATTGGTCGTCTGGTGTGTTCTGGGAGCCAAAAAGTCCAGAGTTGCCGGTACTGCAATCTAATCCGTCTACAAGTACGAACAAGGAGCCCCAACTACCAGACCTTAATGCTCAGTACACGGGCCCGGGCTCCGGAGACAGGGTGCATGTACAATGGAGTCCCGAATCTGGTGTCAGTATCGGAGAGTTCTATACACCACCTCATGCGCCTTGGAGCCCTAACAGATTAACGCCTTCTCCTATCAGCTTGAGCAATGAGGACGGTAAGAATTTATATTCTGACTAGCTGCGCCCCGCGATGTTACCCGCGGATTTCTGTGATGTAAAGTAGCCTATGTGCTATTCCTGGACGTCAGCTTCCTGTATACAAAATTTTATCAAAATCGGTCCAGCCGTTTGAGCGTGAAGAAGTAACAAACATACACACACACTCACAAACTTTCGCAATTATAATATTAGTAGGATAAAAAGAAGACATTGTCTATTGACATTTTACTATCTGTTGTCTATGTTGTCAATTCTAATTCTCTTATTCCCAGATAGTTCAGATTCCGAAGCCTCGGGCAGTTATTCACCGGTCTGCAGTGATAATGATGAAACTAACGAAGGTACTACAAATAAGACACAAGATGAAGAGGTCATTGAAATAGACGAGGACAGCAATGAAGAGGAAAGTGATACCGAAGGTATGGAACGATCGATGTGTATGTGACAATCAGTGGCGGCTGTACCTCGAGTGCACTCGTACGCTGAACCACCAATTCAAAAGATTTAAAAATAACAAAATATTACTCCATCCTTATTTTAAATTACCATTTTAATATTTATTTTTTAAACATATAAAAAATTTAATTTCCTAACTATGGTCAAAAAGTTTGAGCGCTGTACTAAACTAATATCGTGCGTTTCGGCGAGTGCACGAGGACTGCCAATACATCTTGTATGAGATACGCATTAATACGCCTGACGCGTGAAACAAAAGATAGTTCATAGAAATGTACCGAGTAATGAGTCGGTTCTCGAGCGCCGCACGATCGACCGAAGATTACCGAGAACACCCGATGTATGACGGATTGAGCCATGATTGACATCTCGTTATATTGTTTTGTTGCATTTTCTAATTTTAATATTTTAGTAAAGTGCACCACCAGCTCGATTACCTACCAGCCGCCACTGGTGACAATGTACAATACATTATGTAGAAGACGTAGATCGATCGACCATTTAATGAAGACCCCGCAAAAATCTCTAATGCAGTCATTACGCAGTGCTATTTATATTAGCTATATCTGCCTGACTTACAGCTTGATCTTTGTACTGAAAGTAACTTCTCGCATATTTATGCCAATTATTGAGTTTACTCAAACTAAATTTGTATTATGATTCCGTTCGTGAAACCGCCCAAGATCTTATTATTGATGTATCATCTCTAAGAAATTTAATATTGCTGTGTGTACAGTAGAGCTACCTCTTATAACTTAGTTTTTGTTAGAATTTAATAATTTCATTAAGTATAGCTTATACTTGAAAATGGTTCTGGTCTTTACTATTTATATTATATGTATAATTTTATTTGTCTTTTACGTTTTTAGACCTGAGTAACTTGAACATACATTCAAAGGAAACAAACATAGCGTGTGTGATGGTACTATTGTTTCGCGTGTCACACGGTGCTTGCACTACGTGTGGCAGCATCAGAGATGACTCCGTACCCAATCACTCCATGGACTATCTCACAACCCGGGAATGTCTGTATGGCTTAATGGAATATGTCGAGAAATGTAAACGCCCCATGGGCAGGGCATCCAGAATACTAGCCAGGGTGTTGAGGTAAAATAAACTTTATTGCTATAAGAATAAGAAGCAATGAAACTGTTAGAACAAATAATATGAATTCTGTAAAGCAATCTTTATTCAACTTGACATGTTCTTGTAAAATCTGTAAAATATAAATTGAATTTTATTTTGCAGTAGCGACCTGTGTCTAATGAGTGTGATGAGACACAAGCTAGCTTTAAGACTGTATCGTATGTCAACTACATCTAAACACCCACCCACAGAATGCACTCAATGTAAACAGGTTAGTAAAGAAAATCATTCAACTAAAATTATTATTTCTTATACATTTGAATAACATAGACATATAGATGTTAGACAGTTTCAGATAAAATAATTACTTTTTACAGATTATGAAACTTAGCAAAAAATTAATGAATCAAATGGGTTCATTGGCCGAATCGAGTTATGGCATTGGAAAAATTAGTTATCACCTACTTAAAGGCAGCCCGTCAATGAAACATACATTGGCAATGACCTTGCCGTATATTGTCAAGTAAGAAAAACTTCATATAATTTTATACCACATCAATGTAATTAAATTACTATTATAGCATTTAATATTCCAGGACTGAAAAAGCATTAAAGAAATATTTAGTCGACTGCAATGGTCTGAACATATTAATAAATCTGATAGACGAAGGTAAAGAAGAATTACAAGAATGTGTCATAGCACTTTCAAAACTAGCACACAACATTGATGTGAAGGATCCTAAATTGTTAGAGAAAAGATACAAAGAAGCTGTCCGGATGATGTACGAACCGAACTTGGATAGTTTATCCCCCGAAAGTATCGTGACATTCAAATTGGACGATTCATCCACTGTTAGAGCGAATAAAGACTTTTTATGCCAGCATTCCGAATATTTTAACGCCATGTTGATGGGAAACTTCAAAGAATCCGCTGAGAATTGTGTCCGTCTGAAGAATGTCACCAAGGGCGGTTTGGAATACCTCCTCACTTTGCTGGACTGCGGTCTCTATGACGCCGATCGCGATTTAGAAATCTTTCCAATGGCACCAAGTTTGAAGGCGACTCTGGAAGTTCTGCTGCTAGCGGACAGGTTTTTGTTGGAGAAGTTAAAAGAATTGTTATTTAGTGCTATATTACAGTTCAAACTGAGTCCTAATACCGCTGACAGAATATATACTTGGTCGTTGAGTGATGGAATGGGACTCCTTTGTGTGGAGGCAGTAGCGTATATTCTTACAGGGAAGATGTCCGATGAAAACAGATATCAATCGTTTAGTAAAATACTTAATCTCCAATACAAGCAGCAGTTCCTTGAAGATATTAAGGCTATGCTATTGAGGCAAATGGCGAAATAATCAAGTAAAACAGGGTGTAAATACTTCTTGAGGAATAAAAAAAACCTCAACAAAAAATGATCTCCAACATAGTTATATTTAACAATGGTGATTATGCATGAAGGAAGCTTTATAATGTAGTAGCGTGTATATATTTTCTTTGAATAACATGACAGCAACGTCTGAATGTGTATTTGTTAGTGTATTTAACGTAAATACCAACACATTTGTAGGTATTAATTGTGAAAATCTTCTTCAATATATTACACTCCTACTTGGCCACTGAATTCAAGACAAAACCTGTGTACAAAAAAATAATTTAGAAAATAATCTTAACCATAAATGTTCCTGTTTACAATCAACATTTTTATTCATAATACTGTTTGCTGATCTTACTTATACCTTCATTGTATACATGAATTACATAATAATACACATGTATATTGATTTATGGGTATTTTTATTTGTAATGTAATATGTTTGACAATAGGCTTATAAAACTCATTTTGTATATTTAAATTAACTCATGCCATAGTTGATAAATTATTCTAATTATTATTATTATTATTATTATGTATTTGATTTATTATAAAGAACTTATTTATAATAATATTTCTAAATAAATAACACCTTAGATAAGTTTTGGTTCTGACCATTACCAAATAAAACTGCTTCAATAAAACTGAAGTTAGGATTCCTGTTTTTTGTATATATTATTTAAAGATTGATGTTGTATAGCAATTTAATACAAAAACCCTGTTATCTGCGAAATATTGCTCTACTTATTATTAAAAAACTGTTAAGATTATTACTTGTAAATACATATTACATATAGACGAAGTGAAAGAAGTTTTACTTCAGCGTTGTGGCCTAAAACACACTGGTTTTAATTTGTTTGATTATTATCTTAATTTGATTGAAAAAACAATTTGAGTGAAAATAGAAAGCCTTTAACATTTTGCATTACTTAATAATAATAACTTGAAATGTCTATGGTATAAAAAAGGTTAGGTATTTGACCTTTGTATGCAGGGGACATGCCAAAAGTACGATGGTAGATATTAAGGCGAATATGCCCTTATACCATATGTATGTAAAATAGTGTGAATGAATTTTGTGTGACTTTCAACTCACCAACTTCAATAACTTTTTTTGCCAGGATTTGTTAATCAAACACCATAAAACTTTTTTTTTTTAGGTTGAAATATGAATACATCAGACCTAATAGAATATGGACTGAAGTATTACTTTAATATCTTTTTTATGTATAAATTTATGTTTTAGTGAAGGTATGTTTAGCATATAATTAGCAATATCCTAAATATGTTTATATTAATAGGATATTAATTTTAGTGCCTCTGCTTATTAAATGTACTAAAATTTTGGCTTTTAAGGCTAAGGAAGTAGATCATTTGAAAAAACAATTTATACACATATGATGTGATGAAAATGTTTGTGTATAATTCTATTATTTACATCCCATGATTTTTTGAACTAAATGTAATATTTTTTATAAATTCTACCACTTATAATAGGTTTTAAAAACTTACTTATCTAAAGATCTAAGAATTTAATTCACAAATAATTGTTATTTTGGTTTATGTGTAAATAATGTGAATATAATGAAAGATAAGATTAGAAATATTTCAATGTGTTAGGTATGCAGAGGCACATGTAACATTCCATGTTAATCTTTGTATACTCATCTCATATATATGTAACTGAGTGTCTAAGTGTGTTATACTCGATGTATTCAAGGAAATTTTTGGTGAGAAATAAAGTGCAATGCAAATAACATAATATTTATTGATATCCAAAATTATTAACAATCATTGCTTCCTAACATGTAATGAAAAATCTATCTTCTTATCTGGCACCAATACTTGTGAAGTCACCGATTTTATGTGTTGTTCATTATTACATTTAAAATCAAAGTTCAAAGTAATCTGTAAAATAATTTTCATGTAAGCCATTTTTGTTGATTAGTAAATTATTTGATAATTATATATTATATTCTTATACTAATTACCTGACTAATGAATTCAGTTAATAGTTTCATGGCAATTTTTTTGCCTATACAGGATCGGGATCCCAATGCAAACGGCAGTGTTGCTGAAGGAACATGATTAATGAGATCTTTTTTACGTGGATCTGTTTTGTCCCAACGGTGAGGAAGAAAAGATTTTGGTTCAGAAAAATGTTGCTCATCCCTTCCCGATGTATAGATGGAGGCGATAATTGGTGTCTGTAATATGAAAATATATTTAATTTCTCTTATCATACTAAGATGATCCTTTTGGTAGAACTTTTTTAATTCTCAGACTTATTTCTTCTTTCATATGTCTGTATGGATCTTCTAATTCACTTGGGGCCTCTGGAATTTTTAACTTTCTTCTTAAAGAGGGTGAAAGCAAGCATAGATTTTGTGCCAAACCAAACAAACTCGAGGTTGTCCAATACAAGCATAGACAAGATGGTACAGCTGCAGCCACAGGAACCATTAAGACTGAAAAGCCTCTAAAAACATTTGTGAATATATTGTGAAGTCTTGAAGGTTCTCTCAGTTTTGACATCCTTTGTATTTCTATAATAGTAAGATTAACTAAACCAAAGGTGATAGGCAATATGAGAGATTGATCTGGCACTGTTAAATTTGGAATCCAACCAAAACCACCAGTCTGTAATTCCATAAGTGTTATTACTGCAGAGGGATCTGGTGGATACATGTTTACTAAATTTCTGATTGCAAAGGACATGCAGACCCATATTGGTATTTGAAACCAAATTAACATAGTCGCTTTCAATGGATGGCAATTATCTCTTTCTATTAACAACCTCCACTGTTTCTTCATAGATCTTCTGTACAACAATGCAGCCTGTTTATCTGAAAGGTTATACATTTTCTTTGCTATTGATGTCTCTTTCCTTAGTTCATTAACTAATTCTTTTAACTCCAAACTAATATTCTCTACTTTAGCCAGTATGTAGTTCTGGTAAACAGACAGAGGTAATGTCATGAGTGCTCTTATAACAATAGTTGTAGTAATAATTGTTGCTGACCAAGTAAACCCGGTAGCTTCATGAAAATGCAATAAACCGTCTTGGAGGTAGCTAACTAAACTACTACTTGATATACTCTGATACGTTTGCTCTTGCCACTTCACAACACCATCAATAGAAAAGTTTCTTCTACTGCTTTTAAATTCTGGAAGTGGTAATATGGTTTTTCTCAAGATATTTTTGTTGTACTGGACCGGGTTCTGCGTTCTCATATCTGTTGTTGAATGAGATGCGATACTGAAGGTTCGTACATTGTTGAATAATGATTTGACATTATATTTATATACTATTTTACAATAATTCATTCTTGGCTCTTATAAATATATTAATAAACCTCATAAAGTCATAACAAAAACTAATCTCACAGTTACGTCTCGTGACAGCTCTGAACTGAGATGTGACATCGACGTTCAAAAACACGAAAGGTCGGTGGGTGATACAGTCGTCTGTCACTAAATCCTTTCAAGAACTTCACAGATATTCAATTTGTATGTTTACAAGTATCTACCTAAATGTGTATAAAATATAATTGTCCACATTTTTACTTTATAGACACTTAAATAAAAAATAATGTAAAAACAAAAATATTCAATGGAAATACCCTAATTATAACATCAAAATTAAAAAACAAAGAATGATTCTTTTCCGCATTAAAGTATTAAAGTAAGTAATTAATATTTTATGATTAAACATTTTAAGGTGGTTAATTATGTATATATCTTAACCATCGGCATTTAAATTTCATCCTCTGGAAGACATATAAAATGTTACTATTTTTAGACGATAACTTGTTTCCAACAACATGATATATAATTTACAATAAAAATTTACATTTTTGGAACTGAAAAACTCAATAATAATATATTTTATAATTAAAATTAACTAGTACTGCATTATTATTGTACCAAAATGAAACTGTATATACATACCCCTTTACTCAGTTTGTAATCACCCAAAATTGTCTCTTTTGGAAGTATTCTTGTCAAAAATGGAGCTACAGGGTACAATCGCATTGATTCCTTGATAATATATTTAAAATATTTTTGATCTCCCTTCCTGCTTTCCTTTAATATATCTTCATTTCTTGTCAGTAACAATAAAGTCCATACCGCGGTATATGTTGTCTTAAACAAGATGTCGACTTATGAGCAAGGTTTTTAATTGTTATCATAATATTACACTATCATACCTACCGTATCTCCCGCGGCAATGATCAAGTCTGACACAATTCTTGTAATTATTTCAGGTGACATATCTTCTTCAGTCATTCTTTTTATTAAGCCATCGCTTTCGTTTTTACTTACTATCATTTCACGAGTAATTTTTTTAGCTAAAATAAAATTATATACATTCATAAGTTAATTTTAGTATTCTCATGTAAAATTATTACAAGTACTTAAGGTAAAGTCACCAGTCATGGACAGTATAAGCGATATTTTTAGAGATTTGCTTCGTAACTTCTTCATTTTTCAATATATATTCTTTGGCATTAGAAGGTAAATAAAAAGCTCTTTTTTCAATCAGTATTCCATGTTTAATTTTAGTTTGGTACTCAGTACAATAAAATATTGTAAATAAACTACACTCCTACTTAGACACCATCAATGGACAGATATAATCCAGTATAGGACACCCATTCATGGACATAAGGTAAAGTCACCAGTCATGGACAGTATAAGCGATATTTTTAGAGATTTGCTTTGTAACTTCTTATACAGTCCTTAATAATGTACTTTTTATTTGTTTTTCAATATTTGAAATCCGGCAATATTTTTCGAATCTATGATTAGGTAAGTATCTATCCGGAAAATATAAGCATCTTTAAACTTTTAAAATTTATAGTCTTAAATTCTTGCGCCAAACAGCAATAATTGTTTGTCCGATTTGTTATTGATTTTGAAAATCATATTCGAACCCGATGAACAGGACTGCGCTTCTTGCTTATTTTGTTTTCAATAAAATTAATAAATGTAATAATCTTTACTTTACTTTTCTTTATTAGCATTAAGTTCAAACTTAATAAAAATAAAAATAGAATTCGTTTTACCTAAAAACAGTGAAAGGTCAACAGATTCTTTGAAATCCCTCCACACTTTTAAATTGAGTTTCTGACACCATTTTACGGGAATACTGTATAATTTCGTGGTGGTATAGAAAATTTTCTTCACAGAATCCGATAACATTGACAACATTTCATTATAATGACGGCTTTGCTCTAAACCATGAGTACCGAGTAAAATATTAACGATAACTGAAAAAAGATATATTTTTTTACATTTAAATTATAAAATAGTACAATATACCTACTATAAAAAAACAAACCATTAGTCGACAGCCTATACAGTTCAGAGTCAATATTTGGAAAACGACCCCCATTTTCCAAATTTAATTTCCAACTTTGCATAGTATCCGTAACGGTTTTTTCTATAGATTCCCCTATCCAATCGTCTCCGCTCTCTTTTAACAGAAACTTGTTTAATATACGTCGATTGTGCAACCATTCCTCGCCATCCATAAAGAAAAGTCCCCGTTGAGCTCCATAAACTTTTTCGTATAAAACCCATGGCTCTGGCAATATATGAATCGGATATTTACCCTCCAAATTCATAAAAAGCGTCCTTATTAACTCAGGATCACTTAGAAAGACGAGATCTGTTTTACCTCCCAAGCATTCCTTGAATATAGGACCTAACTTCTTGTGTCGAGAATTTATATATTTATGTAAACTAGATGGAAAGAAAGTTTATGTTAATTATATATATTTATGTAAAAAAAGTTTTTACATATTAAAAAAAAATATTTGTCTACTGGATTCAGCATTAAAAATTACTAAAATAAAAACTATTTATAAAGATCTGAAGTTGTAATGAAATATATTAATAAAAATAATGATAGATTTTTCAAAATTTTCAAATCGCAACTTCACGTAATGTAACACTGTTTGTTATTAACAAAAGAGGTAATAAAACTTACTTGTTCGCGCCTCCTGCAGCTAAGAATTCCAATTTTGTTCCTATATATGGCACAGATTTCTTTTTGGGCATATCAGAAATAGTTAAATAATTTTTAAAGGACAAGAAGTAGCTTTTTTGATTTACGACTTTTACTTGAGATAATTTTTCCAGTCGGAACATTTTGGTAATATAAAAAAAACTTGTTATACAAAGACTTTCGACGCTTAAATATCTACTTAAACAATTTTTATTTTAATATTTTTTTCATTAAACCTGATTGTGTTATAGAAATACAAAACAATACATAAAACTTTTTTAATATTTCTTGTTACTTGTCGTCTGAATTGGGTGGATGTATATATATTGTACACATAAATGTGAGTTTTATTTCACTATACTACACTATGTATCTTATTTCAAGTATTGTCGACTAACGCATATTGTAGACTAAGACAAAATGTAATCTGCGATTCCAGAGGTTGTTTTCCGACACCTTATGATGCTATCTATGATAAAAACTATATTGAATAAAACATAAGATATCCCTGCAGCTGCATTATGAAAGTCAAATTTATACCCTCTTTTTTCGTTGATCTTAGATTAGCAAATTGAAATTGAGAAATAAATAATGATTTCCTGATATTAATACTGGCTTTCCACTACATAGTACTTTTGTTCATTTTGTTAATTTTATTTTCTAGAGTCCAATTTAGATATAATATTATGTAAGATAGTTTAAGGTTATAAAGGTTAAAAATCTATCACATTGTAAGCGCAATTCGCAAATAAAAGGATTCTTAAAGACCTATAATAATACAAAATACTTAATAAGGGACAAAAGTATAAAACTGATTTGAGACATTCATCAATTATTATATTTACAAATACATACAACATGGTGTTGTTTTTAATACAATTATGTATCATATAGACATTTAGTGGAATAAATTACAAATAATCCAACATTTACCTAAAAAATATTAAAAATATATTTTCTGAACAATTTTCTAATTATAAGGTAAATACTTCATAGTAATTTGTGTGTTCACATGTTACCTACTTCTGTATTTTAGATACTGTGACATATTTTTCATCTGTTTATAAAACACAGTGACTTGTCAGAATTGTTAAAGTCATCTCATCATTTCGCTTGCTCACCGATTAATAGAAAACTTATTTATCAAATATTATTAAACGTATTACATATATAAATTGAATATGACGGTCAAGAATAAGACAGAGGAGCCGAAAAAGGAAAAAGTGGAACCAACACCCGCTCCAAATGATGACTTGGTATTTTTTTTTACATAAACCGATATTGTATTGTTGAAATAAATTATCAATATTAACTAAAATATATTGCAACTTTATTACAGTCTGAAGAAGATAAACGTCTCCAGGAAGAGCTCAATATGCTGGTTGAAAAATTAGTGGTACTTATAATCTTCATAGTCGTTGTAATATTTTGTCGTAGACAATGATAACCAATTGCTTTTAAATTTTTCAGGGTAACGATGTTGAGCTATATTTGCCTGCATTGCAAATGCTAAGCAATCTCATAAGAACGTCTACAACTTCAATGACATCTGTCCCAAAGCCTCTGAAATTTTTGAGAGAGCATTATCCTGCATTAAAACAAGTGTATGAGAAAATTCAAGATGAAAAGACAAAGAAGTATTGTGCTGATGTTGTGTCCGTCCTTGCTATGGGTGTCAGTGGTGCTCCAGTAAGTAGAAATCTGTAAAACATAAACAATAAATATATATTTTTTGGATGAAATTAACCAAATCACTGAATCTGTAGGATGCTGCAGAAAAACGAGAGTGCCTCAAGTATTGTATGCTGGGAACACTTTCAAATGTTGGTGAATGGGGTCATGAATATGTAAGGTAAGGTTATATCAGCTATTTAAGGTTAATAAAGGTCTCAAAGTAAGACTTACAAAATAAGAAAAAGAAAGTTACAAAAAAGTATATACATATACACACACATTTATGTATAAACATTTTAAATAGGCCAAAAACTTTATTCTACTTATTTTTATTAATGAATATTTGTAGGCAACTTGAGGGTGAGATTGCCGAAGAGTGGAACTTAGACAATATGAACAGCCTGATGCCGTTAGTATGTGATGTAGTAGCATTTGATATGAAGCACTCGGCCGAGATCCAGGCCTGCGATTTGTTGATGGAGATTGATCAGTTGGACATCCTCTCACAACACATGGACCAGAGCAACTATCCTCGTGTTTGTCTATATTTGATTGGGTATGTTAATATTGATAAATTATTGTACGTTCTTATTAGCTGAGCTGAGAGTTCATTGACATAGAATAATTTTTCTAGGGTTTTTATCAATAAAAATATATTAAATAATATAATAAGAGACTTAGTTGCTTCTACTAACATGAGTTAGTAAGTAATTTCATTCAAAACCAATATAAAAACAAAAGGCCCAAATAAAAATTGTATTATGTTCAGTGTATATATCCATATAATTGTAGTTAAAATAGGTTATTTATTATTAAAAACAGTTTCTACAGTTTTATTAATTTGTATACAGTTAATATTCCTACTATACAAATATGTATAGTTAATATTCTTAACTTATTATACCAAAAAGGAGGATGTTCTCTATTTGTATGTTTGCTATAATTGTGTTCATTCATTCATATTTCACTATTTGTTGTTAATATCTGTAAAGTTTACTTAAAGAACAGTACAGATAGTAAATATTATAAAAATAAAAATCTGCTTAACATATTCACACTAAACTTTTTTATACATTTCATTGGGGATAAAGCAAAATCCACATAACTAGCATTGGATATGTAACTTATTACATTATTTTTAAAATACAAAATAAGTATTTACTATGGTATCAAACTTTACATGAAAATAAAATAAAACTCATAATTTTCTTTCTTAACAGTTGCGCCAGTTATGTAGTGGAGCCGGAATCCACACAAATATTGCAAGGTGTTCTCGACACTTACTTGAGATTTGGTGAATATCCTCGTGCCTTGTTGGTGGCTATGCAACTTCACAACAAGAGTAAATGTGAAGAAGTTTTTAATGCTTGTAATGATCCGTAAGTAAAAACATGATATGTATAAACTTGAGCTCGATAAATTCAGAAAAAGTTAATTATTTTACAATAATCAACATCTTTGATGCTTTTGTTTTTTATTTAATACTTTTTAAATAACTTAAAATAGCTGTTATATAATAATTTGTTTTTTTATTGTAGGTTAATTAAAAAACAACTCTGCTATATGTTGGCTCGTCAGTATGTACCACTGGAATTGGAGGATGAAGATCTTCGAACCATATTGTTGAATGCACATATAAATGACCATTTTCTTAGCTTAGCTAGAGAGGTAAATTAAATAAAATACATAGTTAAACTCTTATCAATCTTTAAGTAAAATATCTGAATATTTCCATGTAGATACATTTAGTTTCTAAGGAGTTGTTAGACTATTTCAAAATAGTCTTTGATCTTCTTCTTCTACCTAGCAATTTCTCGGCTTTAGCCAGGGTCTGCCTTACATGTTTGTTAATATTTTTTGGCTAATTGTTTTTATGACCAGCCTGCCTGACATCAACCGTCTTTGGGAATGCATTAATTAGTGATGTCTAAATCCTCTTAGAAAGTACATATGACTCGGGAAAATCACATTGGTATTTACCAGTATCGAACCCGCGCTCTCATGCATGAGAGACGGGCCTTTTAACCACTAGGCCACCACTGACTTTAAAAAAATAGCCTTTGATAATGTGCTTTATTTTATTGTAATAAGAGTTATTTTGCATTATAGGTAATAAATATAATGATATTTATTCCAGCTTGATATAATGGAGCCTAAAACACCAGAAGAGGTTTATAAAACCTGGCTCGAGTCAGCGGGCTCGGCCCTACGTCCTTCACTGCTAGCTGAACACCCAGTTGACTCAGCGAGACAGAACCTTTCAGCAACCTTTGTGAATGCATTTGTGAATGCAGGGTTCGGAAGAGATAAACTGGTTACCACTGAGGATGGAAATAAATGGATGTACAAGAATAAGGATCATGGTAAATTTATATGAATAAATTAACATATTTCATGTATTCTTTCCCATATAATATGAGATTTCCAACAATATTGACTCATCACAATGTCTCTGCTTTACTTTATTATACAGCAATTTCTATAATATTTCTTAATATCAGGGTGTTCTGAAGCTACTAAATCAAAAATACAAGTACATACTTCATAAATATAGATGAATATCAAAACTGAAAGTTATGTATTAATCAAATTTTATTCACTATCCTAGATGATAGTAACAAACAATATATAATTTTGTCACGATAATAGCAAAAGGAATCTGGTTTTAACGATTTCATTTAATATAGACCCTAAAACACAAAGAAGATTATATATAACATATTAATATGATTAACTGATTCTTATAGGTATGTTATCAGCAGCAGCTTCGCTCGGTATGATTCATCTATGGGATGTCGATGGTGGTCTAACTCCCATAGACAAGTATCTCTATACATCTGAAGAACACATCAAGGCTGGCGCGCTTTTGGCCCTAGGACTAGTGAATTGTGGGGTTCGTAATGAATGCGACCCTGCATTAGCTCTGCTGTCCGATTATGTTCTGCATTCAAGCGCTAATCTCAGAATTGGCAGTATTTTAGGTAAATATAGTTTATTATTGTAAAAAAAATATTTAAATAGTCATCATATGTTCTTATTTTATGGTATTGGTATGGTATTATATTGGTAAACAGAGCTATTGAAATAAAATTCAAATTTGGTTCTGAATCTTAAAAAAAATCTCAAATTTGTATAATATAATTATCATGTCCTTTATTACTTATTTCTCTTCTTTTAAAACTATCTAAATATGTACTAGTATTATTATCTTTAAACTTTAACAAAATGACTTCAGTCAAACTACAATTTTTTATATGATTACTAGTTTTTGCCCGCGACTTCGTCCGCGTTAGTTTGGTCAAGAGTAATATATGTAGGTGTAGGTGACCAGTCGAATTCTATTCCGTCTTACAGGCCATAAATAATCAGGTTTTTCCTGTTTCAATCAAACAGAATTGACATATTTGTTAGTTGTCAAACCTAATGTCAAAAAAAAATTTTGTATGGGAAATAGAAAAGGGCTGTTTTTATGGTTTTCCCAGTAATGAATCAATTTTTCTCACCTTTTAAACCTTCCCTGGACTTCCAGGAGTATGTCAAGACTAAAATTAGCCAAATCGGTTCAGCCGTTCTCGAGTTTTAGCGAGACTAAGGAACAGCAATCCATTTTTATATATATAGAAGAGAAGATTAATTCTGAATTCCATCAAATATCCACATGGTTATTTAATTCTGTGTCATGTCAAACCTTTATATGTAATTTCATGTCATTATCAAATTCAAATCCAATCAAATCAAATCATTTCCAGGTCTTGGCATAGCGTACGCGGGTACTCAGCGTGAGGATGTTCTGTCTCACCTACTGCCAGCGCTCGCTGATACCTCAGCTCCTCCTGAGATATGCGCCCTGGCCGCTGTTGCGTGTGGACTCATCGCCGTTGGATCATGCAATGGAGACGTGAGTATATAAGCTTGTCTGCTGGCTTTGCTCGAAAATTTTTAATACTAGCTGCTCCCCGCGGTGTTACCCGCGGATTTCCGGGATGTAAAGTAGCCTATATGTTATTCCTGGACGTCAGCTCCCTGTATACAAAATATTATTAAAATCGGTTCAGCCGTTTGAGCTTGAAGAAGTAACAAACATACACACACACTCATAAACTTACGCAATTATAATATAAGTAGGATATAGCGATTTATAATAAATACATATATAGATAAATTAAGTTTTTATCACACCAATTTCTACTCTTTAATACATGTATTATATGTGTGCATGATACTGATTTTATTCTAATTAGTAGTAGTTAATATATTTTGGAATAAACAAATACGTGCAAAATTTTCAAAAGGTTAAAATTTTAAGTATGTATGGAAAATAATGTACATATTGAATTTAAACATTTGTCTAAACTCGATATTTATTTGTATATATTGAATAAGGTTGTGTAACTCTTATTAAAAATATCTTGATTGTTAGAATTTGTTTTAAAATTATATTTCTTAAACATTTATTTCAACAGGTCACATGTGCTATTATCCAGAGACTGATAGATGACAACAAAGATTTACATTCTTCAACATATGCCAGGTTCCTACACTTAGGTCTAGGATTATGTTTCTTAGGTGAGAACAAATAAATTATATTTTTTTACAGAATTATTAATGTGTAGGAAAAATAAAATATATTTTTAATAGAGTTCATATTTGGTGAAAGTTGGTTGGAAAAAGTTAATAGAAATATATATATTTTTTAAAGTTATAAAATGACATATGGTTATGAAGGAATTGACTATATTATTGTTAGAATTTTAGAACATTGTCAGTTTGTATATTGTAACTGCACAAATATTATAGTGCAATTTATTTATTTCTATATGTGAAACAAGAAAAAAAAAATACCTTTAATAAATAAAATTGTATATTATCCGTTCAACGGTTTTATAATCTAAGAGCATTGAAATACAGCACATAAATTAATCTAAATTGTAATGAAATAGTATGAGGAAATCTGGACTTATATTTTCACAATTATAAATTTGAAATCATCAACCCGTCTTGAGCGAGCATGGCGATAAATACAAACCTTCTTCATGTGAGAAGATTTTGCTCAGCAGTGGGCTAAAATAGACTAATAAATGACGATGAAATGTAATCATTCTCAAATCTATTTACTGAATATTCCAGGATGCAAGGAGCGTACCGAGGCCACCATGGCAGCCCTAGAGGTTCTTCCCGAGCCTCAACAGTCTCTATGCCAGACTACACTATCAATGTGTGCATACGCTGGCACCGGAGATGTTCTGGTTGTACAACAGATGCTGCACATATGCTCCAAGCATTATGATACAGATGTATGTATAACATCAGTTATAAATTCTCAAATTAGCTTCTTAAAAGTTCCATAGAATAGTCATTATTGCTCTCGAATAATTCAATATTTGTTAGCTTTCCATATAGAAACTATTTGGTTGGAAATCGAAATGTTGGAATACCTGCATTAAACCATATCCTGATAAAAAAATAATTAAATATCATTTAGAATGAACAATCGTCTGCTGAAGACACAGCATTTAAGAAGCAAGAGAAAAAGGAATCTAAGGAAGGGAGCAGCGGCAGTGGAAGTTCGTCCAGTGGATCAAAGGATGATAAGAACAAAAGTATGAATAAGAGTTTTTACAGACAAAAACAGAAAAACTCATATAAAATATATATTATATACCTATTTTAAATCCTTAATATCAAGATACTCTTTTTATTAACCCATTTTGATTATATATATATTACTAGCTGCGCCCCGCTGTGTTACGCCCGGATTTCCGGGATTTCCGAGATTTCCGGGATGTAAAGTATATGTTATGCCTGGACGTCAGCTTCCTGTATACAAAATTTTATCAAAATCGATTCAGCCGTTTGAGCGTGAAGAAGTAACAAACATACGCACACTCACAAGCTTTCACAATTATAATATTAGTAGGATATATATATCAATTCGGTAGGTTTCTTCCAAATAAATCCATAAGATCTTTGTTGAAAAATTGTAAAAATATAGATAAAATTGACAAATTTTTACACATACACAAAATTTAAATTTAATCACATTTCAAACTAATTTATGTCGTTTTATTTATTAACCAGGCAAATCAAAGGACAGTAAGAGCAAGGACAAGGAAAAGGAAAAAGAAAAGGAAGCAAACAAGGAGTTGTCTTCAGTACAAGCTGTGGCTACACTCGGAGTAGCTGTTATAGCACTGGCCGAGGAAACTGGAGCTGAAATGTGTACACGGATCTTTGGACAGCTTGTGAGTATATACAATGGTTATTATATACATTATAAGTATTGAAATATAAATATTATGTGATGCAATTTTAAATCATAGTTTTTACATAACACTTCAAATACTTGGGTTTCCGTAATCATGTCTCTTGTTTGTTGTTAAAAATCGGCTGTACATTTAACACTTTAGTTGAGAATAACCAATCAGTATAACATATTGTGTGTGGAGTTTCACCACGAGGAAGAATTTTAATTTCGTAATGTGAAAATGAAACTAAATTGTATGTGTGTCAAATCAAACTAAAAATAATGAATATTACAAATAAATTAAGAACGAACCACAAGTACCTATTTAAGCTAATTTCACGACCCTCACACTGTATTCTTCGCTGCATATCAAGAATACCACGCGCGTGTGCTTGGAAATTGGAATCTACGAATCATTTTCTTTCTCTCTCCTACTTTCAACATTTGTGTATCTTACTTTATCTCTCCCTCAGTGTAAAACGGTTAACGCAACCTTGTTGGAAGTCGCATAAGAAGTTTTACTACAATATTTATTTGTGTTTTTTTATTGTTCTTAAAAAAATCAAAAAAATATTAAAAAGACAAAAAGTTATTTACTTTGGCATTGGAGTAATTTGAATTTCTTTTATTAATTTATTAATTGTTGTCGTTGTTAGAGACATAAAAGCATACATATTATTTATAGAATTACAAATTGTGCATGTATGTAATGTTGTATTATTATATATAGGGTCGTTATGGCGAGCCGGCAGTCCGTCGCGCGGTGCCTCTTGCGATCGCTCTTTGTTCAGTCTCAAACCCTCAACTATCAGTCATCGATGTACTTAACAAGTACTCACACGACGCCGACAACGACGTCGCTTACAACGCCATATTCGCCATGGGACTCGTCGGCGCTGGGACAAATAACGCCAGGTAAAAAAAAATTAAAATAAAAGCATGACTTTGTATCTCTTATTTAATCTAAAAAAATATATATTTCGCTGAGGCACAGGTTCAACAGATGATTCCGCTTTGTTACGTGGTGCATACTTTAAGGGACTTATTGTTAACTGAAATACTTTGAATTGCTTTTTTGGAGACAAAAAAATTATTTCTGTACATATAACCTCGTTATAATTCTATATTTTTTTTATATTTATCAGACTGGCGACTATGCTGCGTGCGTTGGCGTTATACCACGGCAAGTCCCCGGTTCATTTGTTCATGGTGCGTCTGGCTCAAGGACTGTGTCACGCTGGTAAGGGCACGGTCACACTATGCCCGGCACACTCGGACAGACGACTACTGAACCAGCCAGCGCTCGCCGGACTGCTTGTTGTACTCACAGCCTTTCTTGACTGCAAGAACAGTTAGTATATTATCACTTACTTATAACTTATTTATTTAAGATTCATCAGTGGTATATACATCAATACTAACAAAGGTATAAATTTTTTATACAACTTAAAACTAAATGCATTACCTATTAAGGTGAATACCACTTGCAAAGATAAAGTTGGAGATGACAAGCTTACAAATAATTAATTACTAGTAAATTAAGGTTAAAAATCACACGGATTAACAATAATAGTAAAACAAAAACATACAACTTGATTGTAATTGGTTGAACCTTATTGGATATTTTACCTTTTGCTAAACCTTAAATTCAGCATGTGACATAATTAGGTTAATATAGTAGAATAACTACCTGCGCCCCGCGGATTTCCGAGATTTCCAGGATGTAACGCAGCCTATGTGTTATTCCTGGACGTCAGCTTCCTGTATACAAAATTTTATCAAAATCGCTTCAGCCGTTTGAGCGTGAAGAAGTAACAAACATACACACACACTCACAAACTTTCGCAATTATAATATTAATAGGATAAAAATGATATGATAATATATCTTTATTTAGAAGGCATTTTCATAAGTTCTTTCTTTGTATTTCAGTAATCCTTGGTAAATCTCACTACCTCCTGTATGTATTGGCGACAGCGATGCAACCACGTTGGTTGGTCACTTTAGATGAAAACCTACAGCCTTTAAACGTCAGCGTTCGTGTTGGACAGGTATTGTATTGCAACATTATTTTTTATACATTTGTCCTGACCCTATAACTATTTTTAATCTGTATAAAGTTTACTTACTGTGTTTAATCATCTGTACCATGGGTAGTTAATATATCTGTACTAAAATTGTAATTTTTCAGGCTGTCGATGTTATTGGTAAGGCTGGTACACCGAAAACCATCGCTGGTTCACACACACATACAACACCCGTGCTGCTATCTTTTGGTGAACGTGCAGAGTTAGCTACTGACGAATATATACCACTATCACCGGTTATGGAAGGATTCGTCATTCTCAAGAAAAATGAGGACAGTGTCATGGCATCTGTCCAATGAACATAATAATTATAGCTTACATAGTATTAATGTTTTATTAATGTTCTAACGATATCCTAATAATAAATGTCTAATGACAATCATTTTGATGTTTTTTATTGTTCTTTATTTCTTTCCTTGGTATAAAATTAAGTTTTTATATTTTTATGAAAAATAAGTCAGTATAGTCTTCAGAACAATGCTAATCATCATCCAGTACATTTTGTTGACGATTTCATATAATGAGATTTAAGACTATCGAGAGTATTCATTTAAATGAAACTAATATTTTTTATTTTATTGTATAAACTACGAGTGCTTTATTATTAATTACATAGTCCCGACCTTTCGGTTACTTTTAGCAACCGTGATGATGGGCAGATGAGATGTGACTTTTTGTTTAAAAAACTACATACACATTCAAATACTACTCATCACCTGAATCTTAAGGAATGTGTGTGGTAGGAGGGAGAAGTTTAAATTTATCAATACTCATTTTGCCGTCAAGCATCGTTACAGTTACATGATTTAATTGCTAGCTTGAGATGGTACCTATAACACACGAAATAGTATCCTGCAACATCACTTACAGTAAAAATATTATTATAAGCTAACAATAACGCTTTAACTTACTATGTAAGATATAAATTTATAGTTTTGGAATGTTACTGTATATATGCTAGTGACAAGGAATCCACTTTTCTTCCTATATCACCACTCACATACCTAAAAAAGGTAACCAGACTTAACATGAGGACTATAACATCTTTTGAGGTCTATTGAAGGGATAAACAAGTGTTCCTAAACATGAGTGTTTAAAGACTGAGATAATTCTCAGTCTTTAAACACAATATTTTTAAAATAATTTTTTTTTTTATGATATAAGAACAATCTTATAATACAAATTATTACTAACAAAAAAATATATTATTATTGTCATAAGACCTTCTTTTAAGGAAAAATATCTTTCTTTACAGAGTAAAAAACAATTTTATTACAAAATTTATTTGCCATCAAGTATTTTCACTAGTTTTTTCACTATTTTCTGTATCTGACTTATCACTATCCTCAGAATGTGAAGATTCTTTATTATCTTGATCATTGTCTACTTTTGGTTTCTTTTCTTTCGACTTTGCCTTGAGTTTCTTTTTTAATCTTTTTGCCCTTTTCTTTGCAGTTTTCTCTTCAGCAATTTTTCTGTTTTCTTCTAACTTTCTTTGATATTCCTCATCAAGTTTTTCCTGTAAAGATTATACTTGATAAAATATGTAAATAAAGAAAATGAAAAATATATCAAGTATAAATACCTTTTCACTCTTCTCCTGTATAAATTTCTGTCTGGCATATTCTTTTCTTCTAAGATGTCTATAAACATGAAATTCTCCAGAACCTGCCCCAGCACTAGAACCCATTACATTACGAACAAAGTCTGGAGGCGGTGCTAGCGATTTTTCCCTTGGTCCTTCTGGTATAACAACAGGTTTGTCCTAGAATGATTAGCATCATTATTTTGTTAAGTAAAACTTTGTCATTTTATCATAGTACATAAAAAGTTTAACTTACAGGGTTTCTCATAAGCTTTTCTAGTTTTAATCTTTGTATATCAGTTGCACTTTTTATTACAATTGGCTTCTTTTCTTCTTCATCTGATTTTTTTGTTTTGCTACTCATTTTTATTCTTATTTCTAATGGCTATATGATATGAATTACAGCAGACAAATATATAACCGTACAAAATATTGACAATTTATCAACAAAAAGCTCCTGATTTGCGGTATATTTATTCTACTAGCAGATGACAGTCATAACATATATGTCATATACCAGTGTGCATTCATTTTAATACAAACTGTGACATATAAAAATTATTAAAAGTATAGTGTTCAATCACAAAAGTATATGAATTTAGGAAAAATTAATTAAGTATGTAAATATTTAATTCTCTGATTAATTTTTAGTCTTATATTTATATAGGGTATTATTTTAGGTTCTCGATAATCTGGTAGTACACATCACTATTTTCACCTTGTGAAGGTTAAACCTATATATTGCTCTTGTCGTGTACCGGCAATATTATACTTCAATTTTTAGTCACTGAAGGTTAAAGAAGTCAATCTTCGATTTTAAACTATTTAAACAATTCTAAGGTGAGTTAAATGTTGTTTATTAAAATACAATTGCTTTAAAAGTTAAAGTAACAGTTCAATATATATTTTTAACCCTTTTTCGAATCTTCTTATAAATATCCAATTGCTTAGATAATCATTATAATGATTTTAAAACTTAAAATTTAGTCTGCTATTATAAAAAATCCTATTTTGCATTAAAAATATTCTATTTTCTACTAGATTCTCTTATTATATGTATGTACCAAGTATTGATTTAATAGCATATTTAAAATTACAGGAATATTAACTTTCTAGCCAAAATGCCAATAAAATCAATCAAGGCACGTCAAATTTTCGACTCCCGCGGCAACCCCACAGTTGAAGTCGATCTCGTAAGTAATTATATTAAAATTTTATTCATAACTAGGACATAAAATTATTTAGTAAAATGATTCTTACAGGTATCAGACTTAGGTCTTTTCCGCGCTGCTGTTCCATCTGGAGCATCAACTGGTGTCCATGAAGCTCTAGAACTCAGAGACAATGTAAAGGGTGAATATCACGGCAAAGGTGTCCTCACAGCCATCAAGAACATAAATTCCATCATCGCTCCTGAGTTATTGAAACAGAATTTGGAGGTCACCCAACAAAAAGAAGTAAGCTACTCATTATATTTAGTAAATGTAACCAATGTTTCATTATAAGAACCCTATTTATTTATTCAGTTTATAATTTAAAGTAACACTAAAAAATTTTATATAATACATTCTATATGCTATAGCTGTGAATGTAAATATTATTTTATTATTATTAAAAATAGGCAGCTTTGTCAGTTTTCTGATTTAAAATAAAAGGTATTTATTAGAAAATGGAGGGTAATTTTACTATTAAAGAATATTTTTTTTAGATTGATCAATTTATGCTTGCTTTGGATGGTACCGAGAATAAGTCTAAACTTGGTGCTAATGCCATCCTCGGAGTTTCTTTGGCCGTGGCAAAGGCCGGTGCAGCTAAGAAGGGTGTGCCCCTCTACAAGCACCTCGCTGACTTGGCCGGCAATAACGACATTGTCCTGCCAGTACCTGCCTTTAATGTCATTAACGGTGGTTCTCATGCCGGAAATAAACTGGCTATGCAGGAGTTCATGATCTTGCCAACTGGTAATATTTGTTTATTGATAACAATGATTGATATATTAATAAATATAACATTGCTTTTTTTGGATTTACTTAACTAATTTTATTATTCTAAATTATATATATTTTTATATTACTTTGATAATCATGATCAAGAGCAGACGAGATGAAGTAGATTATAAAATTTGGTTTTATTTTAATGTTGCATTACAGAAGTCTTAGATATAATGTATATATTTATTCCTACCCTTAATTTCCACTCATATTAATAGATTACATACAACAGTTATGAATAATTTCAAAATAATACCAACAAATTTTACACAGGTGCCTCTTCATTCAGTGAAGCTATGCGCATGGGTTCTGAAGTGTATCATCACTTAAAGAAAATTATTAAAGAGAAGTTTGGTCTTGATTCAACCGCTGTTGGTGATGAAGGTGGCTTTGCTCCCAACATTCTGAACAATAAAGATGCTTTGTACCTCATTCAAGATGCTATTCAACAAGCAGGATACAGTGGCAAGGTAAAACAAACTTGCAAGATGACATAAATTTTTAATATCACTCCGACTTGCAAACTAATATTACATACTAAATTTCTTACAGATTGAAATCGGTATGGATGTAGCCGCTTCTGAGTTCTTTAAGAACGGTACCTATGATCTGGACTTCAAGAACCCCAAGTCAAACCCATCTGACTACTTGTCATCTGAAAAATTAGCTGAAGTTTACTTAGACTTCATTAAAGATTTCCCAATGGTATCCATCGAGGATCCCTTCGATCAGGATGACTGGGCAGCGTGGGCTAGCCTGACATCACGCACACCCATACAAATTGTTGGAGATGATCTTACTGTAAGGAATTCCATTTTATATTCATCTTATACTATTTTTCACATTTATGTCGTAGCTGTAGTCAATCAATTAGTACTGCTAATTGGTTATACTTACATCACCAGTTGTTATATTTATCATAAATATTATTTTTGATAAATATAATTTTTTTTTATCTCTTTTCCAGAATAATTTGTTATTATTCTCTTAAAGATAATTTAAAATCAATTTCATCTACTAAAGGTCATCCAAGTGAGTGAGGCATATAACAAAAATAAAATTACTTAGCTGGTCTTATAAGTACCTATAGTAAAAAAAGTAATATTACTGTATTAAATATTAGTTTTATCTAGAAATATTTTATTGCTCTTTATAAGGTTGTTAAAAACATTATCATTGTTTTGCACAACTTTATCTATAAGTGAACAAAAAGTTATTTGCCATATAATAATATTTATATTGCATCATAGGTGACCAACCCAAAACGTATTGCTACCGCTGTTGAGAAGAAGGCTTGCAACTGTTTGTTACTGAAGGTGAACCAGATCGGAAGTGTTACTGAGTCTATTGATGCTCACTTACTGGCTAAGAAGAATGGATGGGGCACTATGGTTTCCCACAGGTTAATATCTAAATATATAAAAGAAAGTTTTGTTAGTTACACTTTTTACAACTCAAGAACGGCTGTAGGGATATGATTGAAAATTGGTTGAGACAAATATAGGATATTTAACTCTGTTTGATCGAAAGAAACTTAATAAATTCTAATATCTGGTTATTTATGGTCTTTAGGACTGAATAGAGTTCGCTTAGTCAGCATAACATATATCATTAATTCCTAAATTAACAGTGACGAAGTTAAGGCAAAAGTTAGTTAGTAATAATTTGTAATTAATAACCGAAATAAACCTTTCCATCTCATGCAAAGTCAAAAAAACAGATTAAAGTATGCCGTAACCACACAGGTATATAAGTAAACAGTTTGTAAGTTACATATTCTTTGTCTAAAATATAAAACCAGCTCAACTTTATAACACAGGTCTTATATAGTTAACTTTTTTAAAGGTCCGGTGAAACTGAAGATACTTTCATTGCTGATCTGGTAGTAGGATTATCCACTGGTCAAATCAAGACTGGGGCTCCTTGCCGTTCTGAGCGCTTGGCCAAATACAACCAGATTCTTCGCATTGAGGAAGAACTTGGAGCCGCTGCTAAGTACGCTGGCAAGAACTTCCGCAGACCTGTCTAGAAACAATATGAAGCTGTTTAGCAAACATCATATACACTTATACTATTGTAGAGTAATATTTACTGTTACAAGTCGGTATTTCACTATATAAAGAGATTACAGAAAACTGTAGACAGTTATATGTAAAGCAAAGAGTATGTAATTGTTTTATTAATGATTTGGAATTACGTCTTTCGAAATTATTTGAGTATGTGTTTGAAGAGCGACTACATGTAAGCTTAAGTGAAAGTGAAATTTTAAATTATTTAAATATATCATTATAGTGAATTCTATTCTTTTATTTTATGAAAAAATTCCATTAAAGTATGTGTATAATTTAGTAGGCTTGAATTATACATGTATCTATTACGTAGTCATATTATCGCTTCCTAATTATAAAGTATAAAACCATAGTCATACGCTATGGAAAAACTATAAAGACGCTAATTTTAGATACGGAAGTAAATAACCTAAATTTTGTTTATATACAATATTCAAATGAGCACGTAAAATCTATTGTCTCATAACACAGTGAAAAGTAATGTGTGTGTCAAGAGTAGTCGTTCCTTTGCTCCGCGCATTGGTTTTGTTATCGTTTTATTTTGTTAAGTTTTGTTATTTCTTTATTTACCCTTTCCCCTCCCCACTTTGTTGTGCCTTTTCCTTTTTCTCTCTCCCTCATACCCAATCGAGGGTGGCAACGCATTTGGAAAACTATGTTACGGATGTCTATGGGCGACGATGAGGGGTGACTACCCCCAACAGGTAATCCGTCGGCACAATTGTTTGATTTAGCACAAAAATAAACAAAGAAGGACTACACTAACGAATGCAATATTGTTTGTGGTTAATAAATAAAAAAAAATATCAAAAAAATATGTATAGAGATTTTCTAGAAAAAATTAAGTAAGGACTCATTAAGCTTAGGGCAAAATGTTGTTTAACTAGGCGCATCATCTATCGAACATTTTCCTATCGCTACTCAACCTCTAAATATCTGAATATTAATCCAAGGTATTAAAAGTAAAGTGCCCTTATACATTACTCCCAAAACAAATTATAAGTCGAATTTATAATCTTAGTCATCGATTGCATTACTTGTCTGTGGAATTCTTATTACATAATCTGCTATGTAAAAATTAAATGTCAGTGTCATTATATTATGCTTTGAATTTCGAACGTGAAGGATTAGATAGAGTTAAATTTATATTGTATTTTAAACATTTACAATGCACTTCACCAGAATTTTATGTCGAGTACCGGTTATAAAGTTCCGTAAGGGAATGGGTCCGTCCGCTGCTAGTGCCCCTCCACCTTCTTCAGGCGGCCCTGCGGCAGCCGCTGCTGCTGTAATGATTGCTTTCTTATACTTCAAAATATATTATATATGTCACAGAAGTTGAGTAAGTAAGTCTAATCATTATGTTTCTGTGTTTCAGCCAGCTCAGGCCCAGTCTTCAGCGCCAATGAGTAGTGCAGCTATATCAGATATTGACCTACCTCTGCGTTACCAACGACGGCCTCTGTCCCAGGAAGAGATCGACCACATCAACGGCGGCGGAGTCGTTTAGTGTTACAGTTAATTAATGTAGTTAGCTAGTAGAGTGGATAATAATTGAGGTATTCACTTAGTAAAAGAAATGTTATTTGTTATTTAAAAGTATTTATTTATGTTGTATTTGTTTGATGATAAAAGTATTCTTTGAATGTGTTGATGTCATCAATAAATCATTTTGTTTAACTATATCTGAATAACCATTACAGGAGAGTAAAGTATCATCTTCACAAAATGTAACTCCAGCTTGTGCCATTAAAATACCGCGCAGTATTTTAGTTCAATATGGAAAGAAGAGTGATGTGATATCCTTTAAAATACTTCTCCAAAAAATTGAAACGGGGCAAAATATTTAAGGATAGAACATAAACTACTTTATTGAATTACATATTATTGAATTGTCTTGAGATTACTGTTTATTTTATCTTGATTAAATGAAAACAAATTAATATTTTTTTTTAGAATTTTCCAAATCAACCATAGGTATGCAATAGAATATTTGACATATAATAATAATTTATTAAAATATAAGTAAAAATTATTGAGCATTCTTAGTTTTATAAGTTTATGGTTTTGTTCTTATAGTCAACACATAAAAAAAATTAATATACAGCACATAAAATGGGAAATTACAAAATGTTTTTTAAATTAAAATTCACACTTAACAGAATTCTTTAAAGTCACTTGTTTTAAAATATTCACCTCAAGAATAAAACCTGTTAACAATTAAAAATATAAACACTCTTTGCTTCTTGTTGACAAAATCTTGTAAATGGAATATTGCAGACATAAATTTATGAACATTGAGAAATAATCTCTGCAATGGTTAATTTTCTATTTTAGCATATTTAAGACTGAAATCATCTTAGGGAGCGTTCAAGTATTACGTAACGCAATTTTGGGGGAGGGGGGGTCTCGTAAAACGTTACGACGCGTTACTGGGGCGGGAGGGGGTGTCTCTTACAAAACGTTACGTAGCATTGTTTCTAAAAAAAATATTAATAAAAACCCCCAAACTGGCAACTCTTTTCATATACATTACATTGTTGACCAGATTGTATTAGTCTGGTCGATATTTTTATTTGTTATTCCAAGTTTGCAAACCTCATAATTGATATTTTACGGGGAATACCTAGATTGCATTGTAAGTCTTTTGATGAAATTGATCACTTGAGAGTTACGTAACGTTTTGAGAAGGGGGGGGGGGGGGCTAAAGAAACACGTTACTGTGCGTTACGACGGGGGAAGGGGGGGTCAAAAATCTTCGAAAATTGCGTTACGTAATACTTGAACGCTCCCTTATTGAATTTATTTCAAGTTTCTAAAAAAGTAACCTTAAAGTGGCTGTAAGAATGAAATTTAAAATAACTTATTGTTTCTTGAATATATTTTCAACTAGTATTAAAAATTATCAGATGATTTTGCTTTTAACATGTCATAGTTTCGTTCAAGTTTTTTTTTATATTCAATATTATAGGTATCTTTCCGTGGTCCATTCATGTATATGTATATGTGTAAAAAAAACATGTCCTTATATATAACTAAAGAGAGAATATTTAAGTTATAATTGTATAAAACAAAATACAGCTAGTGTTTTGGTGTAGAATCAATATAGAGGATGTATAAAACGTAAACTAAGCTTATAAATAGTAGTACTCTAATAATATGGTACGGTGAGTTTTTGGTCCTGGATGGACCACATCTGTGCAACCTCCCCGTCGTAAGCACCATCGCTGTTAGTATCGAACTTGATCAGACCGTACTTGGCGAATTGACGCTTATAATACAGATCACATGGAACTGTTAGTAACGCCTCTGTCATTGCCTTTTTCAAATTATCTGCAAATATAATATGCTTTTATATTAATTGCCTTCTGAAATGTATAATTGTATAGATATTTTTGAAATTACGAAAATAAAATTGAACTAACGAAATTATATGGACACGACACCTGGTGGCCACAAAGCAAACTAACAAAGAATTTAGATCGTTTACGTTAACAACTATTGAAATTATTTTTTGATATTATAATGATTTATTTAATTGTTCTGGAAATCAAACGTTAGGCTTTAGAGTTTTACCAAATTTTTAAAATAAAAATACTACTTAATTCAGAGCTTATTTTTCCATTCCGTTAAATCTAAGAATGGATTAGGCCTGGCCACTTTTTATTAAATTCTTTCAGCATAGAATTTAGATTAATAATATAATATATAATACATATAATCATTAGTTTCAATCATTTTTATCTTGTTTTAGACAGATGCATAGCTCATTTAAAGACATCGAAATAAGAATTCAAAATAACATGTTTTATTTGCATTCTAAAATTGTTTTATCGCCGTAGTCTTTTGTATATTATCTGTTTTATATGATTTGTTGTATGACCTATAGCAATGTAACTTTTTTATCGATTCTTATCTTAGCAATAAATAAATTTATTTAGTCATTATTAATATGAAATATCCTTTGTAAAAACTAACCGGGTAATCTTGAGTTCACAACTATAGCGTAGGGAGGTAATCGTCCTAATGTTTCCAGTGTTACAATGTCTTTACCGCCGTCCTGCATAAACTTCTTTGAATACAATAACGTTGTTGAATCTACAGCCGCACAATCAGCTTGTTTTGTTAGAACCATCTGAGCAGACGCTAGGTGGGATCCAGATCCTGAAACGAAAATTCGTTTAAAAGAAAAAGAAACTTATCATCGATATAATAAACATCAATACCAATAACATACTTAAATGAGATCCAAAAAATGAGGCATTCTCTCCCTTTTCCTTTAATGTCTTTAATACGATCTTGAGTCCACTAAGAGATTCACCATTGCTATACGCGAATGTACAGCCTCTTAAGTCCAATAAAGTATTTACGTTGTGAGCACTGCAATTACAATAAACAGCTATTGTTCATAATCGTTCGAACTCTGTAGAGTAATAATAGAAGTTAGAAGTGCCCTTATCACGAAACTTGACATATTTGATAACAATGAATTTATCTACCTATTTACATTTAGGTTGTTTAAATAAAGTATATTTTTTTTATTTCATCAGCGTCTTATTGCTGGCAATGTTATGCTTTATTATAATTGCGCAAGTGGGATGAAACGTGTGTAACGTTGTTTGTTACGCTCTCAGCAATTTGTACTGAATGTATTTTTATAACACTTTAAGTAAGTAATAGGTCTAAATACATATCTATTTTCGATATATTAGTGATAACGGTGTAATAAATAACTTACATTTTATCGCGGTGGATAATAATATCTGAGAAGTAGCCCGGTTTATTGTCTATATTCATCTGGTGAGCGAACACGGGAGTCACAGGAAGCAGTTCTACATATTCCGCTTTATTTTTACGTAATTCCATATACGATGCTGCCGACATGAAACCTACAATATATAAAACAATAATTAAAACCACGTGTAACTAACATCTGAATCGCATTCTATGATCGAATACCCACAACGTCTAAAACGCAGAAACATAATGTAGCGAAATTAGCATATTATTTTGTCAGTAAAGACAAAACGACCTTTGAATTAATATGTACCTTCTTATATAAACCATAACATGTGTAGCCTCCAGTTCTTGATACTTCGTATTCGATGTTTCTTTTTTTTTGGAAGGTGATTTAGACATTAAAATTATTAATAGTTACATTTCTTCTCACATGATCATAATATAAGGTTTGTGTGTGTTTGTAATATGAGGTGAGGTTGAAAATATATCTGTATAGTGTATACATATTATCAACGTTTCCTAATATAGCTTCATGTTTAAGTTTTCCGCTTATTCTTAAACAACAAATCTTATAGGCTTTAAGATTTTCAGTTTTTACCTGTCCAAGAAAGACATTTCAATTTAATATTAACAAAAGTTTCTTGTGTTAGATTCTCGCGTCACCCACAACAAACATTGTAAATACATTAAATAATGTACCTATAGGTGGCAAGCATTTTGAAAATTGGGTAATATTAAAAGTAATATTTAATTCGGACAGCATTTTAGAAGCGATACATTCTGTGTGTAGGAGATACAAGGTGAAGGCTAACACGCAGCGGTCAGAACTAAGGACGTTACAAAATATAATAACATTTGAAGTCTTTAAAAAGTTAAAGCCCGAACACACCTTTCACAATTATAAACAATCCTAATAAATATTAATTTTAAACCAAATTTGCATTATTTCTGTTTTTTGGTATTTATATTTTTATACTTTTAAATTATTTGCCTACTCGGTTTCAGAATATTTGTTATTTAAGGTGAAACTGTATTGATAGCTTTATAACTTTACAATTATATTTTAATTTCATCTATAATAAGATTTTATGTGTAAATCTGTAGAAACTAATGAATCCAAGCCTTACCTAAGTCAACTTTATTATTTGTGAAGGGATTAGGCCGCTCAGGTATGGGTCCAGGGCTCCGACTCTCATATTGAAGGGTGGCATAACACCCTAACTCACTCTCTAACATTTCCATTATCAGTACATATAAATCCACAGGATGAGCGGGACTCATGTAATTCACTATCCTTAATTCAGTAAAATCTGACATTTTAAAGCTAAATATAAAATCACCACTACTTAATAACAAGACAAAGACGTATAATATTGAATAAAACTAGAAAGTAATGTGTTTACTCTCAATAAATGTGATAAACAATGCACGATGTGTCCACGATTTATCCGGTTACCGGTATCGTGTAATCCAGTATGTGGTGACGTCACAGCTTTCACGCTATCGACACGTGCCACTAGTGCCCGGTAAACAATAAACTATCAATATTGGACTATACTAGACAAGCTATTGACTTATTGCTTATTACACTTTTGATGTATAAATAAGCGGAGATTAGTTTTATAAAATATAGATACCTTGTTTTTAGATAAAGACAAATAAAACTATATAAATTGGTGATGAAAGTTACATTTTCATCTCTACTTTTTGTAACCTGGATTCAACGCAAAACAATTGTAACGTTACATTTATTTATTTTGTCTTATCTTTTAGTTCCACCGTCTCCTTTATAAAAATGTATTTATATATGTACATTTATAAATTTTATTAGTATTAATAGTTACGGTAAATTTTATTCATTGCTCTATTAAGTATTTCTAACACTTAACTACGTATTACCTGTTAGATACTTATTACAAAACTTGACGTCACTTATTTAAGCTCAGAAGACTTCATCATCAGCCTATTAGAGCCCACTGCTGGGAAAAAGGCTCTTCTCACATGGAGAAGATTTGAATACTAATCACCAAGCTTGCTCAAGACGGATTGGCGATTTCAAGCTTATATTTGGAGAAATGATAATGATAAGTCCAGGTTTCCTCACGATGTTTTCCTCAACCGTCTGTCAGTGGTGTCTAAATACTCTTAGAAAGTAGGTATACATATGACTCAGAAAAATCATATTGGGACTTCATACATGAGAGGCGGGCCTTTGACTACTAGGCCCCCCACACTTTTTAAGAACATTTGAAAACGTATTTTAAGTTATCCTCACATTGTCGTGCTCAGTTTTCATTATAACTATCCAAAAAGTGCTAAAAACATTGTTTGCTAAATACATAATTAGCATTCTTTCCCATCAACTTCGGTTTAAATCAGCATTTTCAGCAAAATGTATGGTAATTTGTCAGTAGGCTTCAGTTAGAGATTACCTGTTGTTTAACTTAGCACAATTTCATCGCCATTCGCCACACTATATTCGAAGCGTTTTCTTATTTCTTTTTCAATAACTTTCTTTATTGTTAATACTAACCTGCAAATATTTATGAATTAAACCTGGTACCAATCCGTGTGTAGGTAGCTACTGTAATTATACATATTGCAAACTGAGGGTGACATAAGTGAACAATAATGCAAATACGTTTCAAAGTTTTTGTGAACAAACATTACGTTTAAATTGTTATTTAAATTACAATTATATTCTACGTTAGGTATCTTGCATGGTGGGCACAAAGTCTCATTTATATATATACAGGTTTTTTTTATCGAACAGTACGAGTATTATAATTAGTTTAAATTATTGTATAATAATGGGAATAGTCTTTATCATATTACTTTATATATCAACAGTATTAGCAGCACAATTTATTTAATAAATGTATATGAGAAAATTAAAGCATGGAAATCTTCAAGAAAACTATCTATACGTATATATAAAAATGAATCCCTTTTTCCCTTGGTATCACGCGTATATGGTTAGACCGATTTCGCTACTTAAATTTTTTATTGTATTAGTTATTATTAGCAGAACTTTCTAATGCAAGAAAAAAAATACGAAAATTACTAGAAAAAAAAAAACAACTAGAATACATATTTCACTTCTTATGTGTATAAAATAATGTGTCACTGGCAGAAATATTCACGTAGTTGTCATTAAAACAAAGAAAAAATTAAAACAAATTTACATGGTCTTTGCAAATATATCGGTCGGAGTTGGTCTGTGTCCGGAGTTGTAATAAAAAATTAACTACATAATTCATTCACCATTTCTAAGTATACTTTTCACATTGGTTTCTACACTATAATTTGTAATGTGTGTAACAGATATTTCTTTACTATAGGGCGGTATAGTCCGTTAGACTTAAGCTGAGCTTTGCATTTGTGTGAGTGAAAGTAAAATTAGAGTGAGAAAAATCTTTTAAAAATTATATCGCATTATAATTTAAATAGATACATAACATAAGTTCGACCGCTATTCAAGATTAAAAATAAAATAAGCAAAACTTGTAAAAGGCCAGATGGAAATATTAAGTATGGAAAAAAATATTAAATTAATAAAATTTTTGAAAAAACTATAGAAATTCTTCTTCACATTGATATTGTTTTTTCATTTGATGTTTCTATCTGTATAAAGGGTGAAGTACGGAAGGTGCGGGCAGCGGGGTGGAGTAAAAGCAGTAAAAACCGGATCAAAACTAGAAAAGAACGTGGCATTCAAAAATTTAACATCACACCTACACTCAGTGCCGGTGTTAGGGGAGGGGGGGGGGGCGATTATTGGAGTTAGGATACTTATAAATGAAAAAAAAATTAAAAAAATAGGAGCTAAGAACTTTCTACGTCCACGTCGTTAGCTCTGGGTCACGCTAAGGGAAAGATGGAAGATGGAATATAGAATTCTTAATACGCGTTCAGTGTTGACATTGGTTCAGAAAAAAATTAATGCCTACTTAATTTTGATTTCTTCAAGTGGGCGCCAAAATATTCTTGCCCAGGGTGTCAGTCCCTCTAACGCCGGCACTGCCTACACTATCCGTGTGCACTCAACACAAATGCAAAGCTCAGCTTAAATCAAACGCACTATACAAAGTTCGCCGGGTCAGCTAGTTAAGTTATTACATTTTTTTTTGTGGCCGCTGAGTATATTATTAACAAACCTTTTATCCTTTGTTTGAAGTGAGATGATTATGTTTTTTATAATTAATAGTTTTAAAAGCACAAATCTGAATTGAAGACTTATCTGATATATTAAATCTAGAATGATATATTAAATGATATATGAAGATAGAATGTTATATTAAAACTAGACATATAAAGATTGTAGTGTGACTTAAATTTGGTTACGATGTTTTAATAATTTAAATTGTAAGTTACAAAATAAGTAATTTTATTACATGGTTCACAGAAAAAATACACCAAAGTTTGTGTCAATACAAAAGCAAACATCACATGACATTGGCGAAAACTACAAGGAAACGCCACTAAATAATGTAAGTAAAGAAGAAGAAAGCAAACACCAAATAAGTTTAATTAAATAGAATGTTATATTAATTCGAGTTATTTTATAACCGTTGGGTAGGAATGTACTACAAATAGCTAGTCTGCCATCCTGGTTCTTTCGTCATATTGGATCGTCGACGGTTTTACCTAACCACCAGAGATAATCTAAAGAAAAGTATATGCAACATTTTCAGGTCAATCGTTTGAAAATCTTCTGGAAAATTTATTGGAAGACTTTACCTTAATAAACATCTATGTATAAGTACGTACATGAACTGCAAGTTAAAAAAAACTATTTGAAGACACCTTCGTCTCAACCAATATAGATAGCAAATACCGGTTTTTCACGTTTCACAGACTGCTATGGACGGCCAGAAAATAAAGATCACGATGTGGAGTATTCCCAGATTAAATTTTAAAATTAATTTAAAATTGATAACATTATGAAAATGTTTTCCTTTAAAAATAAGTACATATAACACATAAAAAATGACAATAGCATAACATAGATAATAAAATAACGTTTTTTTTAATCTTCCAATGCACTCGACTCTCATCCATAATTATTAGCTATAAGTATAGGTATTATTAAAATGGCTGACTTAGTCACCTTTAAAAGAAATCAATATGACTCAAAATAATCATTGTTTTTGTTTTAAATAACGACATTGATTGATTACTATATACTTAAGTATTTAAATGTTATTATTAGGTCTCTGTCATAATACATATACTGTTCTATGTATATATATATTTCTTGATATGATATCCTTTTCTATCATAAGAATTAATAAGCAACAATATAAATATGTAGTTGCTTCTGTATGAAAACGACTACTTTATTTTGTTAATAAACCATTTCAAAGTGAAATATGTATTATTTGTTTAAATTTGTTTAAAGAGAAAGACAAAACAAAAGTTATGATTAGGTACTGGGTGGCGCAAAAGTACTGGCACTAAAGAAAATACTTTAATTTTTTTTACATGACATTTTCTGTCATTCTGTTGTTGAAAATTGTGTAGTGAACAAATGTAAAATACACTGAAAATAAACATGGACCGTTTTACTCCCCAAGAACGTGGAATAATTGTGTCAATGTTCTTACGGAATAATTCATCAGTGATAAGAATACAACGTGAATTTCGTCGACGATTTCCCCACCGTCCGGCACCGATTGGTCGCACAATTCGACGCTTTGCCACACGCCTTGAAGCAACTGTCTCAACATTGGATAGACCTAAGTCTGGGAGACCAAGAACAGGCCGTTCAGCTGAAAATATCGATGCTGTGCGCGAAGATGTGGAAGAGTGTCCAGAAACATCAACGAGGCGACGTGCCACGCAATTGGGCATTTCCAGACGGACCCTGCAGCGTATTTTGGTGAAAGACTTAAAGATGTTCCCGTATAAAACTCAAATGACTCATCAGCTGCTGCCTGCTGACCACCGAGCTCGTCTAGATTACTGCCAGCGCGTCATAAACCTCAACCTTGAAGAGGATGATTTTCCTTCAAAATTGGTTATGAGTGACGAAGCGCACTTCCATCTCTCAGGGCATGTCAATAAGCAGAATACTCGGTTCTGGGGCACTGATAATCCGCGCATTATTCAAGAAACACCTCTACACCCACTAAAAGTTACTGTATGGTGTGGCATCTGTGTTGACAGAGTGATCGGACCCTATTTTTTCGAAGACGCTGGAGGCAATGCGATAACTGTCACTGGAGAACGCTACAGAACCATGTTACGTGAGTTTTTGATACCCAGTTTGGACGAATTGGGGCTGGAGCACATCTGGTTTCAACAAGACGGCACTACGGCACACACAGCGCGCGACGCTATGGACTTAGTGAGGGACGCTTTTCCAGGCCGAGTTATCTCTCGTTTTGCCGATTTGCCTTGGCCTGCAAGATCACCCGATTTGACCAGTCCAGACTTCTTTCTTTGGGGTTTTTTGAAATCTCGGGTGTATGTGAACAAGCCACAGACTCTCGCAGCTCTAAAAGAAAACATTCGTCAAGAAATAACGAACATATCGCAGGAAGTGTTACGGCTAGTTATGCAAAATGTCATAAATAGGGCTCAAATGTGTATCAACTCTGGTGGTCACCATTTAAAAGACATCATCTTTAAATCCTAATGGTACGAAATTTAATGGCACAAATATACATTTAAAAAAACCTAAATCTAGTTTTCTCATTTAGAAAAAATGTTATAGCTGAAGCTGCTGAACCAAATAGGGTCTTTACTTTTGCGCCACCCAGTATATAGCTCTGGTTTATGGACCTATCACCTAGGGCAAATTTATTAGGGAAATACTTTATTACACATTTGTGTATGAAATGTCATTAACACTGTTAATATCTTTTTTCTTTTACTTTTTATCTTTTGATGAAACCATTATACAATAAAATATTAAAATGATTTAGTTGTGTTCCACCTTCAATTGTTGGCCAATTGATTATTGAATAATGGAATATTTTTTCATACGCCCAAATTTAAAGCAAGAAATGTACATATGTGATATGTATCATTTTTAAACTCACTAAAATTCAACCTAACCTTTTAGTGTAAACAAAGTATGGAAAACTAAAAGGAATCTGCCTTAAAAATTAAAGAAATAATATGCAGTGTAACAATTGGTAATTAAGGAATAAGAATACTATTAACGGTGATATAAACTATATTATTTCATATATTATTACACTTTTACATTATTTTATTTATATATTTCCTGATTTATTTATGTGATTACACACAATACACCCTCTGTCTAAGATTTTTATAAATTCGTCTGTATATTTTTATTAACTTATAAAAAGTAATAACGTATATGAGCAACTTCCGGCGTCGGGACGTGACGACCCCATCGCCCACTGGTGTATTCCGGTGCAATCAGTCACGGGGGGGAGGGCTGGGGGTACAGCCCTGGGAGTAAGACGGTCACGGATCTGGCAGGAGGCCGTCCGTGGCTGTCTTGGGGGGGAGGGGATACTCGGGTCTCTCCGGAGGCCTGAGTTCGCTTGTGGTCGGTCGGTTTCCTCTCTGTCTGCCGTCGGGCGCTTGCGCTCGTCGGTGGGTGGTTGGAGACTGGCCGCGTGGGCTTGGGTGGGAGGGGTAAGGGGTTAACCCTCTCGCGATTAAGCAAGCCCGCCAGGCGGGGGGACACTCCTGGTCACTTGGAGTGAGCCCTCGGGGGGGGGGAGGTGGCCGTTCGCGGCCCGCCGCCGGATCGTCGCGGATGCATGCTTCGGCGTTTCCCGTGGCGATCCACTTGGCGGCAACGGAGAGTGACCGCTGGTGTTTTAGTGGGTAACATGGGCCCTTCTGGCCGTGAATCCCACATAACCGCCTCTGTCTCCCCTAGACGGAGGGGTAGGTATAAAACCTTTCACCGCGATAACAAAAAAAAAAAAAAATATGAGCAACTATTGAAATTAGTCTGATACTGGACCTAGACTCGACTCTAAAAATTATTGATTTGCGTTTGTTTTTTCATGTTATGGATGTACTTACATGTTCTATCAGACCCTTTGACAGTTGGAACGAAGTTCCTTATTATTTAAAAGTAACTACCATATTATATTTGTCGTCAGTCGTGGCCGTTAAATTTTATTTTATTTAAAAGTTAATCCCGGATCGTGTCTCCTCCATTCTACATGACACAGGCAGAATATATTGTGCAGGTCTTTGCACGGATGAAGGCCATATTTAAAACAACCAACCATATTTGTCATAAAGAGTTGAAAATATCTGTTTAAAATAAAGGAAATGTATGGTTGAAAAAATATTAGAAGATCTGATGGAAAGAGGTATTAATTATTATATTTATTTAGTACTGTAACCGCGACTTTGTCTGCATGGAATGCAGGAATGGTGACTTTGGGCAGCATTTTATGTAGGTATGTCTTTGGATTATGTTTTACGATTTTATTATTCTTGTACGACCGATTGTTAATATCTGCGCAATATTCAGTTTTATTTATTTAAATGTTAAGTGATGATTTGTAAAGATTTAAATATAATTATTGTACAAATTAATGTCAGTTATTCTATATATAGAATATTTCTTAATAGTATTTAAGGTAAGCAAGACTTTTATACAAAATAATAATTAAGTTACCTAATATAATTGATTATAATGGCTGGTATAATTGATTATTGAAGATAGTCGTGGAAAATTGTGGAACATCTGTTACCATATTACAAAACTTTAAGATGTTTTTGGTTAGTACTGGAGACATATAGTATAATAAATCAAGATACAGGAAGAAACAAAAAAAATGTTAACTGAAGAAAACAATGTAAAAAGTATTTATCAAACTAAGCATGTGGTTAGATTGATAAATACTTTTTATTCGCCTTAACATAAAAATAATAACTTCAAAGATAATAATCATCAGGTTAAATAATGAAAAGTGTAAACTGTAAATGCGAGTTATAAAATATTTTGTTTACCAATAATGAGTGTAAGAAAGTATTTGTCTGTTTTCCTTGCCATATGTCCAATATATGAATATATTTTCACTTTAAATTTCTAGTGTGAAACCTTAAGGGACAGTTTTTTAAGTATCTGTTCGTTCTAAAGCCAAAGTCAAATGTCAACTTCATTATTTACATAGACATTTGAAAGCGAAGTGTTTGCATTTCGAAAAGGTTTCGTGATAAATTTATCGAATTATTATTTAACAAATATAATATGGGTAAGGACGATACTTCAACGAAAAAACGACGTAAATTAAATACTACTTCATCTAGCGATAATAACGCCAAGCAGACCCCGGTTGATATTTATAAGGTTAGTAACGCGGTCTTGTTTATTGCTTAAAAATATTCATTGAAATGTTTAATAACAATAAAATAACTCTCAGAAAGTCGTCGAATTCGAAGAAGCTGAGGCGCAGTTACGTTCAGCGGATAAGGATGCAGCGTTGTTTAAAAAGATATATCAAGATGTTCGCCAGATATTTGCTGAAATAGCTGAATTAAAACAAAAAGGCACTGATGAGGTATTTTTAAAATTTCATCTTGTAATTATTACTGAAACTTGTAAAACTAATCTTTAAAACTTTTGTTTGGTATTATAACTATAGTTTGTGTTTTAATCATAAGATTTTATTATAAGCTTGTATGTGTCCAGTGTTTATTAGTGCAAGAAACTTTTGATCAAATTGTAAATTACCATTTAAATGCTATGTGCTAAAACAACATATGCGAAATCACTTCAGCAATTGAGGCAATTAGTTATCAGAACTAAATAGTTTTTTTTAAATAATTATATCATAAACTTGTTTTTTTTCAGGCAAAAGAAAAAATCAATGTCAAAAGAGTAGAGGCATCATTGCATTTAGTAGCATTAAAAAAGTTGAATAGACTGGAAAAAGTTCGTACAAGAGCTGGGAGAGAGGCTCTGCACAAAGAAAAGCAGAGAGTTGATTCAACACATCTGCTCTTGCAAAATCTTCTATATGAAGCTGATCATCTTAATAAAGAAGTGACGAAATGCTTACAATTTAAATCAAAAGATGAAGAAATAGAATTAATACCACTGGAAGAATTTTACAAGGAAGCACCGAGTGAAATCTCTCGGCCGGTAATTATATGTGTTTCCAAGTTATCTAATTACAAAAGCTACTGCTATTACTCTCTAAAACATCATTTGAATCACTACTCAGTAATAGATATATATATTGTTTGTTATATTGTAACATTTCTGTCTTATAGGAAGTAACAAAAGCAGATGAGCATCAACTTCAATTGGCAAGGCTAGAGTGGGAATTACGTCAGCGTAGAGAACTTGCTGGGGCCTGTAGTGAATTGGTGGCTTCAAAGGAATGTGTAGCGGCAGCGATCGCTGCAGCACGATCGAGACTTGATGCTCTCTCACCACATTTGAAAGATGTGCTAAAGGCTACAAAACCGCTCCAAGAATGTCTAGCTCTAAGATTAGATGAAAAGCGAGATGAAATAAGAGCAGCATCACTTCTTCCTCCACCTTTATTTTTGCTGTATGCAAATGCTAGTGCATATTATGATGCTCTTGGTGCTAACAATGTTGTTGTTGGTGAGTTAAAATTATTTTTATTTCTTTATATATTTTGTCCATATTTATTTTTTCTAAGTCTGCCATTTTTTATATCATGAAAAGGATAGTGAAATAAATTACATATACAATTTTTAATACATGTGAAACTACATACATATAATAGGAATGTAAATCTTAAGAACCACTATTGTAGCAAGAGCATATTATATCATACAGTCATTATAGTAATTTCATCATATTGAGTTTTCTTTATGTGATTATTTATTTATATTATTTGATTAGAATCTTGAATTAGAAGTATATTTCATTATTTGAAGTACATATAAGGTTTACAAGTTGTTTGGGGTGTATCTTTATGTGTATTTTTTTATTAATTGAAGGAATATCTGGAGATGAAGATGAAGCAAAAAGATTGGATCAGCTCAGCAATGTTGAAAGTGAACTTGTAGTTTCAAATGATTCAGATTCTGATCAGGAAAATAACTACGAAGAACCAAGAGATAAGAAAAAGAGACACCACCGAGGAACAAAAATATCAAGAGAAGAGAAGGCTGAGGCCAAAAAGAAAGAAGTACTTAAAAAACATCCTCTTAATGTTAAACTGACTGTGAAAATATCAGAGGGGACTGCATTGAATCTTATATTCTCATACATGATTCATTTAAAAATTGTTGTGGTCAAATACACTTTAGAGCTGTCCTTACCTATAATAGGAGTTTCAGCTGCTGATGTGTTGAATGGAGATTGTATACTTAATGAACTTTACATTGGTGATAATGGCAATGACTCCCCACATCCAGCAACCTCCTATTTGCTTAATGCAGCTGGCATTGTGGAAGATTTTAATTATTTTATTCCTGAAGTTGGTAGACCTTACATATGGGCGCAGAGAATGTGCGGATTGGATTTCATGGCAGTGACGGGTGATGAAAAAAAGTCCAATATCATTCAGCCCAGTCAAAGTCTCAGTGTTGTCAGTGTTGAAAACTTTATTTTCACTCTCAAGAAAAGATTGAAATCGAGAGTGGAACTTATGAAAGAATTGCAAAATTTGGAAAGTGGTAAAATTATACCGGAAAAAAGTTTGGGATTTCCATTGAGACTATCAGGTTCGTTAATCCACTGGCAGTCAGTGGGATGGAATGAATACAGCCAGCCGACTTCAACATCATTTTTGATATCGGAAGGCCAAGTTAGTGCAGACTATATGTTGTACCGCGCTATAATCACAAGACAATCAGCTAAGCTTGTAGCATTCGTTGCTGTGAGTAGTGATTATCCTAAAAAGGCACCGCTGTTTTCATTGACATTAAATTGGAACGGTACACACACCGCGGGAACAAGTGATGATATAAGAGACATCGAAAGAATCATTAATACGAACTGGACTAATGATGGGAAAAAATCCACTCTAACCACACAGATGGAGAAGTTACTCACTTGTTTAGATATTCTTCTGGAGACCACAGGGTCATTAGAATTTCCTCCCGACAAAGTAATGTTTCAGCCAGTTAGAGGAAGAAATCGGATGAAACCTTACCGATTTATAAAACAAGGTACAGGCGTGTTTGTACAATATTAAAAATTGTGTTTGTACAATATTAAAAATTGTCATTATCTTAAGAAGAAATTATCTTAATAAAGCCTCATTCATATATAGATAGTTTTCATTTGTATCTCCTTCAATGAAACAAAACACTTGTTTGTTTTTATCATCATTAACTTCAGATACAAAACTTCAATTATAATAATCATGTTGAAAGTAAAATTAAAACAGTTGATATATATTACAACAGTCTTTATTTTTATTTGTGTATAGCATTGAACAATATCTTTGAAAAATAAACACATTATGGACATTATAATTTGGCAAACAAATGATTTGTTTTGAGTTAAAAAACACAAAACTGCATTATTATACTATATATTGGGAAATACTTAAAACAATTTGCAACTTAACCTAAAAATGCCGTATGGTTATTGGTCGATAATTAATGAGATCTCTATAGTATGTCAATATCGAGATAGTAGTTTCCTTAAGTTCACTTCGTTAACACTCTACATATTAGTAAGTTACATATCATGAGAGAGTGACAAGCCGTAGAACATACAATATGTATACTATTATTTTTTACATTATTAAATTATGATTTACAAGTCTCTAATGTGTAATTTGACTAAATGAATATTTTAAAACAATGTGCAGTGTCACATCTGTAATGTACTATATTTGTAAAATTACAACCATATCAGGGGAAGTAAGGTGTATATATATTATTTGGTTCATTTGAAGCAGTACCTACATTACACTACAATCTTCTAGGGGCGCTACGTGTACTACTGCTTGCAAGTAAACCTCTACACATACATAAAAAAATATAAGTCACTATTGCAATCTCTGGATATATGGATCGCCGAGGGGCAGCGATCTTGTTCTATATGAATACTACATTTATTGATATCGTACACTTATACCTTTTATACACTTTTTTAATAGTTTTATCACTGCAAGTCATTATCGATGAAACAAAATAAAATCACTTTTCGTGTCGCGACCTCGTGTACTTATTTCTATGTACGTCTTATATCATTATGAGATCCCAGCCTCTAACTTAACGTCCATAATTTTCCGCGGCCCCTTGAGGCAGTTGAGCCGCCGCTGGACTGCGTCTCTATCTGTTGAACAAAACATATACATATTACAATAAACTATATTAAAGATACTGCATTCCTCGTTACTTATTATAAGTAATAAACAATGTAATGAACTAATTTAATAATTTTTGATATGCCTAAATTGTTTATTTTAATGTCATTTTTTTATTATTACACTAGCTTTCCGCCAGCAGGAGTTCGGTTATATCGCGTTTCCAAGAGAACCTTTCAAAAGTCTGGGATAAAAACCCATGTTCTTTCTCAAGGGCAACTCTATCTCTGTACCAAATTTCATTAAAATCAGTTCAGTGGTTTAGGCGTGAAAGCCTAACAGACAGACAGAGTTACTTTCGCATTTATAATATTAGTAGGGATTTTGAATGCAGAGAAACGTCTATATAACATTTTAATTTAAATGTAACTACTATCCTCTTTAACGTACTTCCCTAGTTCATATAACTAAACAGATGATGGTTAGTGTAGTGTAGTCTATGTATACGATAGATATAATACACTGTCTCACGTACCCCACTGGAGGGGGTGGCATGCGTTCGGCAGTCTAACGACTAGCGTGGAGCAGAACGGGGACGTGCGTCGCTCTAGGCGGGGTAGTAGTGAGCCAGTGACTAGATATACTTACATGTAGGACTAGGGATCCTACAGCTAGTTAGTTAGTTAGTTAGTATATAGTACGTACACTTGGAGAGCGTGTTCCGGTGGTGCGGGTGCAGCGGGTGTCTCTGCACCAGCGAGTGCAGCAACACCTGCGCCGACATGTAGCGACGCTCACACTCCTTCACGTCACCGAACAACTCCTCGATGGCTGCCATCTGACACTACACACAAACACACACATCAATATATATCAAGTATAGAATTAATTTTATAAATAACTAGAAGACCCGGCGAACGTCGTATCGCCCTATAATCAATAAATATCTGTTACGTTTTTTATTTATATTTTTGGAGGTTACCTATTAAAGCCATAAATCTCCGTGTTTTGAAGTGCGACAGAATGATTGACATATTAGTTAGTTGTCAAATGTAATGTCAAAAAAAAAGTTTGTATCAACATTAGTAGTTGTTGAATTAATTAAATTAAAAATTTAAAAAATAATTAAATTAAAAATTAATTAAAAAAACATTGTCCAGCGGACGAAATTGTGAATCTAAACAATTCCTAGATCCCCTTGAACACACACAAAAAATTTCATATAAATCGGTCCAGTCGTTTGAGAGAAGTTCAGTGACGTACACACTCACAGAAGAATTATATAAAGATCGAATTAAAATTCAAACAGATTCAAAAATTGTAACGATACTTTTAGAAGGTTCTATTTTAGATGAATGTCAATGATTTTATATTGTATATGTATTTTCATTTGAATTTCAAATATAATCTTAACACAAATCATTCAAATAAAATTGTATTTCATGTACCTACATAATATAGAATACAGATAAACTGTAACGATACTTTCAGAAGGTTCTAATTTTGAATTCTACTCCTGTCATCGAATTTTTTCATTATGTTTTCTTTGTAAATTCAATTTTGAGATCAAAATCTGTTCAATCTTAAAGAAGCCGTTCAAGTATTACGTAAGCACTATAGAGGAGCGGTGGGGTCTTTGGTTAGATTATTTTGGATGACATAGGGTAGGGGAGTCTAGATGATGATTACGTCATCGGTAGTTATTTACTTTTTAATCGTCACATAGAGTAGATTCATAAAAAAATATAATTATCTTTTTTTCTGGATTAAAAAAACAATATAGTAATTAAAAATGTTTCCGTAAGCATGGGGGGGGGGGGGTAAATAATTATAATAAATACTTGACGGCCCCAAACACATAATCATACAAATTAAATGGTATTCCAAATAATGATCACAAATTCATATTGTATGAAAACTGTATTAAAAGTAATTTATAAGTTTTATATACAGGGTGACTGGTGAATTACTATCAATATTTAAGGAGCATACTCGGTACATGATTCTCATTCGAATTATGTAAAAAAAATAGGTACTTAATTTTTGACCAAATTTCCGTATAAATAAATAAAATGTGTACACGTTCCAATTGTTCCAAGTGTGGACGCGTGCGGCGGAGTGCTGATACAACAACACGCCGCGCGCGCGAGTGTGTGTGTGTGTGTGTATACCTAATCTGTAGGGTGTTCATACGATGCGTAATTAATTACATAACTTTTGGTTCACTTTACTCAGAAGTTTATTAATATTTATGTTATATTAATTTTTATTTTGTCATATATGATCGTCAAATATCACGTCCTCAAATATCGATAGTAATTCACCAGTCACCCTGTATAAGTCATATAGTTTACCAGTTCGATGGCGTGTTCGTAGAGTATTTTATCACAGACAGCGGGCGTCACGCCGGCCTCGTGCAGGCGACGCGACTCGTTCACGATCCATTTGTACTTGCCGTTCATTAACGCCACGACTGAAATATTAACATTATTATTACTAAAATCTCCTACTCACAGAGTTAAACAAACTACGAATTAATTGTATTTATCATAATAATATTTTACTATACAATATATATTTTTAATAATTAGTACTATAAATATATTATGTATGTATCTCATTATTCATTCATTCTGTTTATTTTTTATAAGAAATAAACTGCCTTTTAGTAGAACTTTAATTTTTAGCCGTTAGATTTGTCGATGATTTTTATCTTATGTATTGAATATACTTCTCAATAACGAAAGCTCATTCCTACTAAAATCCTCACCGTAATTTTTGACGAACTATTGAAACAATATCGTGCAACTTCTATTGGACATTATCGGTCAATAATGAACCTTAAGTGTATGTATAGTGTATCAGTCATTTTATATTGTGTAAGTCAGTGGTAGCCTAGTGGTTAAAGGCCCGCCTCTCAAGCACGAGGGCGCGGGTTCGATCCTGGCAAGTACCAATGTGATTTTTCCGAGTCACATGTACTTTCTAAGAGTATTAAGACATCACTGATTAATGCATTCCCAAAGCGGGTTGATGTCAGGCAGGCGGCCGGTCGTTTAAACAATTAGCCAAAACTATTCACAACATGTAAGGCAGACCCTGGCTAAGGCTGGGAAATTGCCAGGTAGAAGAAAAAGTTCTCTAACCGTTTCTAACTTGCGGTGTGGGTTGTAGCGTCCGTGACCTATAATGTGCTGCGGCGAGCCTCAAGCCGGCGGCTAGCGCCTGCATCGCTTGAACTAGTAGACCCAGGCGGACGCTTTCGTTACAACGCTCTGGAAATATAACACGAATATTAATATAAGTATGAGAAATATGTATAATAGTAACATAGAATTTAATTAGCTTAATAAAATAAAGGGCGTGTCCAGTGATGATAGAATAATTTTAATAACAACTTGCTTATTTTATACATTTGTCGAATAATTTAAGTATTATTTTAAATGCATATATAGATAAATAATTGACATATCAGTACAATATACACAATGTTACCATCACTTTTATCACAGTAGTTATGAACTTCATACACAGTGTTAAAAGTTTTTCGTTCACATAATAAGATTTTTTGTAATAAAAAGTTAGAAACTTGTATTAATAGACATATTTTTTTCTAATCCTTATTAAAAGTATATTATATACCGTCAGAAGTGTCCATTAGGGCCGCCAGCGGAGCCCCGCAGGACAGCGCCAGGTCGGACAAAAGCTCCGACAACATTAACACGAAGTTTAACTGAGAGAATACCTTACTGTGCTCCTCCTGGGAATAAACGAATATTGTATTAATGGAGTTATAAATTTAAAATACATCAGAGGAATATATAATGAAAAATTCACTGACACGCATAGGATTTATATCTGCATTCTCAAGTGTATTATTTTTGCTATATTATGTAGTCATATATTTATTTAAAGACTCAAGAGTCGTTATGAGACAAAAAAATACTTAAATGTTTGAAATGGACATTATATTTTAATTGGAATTATATTAAGATCGGAAGAAAAATATCATAATCATCCATTAAGATTGTGGAAAAAGATTATAAAAAAATAGCTATAGGCTGGAAATAGTTCTCTCAGATACCAGTTGTATCTTTATGTTGTTGTTATTTTTAGTATTAGTGTTGTTTTGTTACTAACAGCCAATATAGTCTCCTCCTGTAGATTAGGTATATACACAGGCGGATCGTGGTGCAGTTTGAGTCCTCTCAGCAGCGCGTCGGGCAACGCGCGCTTGGGAGACGACTCACCGCTAGCCTTCAACGCTAGGGACACCGGCGGAGACGAACCTATAACACATACATTATAATAAACAACTTTAATAATACTAATATTATAATTGCTAAAATTTGTGGGTGTGTGGTATAGTCAGTCAGTCAGTATATAGTCAGTGGTGGCCTAGTGGTTAAGGGGCTCGCCTCTCGTTACCGAGGGCGCGGGTTCAAACCTGGCAAGTACCAATGTGATTTTTCGGAGTTACATGTACTTTCTGAGAGTATTTAGACACCACTGACATACGGCGAAGGAAAACATCGTGAGGAAACCTGGACTTAGAGTTTCACAATTATAAGTTTGAAATCACCAACCCGTCTTGAGCAAGCGTGGTGATTAATGCTCAAACCTTCTCCATGTGAGAAAGAGGCCTTTGCTAAGCAGTGGGCTCTGATAGTCTGATGATGATGATGTGGGTGTGTGTGTATGTTTCTTACTTCTTCACACTCAAACGGCTGAAGCGATTTTGATAAAATTTTGTATAAAGGAAGCTGACGTCCAGGAATAACATATAGGCTACTTGACATACCGGAAATCCGCGGGTAACACCGCGGGGCGCAGCTGGTAATAGTATAGAATTTACTACGTGCCGTTTTATTTGAGGAATATTCGCGATCTTGGATCTCATTGAATATCAATTGTCAATCATTTTCATATGATTAAAGAACAGCATCTTTTCGGTTAGACATATATTAATTTGTCGTTATTTATCTTTATATTAATGTTATTGTATTTGTTATATATTTGATGTTTTACCTGATCGTCTGAGCGGGCTGGCGTTAGTAGGTGAGACTTGCCACAGCGAGGGGGGAGGGGAACTCCCTGAAGCACTTCGTCGACGAGTCGAAGGGGGAGTCCCCATAGTGAACGGAACCTATATATTATATGATATAGACATTGATATAGTAAAAAAAAAAATACAATATATAATGTAAACAAAGATTTTAAGATTAAAGCAATAATAACAAAATCTTATTTTATGTTTAAGAATTTCATAATGATGTATTTATAATAATAATTCTAATAACTTAGAAAATCAGTTTCACTGACAAGAAAACACAATGATTCTCACATATACAAAAACTTAGTACAACAATGAATTATAAATGATACACTATAATTACTCTTTATCTATTGTTTTATAGTGTTTGGATATTTTTTATATACAATGGAGTCAATGTGATGACGTCATTATATAACGTTATATACTATTACTACTACGTTACATTACTACGTGAACTCACAGTTGGCGGCGATAGTGAGCCAATGTTCGTGTTTCGATTGTGGTTAGAACGTAGCACGTCTATGGGCTGTGATCTTGGCACGGACGACGGCGCGATCAGGGGATTCTGTGTATACATGTTGGTTAGCAGGAACTACTGACTACTGTAGTTAGAACTACGTGGCTGATATATATTAATACATATGGAGTTCTTATTATACTGGTACATTAATATGAGGGTAGGTTGACAATTTGATATTATGGAGATATTATTAATACTTTTTTAATCATAATGAATGTTCATATCGATTGCTCTTGATGTTATATATTTAAATTTTTTGTCGAAAAGTCGAGATATATATACAAAGTATGGACAAATTTATACGATTTTAGCAAGATACGAATTATAATATGTATATGATGATGTATTTTCTTACTCTGGTCTGTGTGGGTGCGTGTGTGTGAGCCGGCCCGGCGGCGGGGCTTCGGTCCGAGGGCGGAGGCGCGGGGAGGGCGAGGGACCTCGGCCGGGGCGCAGCCTCGCTGGACCCGTTGGAGCAGGAGGAGCCGTGTGATGTATGTGATGTGTGTGATCCATCAGCGGAGCCGCTCTCAGCCTCCACAACCACGAAATCCTCAGCACCAGCCCACATTGTATCCGACGAATCAGCTGTAATATTAAATTAAATACATTAATAATATCAAAATATAAGCAACTCACCAATGATTAATATAAGTAAGTACTTCTTAAATTTTTTCTATTTTTAAATATTTTCACATATTAGTCAGTGGTGGCCTAATGGTTAGAGGGCCCGCCTCTCGTTGCCGAGGGCGCGGGTTCGATCCTGATCCTGGCAAGCACCAATGTGATTTTTCCGAGTCATATGTTCTTTCTAAGAATATTTAGACATCACTGATTAATTGATTAATGCTGGTACCCAAAAGAGGGTTGATGTCAGGCAGGCGACCGGTCGTAAAAAACAACTAGCCAAAACTATTCACAACATGTAAGGCAGACCCTGGCTGTACCCGGGAAATTGCCAGGTAGAAGAAGATTATTACTTGTCAATGTTTCGCGCGCTTTCCTTCTACGTGTTATATATTTAGTGTCTGTTATATAACATTCAGTATGGCGTGTTACAGACAGCTGTTCTGAATCGTTATTGTTCCAACAATGTTAACGGTCGCTCATTTTAAAAATACATTCAACATTCGCTTTGTCCTCTGACGTTTGTGTTGTTTATATTTTTGTAAATAAAATCAACTTTTTTCACGTCGTCTTGATGAGGACATTACCGTGTTACTTAAATAGTTTGTCGTTATGAGAACACATTGACTTCTTGTGAATTAGTTTTGATGGATATATTTTTATTTTACTTTGAAAGAGTGACAAATATCCATATTTGAATATTTAGTTTTGTTTTGGTCATAATCTAAATTGTAAGTCTAGTAATATTTCATTAATTAAATATACCTATTTTATAGCATATTCGTATTTATATGTTTTACGAGAAATAAATTTTGGAAATTTATTTATTACATTAATGTTATTTAAATGTATATTTCATCCAGTATGGGGTCTATAGCGTAGTTGGCAAAGCGACTTAGATCACCGAGTTAGTCGTAGGTTCGAAACCGCTAGTGTCGATGAATTTGAAATTTGATTTATTTATTTAGATCTTATCTCAAATCTTTATATACATGTGGCTTATATGTTAAACATATTAAATATGACAGTAGTTCTTTAATAATATTATCCTACCAATATTATAATTGCGAAAGTTTGTGTGTGTGTGTATGTTTGTTATTTCTTCACGCTTAAACGGCTGAACCGATTTTGATAAAATTTTGTATACAGGAAGCTGACATCCAGGAATAACACATAGGCTACTTTACAATCCGAAAATCCGCGGGGCGCAGCTAGTTAATAATAAAATCCTCTACCTGATGAAGTGGGCTGTTTTTTGGTTGTCTGATTGACGGGTTGTGGTTGCTGTCTGGTTTCGACCGTTGGTTGCGCCCCTGATAGTATTCCGATCTGAGGCAGCGTCGGTTGCGACATAGGAGCGCGGGCCACTGACGTCGTGGGTAACATACTGCTCGAACTTGTCTCTGAAATATTACACCACATATAGTACATATATAAATTAAACACTGCTTATAATACTAACGTGCTATATACTGCAGCATGTGTAAGCATTTTTTATCATTTCCATATACAGGGTGACTAGTGAATTACTATCAATATTGAAGGAGCATACTCGGTACATGATTCTCATTCGAATTATGTTAAAAAAATAGGTACTCAATTTTTGATCAAATTTCCGTATAAATAAATAAAGTGTGTACACGTTCCAAGTGTTCCAAGTGTGGACGCGGGTGGCGGCGTGCTGATACAACAACACGACTCCGCGTGCGTATGTGTGAGTGTGTGTATACCTAATCTGTAGGGTGTTCATACGATGCGTAATTAATTCCATAACTTTTGGTTAACTTTACTTAGAAGTTTATTAATATTTATGTTATATTAATTTTTATTTTGTCATATATGATCGTCAAATATCACGTCCTCAAATATCGATAGTAATTCACCAGTCACCCTGTATAATATGCTTTATACATTCATGATTCAAGATAAGTATGGAATATATTACGCTCTTATCTGGATGCTACGACCAGTGCATTGACATATATTAAGGAACCTTTCTTCCTTTTATACCTTTGATTTAAACACTTATTTTATATACATGGATGTAAATGTTACCGATATTCGAACGAGTTTGATGTTTTTAAATTAAACTACAGTGGACCCCCAGTAATCCGACATGTACATTTTAATTGAATTTTAATTATTTTATTAACTTTCCCTAATGTATGATTGTACAAGACAACTTGTATTCATCCCCACTACCACGCGTAGACACGTGTATGCTATGCTATTGTTTTGCTTCTTATTGGCTACTTTAAAATCGTCTGTATGTGATGAAAATAGTTGTGATTTGTCTTGAGTACATACATACAACAAATAGCATCTTATCAATCTATATGTAATTCGTGGAATCACAAGATAATCTTTTGTAAAAAATGCAGACTGTGGGGATCTTAGACTATAAGCATTCTATAGTCCAAAATCAAAATGTTTATCCGATTATCGTGGGTCCACTGTATATACAGTCGTAATTTGGGCATTCCATGAAGCATATAATTTATAATGCCAAGATAATCCTTTAATAATTTTGACAGTCTAAAACAAGTTAAATCCGTAAAAAAAACTCAATACATAAATGAAGTTTTTTCTATTCAATATAGTTGATATCACGACAACGATATGGCTATCGATATTTTTACTTATCAAGATAATACAATGCGGGTCAAGATCATAATACATACGACACACGTTTCAAAAGAAATCCTCTTAAAAATTAAATCCTTACAGAACCCGTATTAATCAAGCCATGCTATCAAGCTTATGTTAATTAATAATTATTATATGCGACATCGCTTTCCATCACAGCCCACCCCATGCATGAAGCGTATATATAAACTTATACCCTGATTTTCCCATGATTCTTCTAGTATACAGCCTATATCGCAGTCCAATATGTCATTGAGATCCGTGTCCAAACCTGAACAATTATGAACCTTAACCACATACACATAAGGTCTATGTTGTTTATTTTAATATTGTGGATATTGTTGTATAATTCTTTGATATTTCTCACTAGTCATTGTTAGTTATATTCATGATGAAGTAACTAATGTAATTGTAATTGTAAGGTCAGTACCCTAGCAGGAAATTATATTAAAAGTTACAGTTTTTTGTGGAGTGATATCACTTTAGATAGAAAAAGGTTCGAATATTTTTTGTTAACTTTTTTCATGATACATTGGAAGTACTTGATAATTAATATTATATATATTACAGACTATTTTCTTTACGTTAGCTAAACACAAAAACGTTAGAATATTTGATTACAAAAAAGTATTTAAGTAAATAAAAAACACACGTTAAGAAAAAAATATAACGACTTTTTAAATCTAACGATATTATTATAAAGTTAAATCAACATTTATATAATTCTCACGGAATTTTCCATCGCTCTAATGATACACGACGCCTTGGAACTACACAAGGTCCAGTAATAGAACATTTGGTACAATTTAGATCTCGAGGGAGTTGACAAAGGATCAAATCAATTGCCCTTAAAGGTCGACTTAAAATATTATATAATGTTTAAACTATAAACTCGGACTGACTATTAAAACAATGAATTTGTATTAAAAATATACTAGAAATATATGATAACACAATTGACATAAGGGTATTTTCCAATAACTAATTACAGTGTTAACAACTTTTTTAATAAATGATACTGGCAGATAACAGAGATCGGCATATTAACAAATAAAAAAAAAATCCTATATTTTGGATTTGGAATATTTTGTTTCCATATTTAAAAATAGAACGCATGAAGAAACGCCAACAAAAATAACAGCAATATTATAACATATCCAATTTTAAAAATGGAATTCATGATTTTCCAATGTATATTTTACAAGAAATTGTGACAGATGTCGAAAGCAGATACAATAGAAGTAAATGAATCACTCGGACATGATGTCGTCCAAAGTTACTTTGGTGAGCTATTTAGTTTATTTATCTACAAATGAATGTAAACTCTATGACGTACATAATAAGCATCATATTACTAAATACAACGCTCCCCTAACCGTGTTAAGCGTTTCGCATATTAATCGAAGTGAATCACTATGTAATTAATTTTAATTTAGATTAACTTTTAATGTCGGAGAAAACGTGTTATAAATGAAATGAAAATATAATATATTATATTATAGTTTCTAAGAACGTTTTTATAAGGAAAATGCTGCACTGGGACACATTATATTTTATCTTATAGTGTGTGAGAAAAAAAAGTAAGTCCCAGCGTAATATAAAAGACCAAAGAGCCAAGGTGAATAATTAAATTTAATTAAACTCACTAGTTATTGACGTGGTCCTCGGACGCTGAAGGAACGGATGGTTGAAGAACACCTCAAACGGCATCCTCTCTCTAGAATTCCGACGCAGGAGACCAATCAGAAGGTTGCAGAGCTCGGGGCTTGTACCGGACGGCATTCTGGAATAGCATCGAAACTTCTAGAATATACCTTCACAAAGAAATTGATTATAACATATGAACTAACGAAACGCGTTCGAAATTCAAATAATTTTTCATAAGATTTGAATTTGTTAGAAACGTTCGAAATTTAAATAATTTTTCATAAGATTTGAACTTGTGAGAAACGTTCGAAATTCGAATAATTTTTCATAAGATTTGAATTTGTGACAAACGTTCGAATTTCGAAATTCATTTATTTCATAACACAACAATTGTTTCATTTGTTGTATATTTTTTATTACTTATATTTATTTAGTATGGAAAATAACATGTTATAAAATGGTAATAACTAATATAGAATGATGTCATTATTGCATTGCTTGTGCGTTTTAATATATTTACTAGATAGAGGTGGCATAAAAAGTTATTGTGTTCTTGCTATGATTAACTTTTATGAGTAATCTTTAGTCTAAGTTTTTTCTAATTTGTATTAGAAATTCAAATATTAAGACGACTTAGTTTTGCTTCTCTTTGTGACAGATAATGAAACGTACTGTAAAAACGTAGTTTAATTTTGAAACATAATTAAAAAAACTAGATATTATTTCTTTTTGGGCAGTTACATTTTGGTTCATTTATAACGCATTAAGACAATAACAAAAGTTGTCTTGAAATTTGGTATGCACAAATGTTAAAGCCAACTTTATATATATATATAATCTGTTGCATATAAATAATAATATTATCATACATAGTGAAAGACGGCTTGCATTAGTCAGAACATTTCACAGTTACAGCGCGTGATTCTAATTTAGAAAGCTTCAAATGTTGATGTTTATACACGAGGGAACGCTGGATAAGTTATATTGAGAAGTTGCAGGTCCAGAACAAACAAACACACGACCTGTTGGAGGATATTTTGACCTGGATTAATATCTATATATAGATTAACTCTGTTATACATATTATTAACATATTCCCAAAGAGGGTTGATGTCAGGCAGGCCAAAACTTCACAAAATGTAAGGCAGACCCTGGCTAAATCTGGGAAATTGCCAGGATGAAGAAGACATTATTAACATATAACTCGAATAAAATCTCATAATATATTTAACAATAGCCATACACGAGTCCGGAATTACGGGCGAGAGTTAAAAAAAAACAACGTTCTTTGATGAAATCTATTCTGTTATCGTATTAATAGTTCGTTAGTAACGCTATAACTAACAAAAAAACTATTTGATTTATGTTTTAGAAATAGGGAAGTAATAACAACTTAAATTATTTGCCTACATATACAGGGTGACTGGTGAATTACTATCAATATTTAAGGAGCATACTCGGTACATGATTCTCATTCGAATTATGTAAAAAAAATAGGTACTTAATTTTTGACAAAATTTCCGTATAAATAAATAAAGTGTTGACACGTTCCAAGTGTTCCAAGTGTGGAGGCGTGCGGCGGCGTGCTGATACAACGCCGCCGCACTCGTATGTGTGAGTGTGGGTGTATGCCTAATCTGTAGGGTGTTCACGCGATGCGTAATTAATTACACAACTTTTGGTTAACTTTACTTAGAGGTTTATTAATATTTATGTTATATTAATTTTTATTTTGTTATATATGATCGTCACAAATCACGTCCTCAAATATTGATAGTAATTCACCAGTCAACCTGTATATAATATATTAATTTTTATATGAATGAAAAGCTTTTTTTTATATCTTAATTTCAACATCCATACATTATACATCCATCTCTCTCGCACCCAATGTATATAGTATCGCTATCCTTCTCTAACAGAGCGTTATATTTTTCATAGTATATGTGGGACACGGTCGCTACACAGAACGAGGAAGCTACTAAATTCTGACCACTTCACAGCCGACCTTGGTATAACTACGCAGCTCTGTTTATTTAGGAGAAAAAAACTGAATAAAAAAACTCAATTTTGCTGAAAGTATTATAAATATTAATATTATTATTATATAATGTATAGCGTTTATATATATAGTATGACCTCGATAGCATAGACAATGATACGAGCTTTTGTTGCAACATAATTTGTGGTTATAGTTGATTCATATAACAATCTGTTTGATTTAAATTATATACTTGATGTTGTGAAAGAAAACGTACTTTCAAATAATATTATATATAACCATACATTGATATCTCGTATGAAATAATCGATTTTATTTCAACCAATATAATAAAGGTATTTTATATTATGTATGAAATGTTCTTATAATCCTTAAGGGAACTCGATCAATGAAAAATTCATTATAAATACCTCAATACATTTTCTTCATACAATCATACATTTTACGAAACTAAGAACTTTTTTGTATATAATTCAGTAGTAAAACCTTTTTATTTTCATTTAAATTTTTTTAAAGCCACAGATTAACTAATCTCCAATCATATTACATTATACTTTAAAGTATATCAATCCAGTTGTATATTTTTTGTTATCCTACTGTATTATTTATATAATCTGTGGAGCAGTTATTTACAAGCACCATTAAAGTATTAATGACACCATGTATAAATCGTTGGACATTTATTTCCCCGTACCTTAAAGATCAATGTTTGATACTGTTAGTTATGTGAGAACAAATCTATTGTGTTAGAGTAATTATAATTAGTTCAATATTTCTAGGAAAAAGTAGCAAGCGATACTTTAGTAAGTAGCATTATTCTCATTTATGAAATTGTTAGTGATCATTTACAGATAAAAAAGAAAATTTTCCTATACATAGTAGGTATATATTATTTCTTTCTATATGTGTATGTCACTGAACTGCTCTTAAACGGCTGGACCGATTTGAATGTAATTTTTTTGTATACATTTGGTTGGATCCCCAGACAGTTTAGATTCACAAATCAGACAACAGATGCCGCTGTTACCTGTATCTAATGTATTTAAATATAGAAGCTTCAACCTCGCTTACTATATATTGTTTATACACTTCATATCTTAATTTTGTCGTTCAAACAGACGAAGTCAAGTACAAAAGCTAGTATATATTATATAGAGATGTATTCTACTCACTTTGGTTGTAAATCCACACTGTTCTCATAGAATGCCTTTAATTCGTGGGGCGTGGTCGCTTGGAAGGGCGCTTTACCAGTCAAGCACTGGTACACTATGGTACCTAAACTCCATAGATCAGCTTTGGCGTCGTACTTCAGAGACATTATCACTTCTGGCGCCTTTAAAAACATATAATGTTATACAGAATACTTTAATACAATATACAGAAAGATTCTTTTGAGTGAACAAACTATGTAAATGTGTTTTTTCTTAAGTGAAATGTTTTATCATTCAATATAGGGTCTGGACGAAAATATTCCCTTGAAGTCTTTCGAACATTGTATCAAACACAGCTTTTTTTTCTGGTGTAAGTATTAAAATGATTTAGCTTTATATGTAGTTGTGAAAAGTTATTTCATTGAAAATAAGTATTTGTAGTATCTTATGTCTTATTTAAGTACATAACATATGATATATAAACATAATTACCATATACATAGGAGATCCACAGAGTGTAACTGCCATGTTTCCTTCTTCTAGGAATCTTGCGAAACCGAAATCCGCTGTACAAAATATATTAACAATTATAAGCAAACCAGTGTGATAATACATGTATTATTATGAAAATATAATAAAATTTATATCAATCTTCGTATTTATTATAGTGCCTATAGAAAACTTCATCATAATCGGTTAAATAGTTTACTTTTAACCACAACTTTAATCACTTTAAATTAATTATGTTATGTCAGATGGTAATATATTTTTTAATTAAATATCATTTTAGTGGAAAACTAATTAATAAGACATAACAAGAGATAGAGAAAATGATTATATTGCAAGAATTGAAAACGTTTCTTTGGAATTTAATCAACTGTGGTGATAAAAGATCGAACATCTTCAAATAAAACAAATGATTTTTATCTATGTATAGAAAGAGATACAAATATATACAGAATTACTATAAAACAAAAAAAAAACAAAAAAAATTGAAAGTGTTTTTTAGATTTTAGAATAAAAATTATTTTCTATGTTAGATGCATTTAAATGTTCTTCTACATAAACTATGATATTAGCATTTAACTAGTCGTTTTTAATACATTATTACTTTACAGGCAATTTCATCTCATCTTCTTTTCTTCTGCATTTTTCTTGAAAGTAATTGAAACGTCGAATAAAATTGTTGAAAATAAAGACTTCAGCCAAAACATGCATGAACCAATATTATTGAAATGTGCAGCTACTATTGAAAATGTGCCACAACCTTAGGAGATCACTGAAAAACATTGCTTCTATTTTTCACTGAGTGGTTCTCGTTTTGGTTAGATTACAATGCTGCACACTTTACATTATTGTTATTGATTTTTATTTTGTTGTTTGTTTTGTAGTGGTGTAATCTTTTAACCAATAAAAGTTTATTATTATTATTAAAATGATGCACATACCAATTTTGAGAGTAATCTCAGTGGGATGTGGCGTCCTTGGCGGCATGACGTTGTGTGTGAGGAGTATGTTCTGCGGCTTGAGGTCCCTGTGAACTATGCCCTTGGCGTGGATAGCTCTCATCGCCTCAGCCAACTGACGTAGGAAAGTTCTGATAGTACCCTCGCTCAAGAGACGATTGGCTTGTAAGTAATCCGCCAGATCACCACCATTGCAGTACTATACATATAAAAGAATATAATATATTAGCTATACTGTGATTTTACTTGATTTTTCATTATAAATCTATAGTCAAAGTTCTGTATATAAAGACAAAAGTTATATGTAGTTTCGTGTTTATAATAAAAGTAGATGCATTCCTTTTATCATGATCACGAGTAAATTATATAAAAAATAATCCAAGTGCATTCCATTATTTACAAGCGTCTCATAAAACTCAAATATTCCAAATCCATTCTCAGTAGCTCTCAGCTTTGACAAATATAACACAATGTCAAATATATATATAAATGTATTATATAACGAAATGTGCAATATGTAATGTACTTAACGGTAATATAATTGATACATATACATGAAATACAATACTTCACAATAACGATTAGGAAACAATAAATGGTAAATCAAATATACTTGTCAGACGGTCGTTTTAAGACTAATACTATACAATTATAACCTCACTGTTAGAGGAGACGCACGTTTTGTTAAATTCTTTAATATTTTTATTGATTTTAGTATTTGTTCGTGAGTTTTTTCGTATTATTATCGGGGTTAGTGACGTCATAACTCGTTATCTGTAATTCATAGTAATATTGCTCAGAGCTGTTCTGGAGAACGCCAATGATGTATATTACACCTTCGATATACTATTTTTTCGCTGTTTATTCATAACGTTATCAATTCTGAATCGTGATAAGCTTCGCCATGCCGTAAGTAATCTTATCATTGAGTGATAGTTGTTATAAGTGTCAGTGAGTTAGTGTTCCACGGTCCGATGCTACTGGTACCTGTCTAGTTCAATACATCTGGTGCTATCTGAGAACAATTACAATGAACAACTGGCCCATGTACATAGTTTTAGTGGTGACCTTCGCGTAAGTACACATTTGTTACTCTTTTATTTTTTAGTTACACTTATACAGTGCGATAAGGAGATATCTACAATATAAAGGTTACATAAATTGTATTACAGCTGTTTAAAATGAATTATAATTTAATTTATATGAATATAATAATTTAACAAATATAAACCATTTAGGTTATTTTAACCAGCATGGTGTTAATTTGAAAATATTAAAGAACAAAATTAAACGTTCAAATTCCTAGACGTTGGTCAAATTGTGGTGTAAATATGTATAATATAAATATGACACGCAAATAACAAGACTGGTTATTGTTTAACGAATGTTTTTTCATAAAAACATGCTAAAATGAATATAAATATATGTCAGTTTAATTTCAAAAGAATTGAGATATAAAATAGAATCGTATTAAAAAGGTGTTATAATATCGTGATTACGATGCTCATAATACCTTATGACTTATCAAGTTTTGTTATCAAAGAGCACGTCAGTAATTCGCTGCTGTGATAAAACAAAAGATGTGAGTGTGATATTCATTTTGAATCAACATTAAATTTCAGGGTCGGCCACATATCAGCACAGAATGAAGACGAATTACACATACCCATGGAACCTGATAATCAATTTCCACCAGACCATTCAGAAGCAGACGGTCTCATAGAGGGTAGTGGGGATGGAGTGGTTGATGCACCAGAAGAAACTACTGATGAAGCTCATAGACTTAGTGCACAAGTACCGACACTACTGCATGATGATGAATCAGAGGCACAGTCAAATTCCTCGGATCTGCCATGTCCGAAACCTTGCGTGTGTCACACTGAAGGGGATGCTGAAGACTTCGTAGTTGATTGTTCAGGATATGGACTAACGGAATTCCCCTCACCCATAGATCCAAGGACGACCACTTTAAAATTACACAATAACAAACTCACCGAAATACCAAAATCAGTTTCTCAGCTTCAGAAGTTGAAAATTTTAAACGCCAACAATAATAGTATCATGGAATTAGGACTTGGGGTATGGAATTAATTATTATTGATTATTTTTCATTTTACTACAAGAATCTTTTCAATTGTTTGATAACATAGTTATTTGGTATAATATTTGCTAGTTTGTAGAAGAGTTATTTATTATGAAGTATAAACTGTAAATAACTATGTATATTTTATTTTCAGTCAGTCAGTGAACTACCTGAATTGGAGATTCTAAAGCTGGCCAACAATCGATTAATTGAATATCCAAAGGATTTAAAGAATAGTATCTCCTTAAATAAATTAAAGGAACTGGACATCGGTGGCAATGACATCCGAACGGTAAAGTGACAACCAATATTTAAATATTAATATCATAAACTTTCAGTAAAACCGGTGAACAATCCAATCAAAGAATATTTATGAAACTTTTTCCTTAATCGTTACAAAAATAACTTATTAAAATTTATTATTTCCAGGTCCTCTCTCCGGAATTATTTTCAAATTTCAAAAAGTTAAACAAAGTAACACTACCGGAGAGTGCTTCTGGTATAGCATTAGACCTGTGCACGTCTTTAATGGGGAGCTTGGAAACTGTGTGCACAGAATCATGTGCATCAAAAACATTCGACTGTCCTAACGCTCCACCAAGTATAGAAGAGGATCTTCTGGACGCGACATTGCCAGGCATGATTCCATTACCATCCGACAAAGACGATAGCAACAGCGACCCTGGTACGGAGTCTGATAACAGTAAGCCTGAACAATCTTCTATTGCTCCCCCATTGAAAGCAGCGAGCGATGACGACAAACCAAATGTACAAACTACAGTAGCAACTCCAGTTACTTCACCAGAAACGAAAGAGGAAACTACTGCGAGCAGTGGAAACTTACCAGCAAATGAATTCTCTCTCCGAAAAGCCGTTGACAATGCTTCAGAGGATAATGTAAAAGCAAATGCTGAAATTGAAAAACTGAACGAAGCTACTACAGCTCAGCCGGTTGTTAAGGTTGGAGCAGCCGTGGACAGTAAAAAATCCGGTGGAGTTGATAAAAGTGTTATAGGCATTATAGTCGCTGGTATGATTGTGATTGTAGCTATTGTTTCAATAAAGAAAAACTGGAGTTCCATTAAGAAGAGGTTCAGTTCGACGCCGAGACCTAATGAGAGGTCTGATGGAAATGCGAATGGCACAACACCTGAGGAAGTCCCATTACAAGATAAATCACCTGTTTAATGGGTCACAATGTAAAGTGAATGTAAATGAATGAATAAATTTTATACAAAATAAATGGATTCGATCTGACAAGTAAAGCTTTGAGCATAAATTGCATAGCGTTCGGTATAAACGATGTGTAAACAATTATCTTTATGTATTTTTAATTACGAGTCGGTCTAAAAGCATGTATGTTGTATGTGATTTATATTTTAAGATGTTCAAGTAGTATAAGTCTTTCTTAGATAGTTCTAATGTAAATATACCGTGTGGATAAATGATAATTATCGCTTTTCGTTTTGTACTAAATTATATTAAAAATTTCACAATAAAATCATGTTTGCATAACAAAGTGGTTTGTAATTTATATTTCAACATATGAAATTAAAGGTTTGGTTGTGTTTTAAAATGATAAGAGCACTAAGAAGTTTGAGGAATATTAATAGTGTCACATGATTACAACATATATAAAGAAGAAATATGGAAATTTAAAACATATTATTTTAAATTTTAATGTATTTTTAATAACTTCTTCAATTATTTTGACGTAAATGAGAGCAGAAGAAATATATGCTATAATAATACGATGAGTTGGATAGGCGAAAATTATAAAAAATTCTCTGTCAAGACAACAACATTTATGTTGAACAATAGTATTAATGTGGGTTAAACTACCTGTTTCCCACAGCCCCCTCCCGGAGGCGGATGTTATGTTTAAATGGAACAATATGACTATAAATTTTGTTTCTTTCGTGTTTCTCTTGTATAGTTAGTTGGAAATTACATTAATATAGGTGTCATAGAAATCTGTCACAAGTTTTTTGAGTGTGAAGATTAAGAAACGACTATAGAACAAACTTGAGTATATCTAAAGGCAAAATAAACTATTTCTTGACATACATTTATAGTTTATTGTGAGGAGCTTTTGTAAAAGGACACCTTAATGGTTCCACGAGCGTCCCATAAACTGATGAAATTACCTGACCATCAGATGAAATGACTACTTGGACCGTCGTTTGGAACCTTTCTATAGAATTGTTTCGTCTGTAGTAACAAAATGGATGAAAAATATACTGCAGGTCAGCTTGATACATAGCCAAATAGTCCAGAAAATATTAGATGAATTCGTTGAACCGATTTCATTTGTAAAGTTTTGTAATGTATCATATTCAATACCTTTAGACTTTAGAGTGTAATGGTCACTGTCATTCTATAGTATAATTTATTTAACTTCTTTGCACATGTACACAACTCACAAACAAAAGACGAGCTGAACGCTAAGATGCGTTTCATGCATATCTAGCAGGTAGCCTTAGGGAAACAAACAAAAAAAGGTTTAGGGCTATGTAAAAACTTGAAGCATACAGATGGGAAAATAAATGAAGGATAATGTGAATAAATGTATATCATTATAATACTAAATAAAATGACAAGATAAGGGAAGGGCGATAAAGATGAATATTTTTTTTTAAAGAAATGCTTCTTTACTTTGTATTTAATAGCTTTCTAATATCATAATATGAGATCACTTAATTTGTGGATATTCTTTTCGGCCGTTGTCGTGATATGCTAGACCGAGCAAGGGTCATCATCTTTATTTTATAAAGTATCATTCAATTTTAGGCTCTATTATTCATTTTTTAGTCGCATACGACGAACAAGTTTCCCCTAATATTATCACCATATCGGTGTGGTTTTAAACCTTTTTTTAATAAATACGTTCAGAGCACTTTATTAAAAAAAACACTCAAGTTTCGCATTGAACGATAAAACTTAGAAAGCATAAAAAATTAACTTATAATATGATCTCAATAACATGCCAGTTATATTATAAAAAATAAAACACTCGTCAGATATACAAAATCTTTTGTTTTGCTATAGAGACCTTACAGTACTTCCTTAATAATACCATCAATTATTGAATCCTTAAAGCCAATTGATACTTCCTATATAAATTATAATAAGAAGAAAAAAGTCTACATCGCGGTACAAACATATTTCTTCATACATATATATTTAAACGTTCAAAGTAAATAAATCGAAGGATTCTCAGAACGGGGTTGTTGACACAACAGTTGATATTCATATGTTCTGTTTACTACCGCTCGCTCGTCTTATAGTATGATAGATTACATTATTTATTTTGGTCACCGATTGTTTTGTATCGTGAGTAAATCATTCACTTCGTATAATGTAAGCCGAGATAAGTACGACTATTACCAATATCACTTATGTATCGAAGACATTCTATTTACTGTATAATTAAAATTAATTTTACTGTGTGTATGTGTACTTTAAAGCTATGTATTATGCGTAACGGATGCGTGCTTGAGTGACTTGACCACGACAACTTTGTGTTCCCGTTAGGCGACACAACGAGAACTGAGACCGTTCTATACTCTTTCATTTTACTGTCTTTAAAGCCTTTGTCAACTAACATAAAGAAGGGTTATTTTTTTGTATGCACATATGAAGGTTATTAACCTGACGTTAATAGATCTATGACCGACGTTTTGCGCATTATAGTATGATGGTGCAGATATTATGTATGTTTGTTTCTTTATCAAAATGTTTTAAGAAGGTCGGTGTCCTCATTTCAGGTTTGTTTTTAATGATAATAATAATTTTAATTATTTTTTATATATAAAAATATCCGTCCGTTTAAATGCTTTAAACGCTTCGACTGTTTAGATTAAGACCGTAACGTTACCAAACTCAAACTGTTTTATACAAAACGCCGTTACGTGTTGCCAACACAAAAATAATCTTTAACTAAAAAAAAGTTATTTGAAACAAACAGTTTATGAAAGTTCGAATTAAATTAATAGGCTAAAAACCTCATTGGTTGTAGAAAATAAAAAAAACAAAAATAGTTTCTCTTCTATCTGACTCAGATAAGATAATTCTAAAAGTGGCTAGTTAATGGTTGTATAGAAAGCTGAAATATAGTTTTTTCCGGTTGGTCACGTGTTTAAATCGTGTTTTAACGTGCGATCCGACGAGACTCGGACCTGACGCAATCTTACACGTTTATTAATACAGACTTCATACAGGTTATAATCATATCTACGATCCACAAACATTGAATATAGCCAACCACTGATACATTAAATACTACATATAAATAAGCATACGTTAATATAATAAAACTTTCATTCCACTCTCCCTTCCACAATCGATTAATATAATCATTTCAACAACAATAATTATGTAGGCTAGTGTGATTTATTAACATGAAATCTCAAATGCAATAAAAAAATCTTTATTTATAAATAAACCAATGAAAAATCTTAACATTTCATATTGTATTCAAAGTCTGTTATTCTGTGGAAGTTGTTTTAAAAACACAATGACTTGAGATCGGCATCATGCTTTCACCGGTGATAATTTCATTAAAATCGATTCAGACGCCCAGACGTGAGAGAGCAGCCTGTCAATATACTTATATACAGCTTTTAAATTATATATATATTCTATAATATTATAATACAATTCTCATAATACATGACATTCATGATGCATGCCAAATATAAAGTCTCATAGTTGTTGCATAAAACATGCATGACATTATGCATAGTAATAGTGTCAAGAGAACGTGTCTTTATATATAAATCAATTTGAACCCGTTACATTAAAGAAAATAGGTCTTCGTTAACAACGGAATAGGAACTAACTCGTTTTTCATTCTTATCAATAAACGGGTAAAAATAAAAAAAAATCATTTACTCATAATGAACTTCTGATAATATTGTTATATGAATAGAAATATTTATGAGAAATAAGATAATAATAACATAAAATATATTAGTTTTGATACATTACAATTATTTGTAGTAATAATTATAACATTTTTAATATATAAAAAGTGTATTTTCGAATTAAAAGACATCGGAAGAACAAAAAGAACCTTATAAAACATTTATACACAAGTCATTGTACTTTAAAAAACAAATAGGTTAAAGAAAATGAAAAAAAACAAAACATTTTAACATTCTCGATCGTTTCTATATACGCAGTTGATATATTACGCAAACATATAAAAATTATGTACATATGTACTACTGAGCTACAACTTACGAGTTACGACTCTATAGTGTAAAATAGTAAATAAAAATACTGTTTTGAAAACATTCCAGAACATTCTATATCCTATGTTTATATACAAAATATATTAGAATTACGACACGGCACATACAAACAATACCTGTTATATATTGTGCCACATTATGCCGATCTATTGGCACAAAATACCGTACAGTAGGTAGTGTTTGCATCGCAACTACCATCAAGTAGCGGTATTAGATTATAATTGCACTTTTTATTGTAGCTTCATGCGTTATAATCACAATGATTTTCATTTTTCTTTATAAATGTATAAAACTGTAATATTTTTATACATCTAGTATGTATTAATCACCGTAATGGTGTTATTATAAGGTAATTATAACGGAATGTTTGTTTGTACATAGAGTATATTTAACTAGTTTTTGCCTACGACTTTGTCCGCTTATATTTTAGAACTAAATAATGTACTATGTATGTATATACAGGGTGACTGGAGAATTACTATCGATACTTGAGGACGTGATATTTGACGATCATATATGACAAAATAAAAATTAATATAACATAAATATTAATAAACTTCTAAGTAAAGTTAACCAAAAGTTGTGTAATTAATTACGCATCGTGTGAACACCCTACAGATTAGGTATACACACACACACACACACACACACACTCGCGCGCGCGGCGTCGTGTTGTATCAGCACGCCGCCGCACGCGTCCACACTTGGAACACTTGGAACGTGTCCACAATTTATTTATTTATACGGAAATTTGGTCAAAAATTAAGTACCTATTTTTTTTACATAATTCGAATGAGAATCATGTACCGAGTATTCTCCTTAAATATTGATAGTAATTCACCAGTCACCCTGTATATGACTGACCGAGCGAACATTGTTCCTTATCGTAGCCATAGGCCGTAAATAACTAGATTTTAAACTTTATTTAGTTTTTTTTATCGAACTAGATGAAAAGTATCCTATGTCCTTCTCCCGGTTCTGAGTTATAAATTTATTTGTAACAAACACGACTTTCCTTCATATTTATACAGGGTGACTGGTGAATTACTATCGATATTTGAGGACGTGATATTTGACGATCATATATGACAAAATAAAAATTAATATAACATAAATATTAATAAACTTCTAAGTAAAGTTAACCAAAAGTTATGTAATTAATCACGCATCGTATGAACACCCTACAGATTAGGTATACACACACACACCCACATACGCGCGCGGCGGCGTGTTGTTGTATCAGCACGCCGCCGCACGCGTTCACACTTGGAACACTTGGAACGTGTACACACTTTATTTATTTATACGGAAATTTGTTCAAAAATTAAGTACCTATTTTTTTACATAATTCGAATGAGAATCATGTACCGAGTATGCTCCTTAAATATTGATAGTAATTCACCAGTCACCCTGTATATAGATGACACTATGACCGTTTTAATAAATAAAAACAAAATCATTTTGACATTCAAATTCATATACTATATGTATATGTAGAATGTGTAAATTATGTTAATTGTAATTTAATGAATCATTACAAAAATAACAAATTATGAATAAAACATTACATAAATAATACATATCGAATTATATACAAGTTTTTAAATTTCCAACTAAATTAAAGTAAAAAAAATAATTATACACGATAAAATATATATGGAAGAATGAAAAACTTTAAAATTATTCAGTCTATATATAAAATATACGTTTGGCAAGTCAGACTACATCCAGTAGTTCTTGTTTTTTTTCTATATTTACTCACAAAAACTACACAACTACACCTTGACATTCTATTAATGGTACGGCTTAAAATAAAATTATATTTTGGTGTGACGCAGCGTCAAAATCACTTATACATAATGTTACCACAGCAGGTCGAGATTCGAGACAATAGTTTATTTATTACTCAAAATATGCTCAGTATTTTGTTGGTTTAATAAAATTAATATAATCAAACATTGAAACGCGATACCACTAAATATCACTAGTTCAAGGACGATACGATATACCGATGTCAACATAACTCATAAAGGAACATGTGTCATATAGTCTTCATTACATAATAACAAAAAATACAAATAAATTCATACTTTATAACCATAGCAACAGATTATCTTCTATCTTCTATATATATAAAAATGGATTGCTGTTCCTTAGTCTCGCTAAAACTCGAGAACAGCTGAACGGATTTATCTTATCTTAGTCTTGAAATGTTTGTGGAGGTTCAGGGAAGGTATAAAAGCTGAAAAAATTGATTCATTACTGGGAAAACCATAAAAACAGCCCTTTTCTATTTCCCATACAAACGTTTTTTTTGACATTAGATTTGACAACTAACTAATATGTCAATCATTCTGTCGCACTTCAAAAAACGGATATTTATGGCTTACAGGTAAACTCCAAAAATATAAATAATAAAAAAACGTAATAGATATTTCTTGAATATAGGGCGATACGAAGTTCGCCAGGTCATCTAGTAATATAAAAAATTTAAGATCGCAATATTATACGAGACTGTTAGTTTCAATTAACTTTCCACGTGTTAAATACGCGTCTTATATCTACATGTACTGCGCTGTATTTATTTTGCGCATTCTACTTTCGCTGGACGGCTTTCGTTGAATGTAGATAGAATGAACATGAGCTTGTTGCTTTATTCGTTACGTGGATATAACGCACAGCATCCCACACGAGTATTTAGCACGTGCATGAGTTTATTATAAGATGCACACATTCGGTATAACGAATATGATTATTTGGTTGGAAATATATTCACGTATCTATATACAAGACTAAGTTTTAATATTGAATTATTCTCAAATGAATACTAATTTCGTTAAAAATGTCAATATTAATATGAATTAATCATAAAAATAAAATATATATTATTATGTAACGAAATTACTTAAGCAGTATATAAAACTGTAACAGACTGTTATATATTCTTTATTTTTATTATTTACTATTTAATTACTTATGCTAACCACGTGTCGTCTACCACGTGTTAATATGTACATATGAAAAACAGCATTTGTATTGTTATTTATATGATAAATAATATTTTATTATATAACAAATTTAATTCTACAGAATATTATTATTATTTTTTAAGTAAAAAACTTCCTCATTTTTTAAATCATACAATGAGATTTACTATTTTAGTCAATGCATAAACTCTACAATTAATTAAAATAATATTTTTATACTACGCGTATTTTATTATTTTAAAAACTACATACTACCAACGTTTCGGTTACTTTTCAGCAACCGTGATCACGAGCAGACGAGATGTGAATCTACAATTAATTTGTTTACGGTTCTTTGTTGACTAAATTTCGTATACCAATGAATAATTGTTTAAAATAGAGCTTCAACAATAATAAGAGATATAATTCAAATATAGTAATCTTTACGACATCCGTTTATGATTCGTATTTCTAAGCTTTATGTGTCAGTGGGTCGAAGGAGATCTGAGCAGAGGGCAAACAGTCCACTGACAATAATTTGATAACATAATAAATTCGCAGACAATTTATTTATCATTAGTCAGTTTAATTAGCATATCAATGACCTAATAAGGTGGAAATTAGTTAATGCGCATTATGATAGTAGTTTAATACAAGTTTGCATAATCACTACTGACTACATACGAGGCGTATTCCGTTTCCGAGTAATTAAGTTGATACTATAAAGTGGGCAGATTTTTTTTTAACTCTTCTTTAAGAGTCCTTTGACCGTATGCAACGGCTTAACTCAGACTTATAGTAAGCATATGTACCGTTAGACATTTTCTCGTTTTAAAATCTTTGATCTAAAAAATTATTGTAATTTGATGATTACAAGTGTAGCAAATTCTTTTAAATCATTGACCTGTTGTGGATTCTTCTTGTTTATTCTGGATACATACATTATACATCTACATACGATGTAGTTTAAAATTTTTGTAATATAAAACATATTCCATATAAAATGTATTAAAAAATAGTAAATTACGCTCAGCAAAGATGAGGGGTTATTCATCTGAGGGGCGGTAGCTACTTCTTTTGCTAAGTTTAATCCAGCTCTAACCTACATTGATATAATGCGTACATCATAAATGTAAAACTATTAAACGTTAAGTAAACGATAAGTTTAACGATATAAACTCGTGGTAGGAGTCCGTCTGTCCGTCTATATAAGGATGACTAAACAAACCAAGTACTTCGTTTTAGCCGAGCGCACGCTAACACCACGTGGACTTATTTGCACGAGTCTATTCGCTTCCTTATCTTTAATAATTTGAAACCAATAGACATATTTGTACCAGTATTATAATGTTTAATATCAGCGGCCTTGATGTCTATATTGAGATTTTAAATCTATTTAACATATAAAATTTTGTGAATACATATCATTATAACATAATTATATTTGTCTTGAAATTTAAAAATTTCCGTCTGTCTGTAACGAAGGCACGGAAACGTCTTTGTTATCAATCAGAGTCAATACGGCGTATAAATATAAATAGTATTGTGTGTATGTCTATGTACATAACCCAGCAATGTATTAAGAACGATATCCACTGACTGTTTTAGTGACCTCGCTTATATCATGATAGTGTCGACTCGCGAAGCACTCCAGACGAGGCTGACTATTAGATTATAAAAAAAGATAACAAGATATATACTATATGTAAATCTATTGACGTTTTTATATTAGATAAGAAATATATAGGTATTTATCACCGTACAATTATTATTCATTATTCAAGACTGTTACAAATAACATTAAATGTATGGTTAGAACAACGTCGTCACACTTTATTAATCTTCGCACATTATAATATTAATCTAGCTTATTGAATGATACGGCCAACGGTACGTAATGTGTCAATGAAAACATACAGTTTGCATACGCATTTTACATTTAGTTTAGTATGAATAATGTCTTAAAGTAGGCCGAATAACTATCTATAACGAAAAAAAAATACGCAAATATATGACTATATATGCTGCAGATTTTCAACGTTTCTTGACTGAACATAATATCGTCACAGTACTGGTAATGAAAACGCAATCTATATCAGAACGGATTAAGGGCAAGGCCAGTGGGTTACGGACGACACCTAATGCACACCTTAAATTACATTCAACATTTCCTGGTGATTGTTAAACGAAGCAACGAATTAAACAAAGCAGTGTGCCGTCATTGTGTGCTAATTCGCTGGTTCCGCTTTGATACTATGTATATCAGGAATACGTGATTTTTAAGTAAGCCTGCAATACTGTCCTATGTGTTAATAAATCAATAAATTGCATAACATCTCACATTGCGTTCCATGCGAAATGTTATTTGAATACAATGACTTATTCTACGCGGAATGATACTCGTTTAGGGTAATTGTCCTTATAGTGTATTCTACGCATATTATAGTGACGGCCCTGCATTTAATTTGTATGAGTCGAACTAGTTCAATAACTAGTTATAAGCAAATTTATCCATAAAACTATTGAGTAGTCTTTGTTTTAGTCAACTGTAATATAAAACACAAATCCATTCAATATTTCTTTGGTCGAAGAGAAACAATCAATACGTCGTTAGCGTCAACATTACTAGGAAATAAATTACATATTATATACATATAATATCAGGAAATACATAAGTGATGCTTACCTCCATAACGACGTACACATATGAAGGGCTGTCCATGCAGTCGTGCATAGCGACCAGGTTGGTGTGATGTAGGGCAGTCAGTTCTCGAAGGATCTTGATCTCCTTGACTAGGATCTCAGAAGCTTTCTGGATGCCCTTCTTTGTAACCACCTTAACGGCCACCGACTGCGATGGATTCTGGTCATACAAATATCATTATAAGACTTAAAAGACTTACTTCTCTCTATAAAGAGATATGTTTTTCATATAATATGATGAAGGCTTTTTACATTAGTTGTGAAAGTAGCATTGTGTAAGTGTTGCATTTAACACAGGTACATAATGTGAAACGTGGTTGAGATAATGTAGATTAAACGGTTATCAGACATTAAATGACACTTCCTATGTTTCATAACATACACGTGCCGCGGGATAATAATATTATTGAACTTTGATGTTACTCTCAGTACAGCTTTTACTTGATATATTTTTTCATTTTTCATACACAATTCTATGGACATATTGTATAGACGAAGTTATATAGTTTGGCTTATAAATTATATATACATATATATATTTTTATATATGTATGCATCTTGTTAGTCGTAGATAGTGTATAATTTAAACGTTCTACATTTTGTCTTTTATTCAGCTGCCTTACCTACACGTTTATATAACATCAATTTAAACTTTATTAAAATATAATTAAAATTATGTAAGCTCTTAGATACGAGAAATGTAATTGGTAGTGACGTCACTCCGTGGATTATGTTAGGCGTATTACGGAGGAAGTCCTATAATGTAATAAGTGATGATTAGTAAAACTACTGTTACAAGCTGGAATGATAAACGGTCGAAGAAAAAAAAACATTTGGAGGGAAACTTTGCTTATTGACGAATATTGCAAAATAAAAAAAATGCTAAATAGTCTAGATATAAAATATATACATCTAGTTGAGTATTAAAAGTACATTATCTTTGTCGTTCCAGTACAAAATTTTACGTACATGTATATAAGAAAAGAAATAATAGAAAATATTCCCTATTAAATTATTTGTAGTACATACGAGTTCGAGTTATTATTAATATCTATTAAAATAGCTAAACTGTACTGTCTAGACTATAATTATTTGGAATGAGGTATATTGTGAATGTGAAAGTATTTATTGACTTAAATAAATACTGGGATCTAGTTCTTTGTAATAATATTGTCTGCTTAATGTAATATAGACATATCGGTAGGATTCTTCATTCTTGGTGAGCTGGAATGCATGTGATGGTATATTTAGTGTACAGAAGTAAACTTCATTTGCTTATTTTACTAAGGGACGATGTGTGTAGACTAAGCTGCGCCGGCGCAGTGCTAACATTAGCCCGTTCTACATACCGAGCTCCACACTACACAGGCACAGATTGACCTGATTTCAACACGTGTCCCTGAGTTAGAACCATCGGAGCTAAATTATATGAATTATTAATTCAATATCTGAATATTTATTATGCTATGTGGGATGTGGCTTTATGTATATGATTTGTTTACATATGTATTATGAAATGTTTATGATATTTCGGTTCTCATAGCACGTGTCTATAATAATATGCCCTTGGAGTGCATGGCGCGTGTCGCATTATGCAGCGTCGCTTTGTCTTGCCGGTTTGATACAAAGCAATGAAACCGGACCGTAAACTGTTATATGATAAATATTATATGTTGTAAATACAACAAATTAGTACATATGTGTGTGTTACCTATGCATAAACTAGCAAACTATCAATGCAATTTGCATTTAAACGTAGACCGGTAATCATTTAAAATGTTATACGAAGTTTAGCGTCTAATAAATCTTTCAAATAAACGGTCTAGATCGCAAACTTCAAAGAACAAGTAAAGCCAAGAGAAAAATATAGTTTCACGTGTACATGACGACTGTAATAATTACACTTTCAAAATAAGGGAAGATACACACTTATTTTAATACGATAAATATTCCAACGCGGGTGTCGCCTTATTTTATTTATAGATTACGTATATATAAATATATATTTTTTAATTTTAACGTAAAACCAAAGTTTCAGCTATAGATTAATTTTACTTTCACAAGTTGTGGGGCAAGGAGAGCTTGCGATTGCATCAACTTATAAAATACCACGTGAATTGCTACAAGGAGTGGTTATAATATTACACGCTTTATATAAAGACACGCGTGTTACAGACCTACATACAGTTCGTACATTTAAACATAATAGCATATGACACGGCAGGTGCATACAAATGTTATAAAATTCTAAACTGCCATATGTAGAAGTGGAAATGAAATGCGGCATGTCAAGTCGGTTCATGTTAATGTATAATGGCTTCCAACATATAATTGCTTCTAGAAATAGTCATAATTACTAGAAAGAAAAAAAACATCATTTTATATGAGAATTATATGTACATTAACAATTCATCTATAAATATATATTATATATAAAGTAATATAGTATATGTTAATGTTTATGCAATATTAAATAATGAATAAGTAAGCTCGGTTGCTAGGTAAATCTATTGTATTGATAATATTTATCTAGTATTGTTTATAAACAATATATCTTATGTTTCTCATAGATATAATAAAAGTATAATTTACAACTCTATGAATTTATTCTTATGAAAATATTAATATCTGAAGAACAATGTATGAGAACTGTAATGTTTTTTTTATTTATGCTTGAATGTTATTATTATTACTTCATATCAGTATATAAAATAGTTATTTTTATTATGAGAATTGTATATTTATATATTCTTTAGGTTTTGGTCCAAACATAAATTTATAACACTTTTCTATATATATTTTTACTAAAGATATTATTAAAGATTTGTCACATATTTATAACAATGTAGTATAGAAAATCATGTACTTGTAAATTTATGCATTTTAATTTTTGTTTGCTTTAATTGTTTAATTAATATTTAATGATAATTTAAAACCCATATCAATGTGTTTTAAATACTGCAATTATATATATTTTTTGTTATTTATCATTCAAAATAGATAATTATTCAAAAACTAGACTGAAAAATAAAATAAGTTCAAATAATCTATAGAACTTGTTCTAAACAAATAAAGTAAATATTCCAAATGTTCTTACTGATAAACATGTTTTTAAATAAAATTATCAAATCATACCATATGACTTTGTTTACAAACAGATTCTAGCTTTCTATGAATTTACCTTCATTCATAAACATTTTTGTATCAAAATATATTTTTCTAGAAGATAAGATTACAGTTATTTGATAAGTAAACACATTAGAATATTATTATCATTTGATTTTAAAATTTTAATTAGTCTATTCACAATATAAATAGATGAAATATTTAAAATGTTAATGATCTCTAATTGACTGTTGCCAAACAAAGCTTTCAAAGTAAATATAGTTATGATTATAATTAACTTGTTATAAAATTAAATTTATATAAAAATTGGGTATAAATCACTTAAACTCAAGGATAAGTCAAAAGAACCACTGAATACAAGAGAAACTTCATACCTTATAATTAAAAGCATTACAATATATAACAAAACCCAAAATATTATCAAATAAAAGTTTTTGGTGTGCTCTTAATATGGAATATTATACATTATTTTCAAAACGTGATGAGTGACTTAAAAGTGTATTATTTTGACTTTACTTCTGAGCCAATTCACTATGACGTTTACAACACCCACGTACGAAATAAATCAATATCGCCCTAATGATCACTTCATACTTATTTTATAATAGAAATCGAGTTCAATATAAAGTGTTTATAAGACAAAAATAGTGGTTAGGAAATATTATCCTACCTTTCTTTTTCTTCCTTTGTACACCATTGCAAAGGCTCCATGTCCGATTATATCTTGTTTAGTGAATTCGTATTCACCAACCTGGATAACTTCCATTTTCATTAGAGCTTTTCCTTTAACCACTGACATTTTGAGTTTTTAAAAAAATAACACTTTTTAACTTCAAGACAAAGATCGATAATACTATTTTGGAAAACTCGATTATGGAACTTGACTAAGCGCTACATTCTGGTTTTGTGCTCCTAATCACTTCCTACAGATTCCCACATTTACTTTACTTTACACTATTGTACTTTTGATCCTTAATATAACATTTTTAATGTTCCAAAACACAACATTCAATGATCGCAAAACCTATAAAAGTGATTTTATTTTGTGTATGATGTTGTTTGATTTTATGAACTTGCAGACTAACATTGAGTTGCCATAGATCAAAATGTAGATAATAAAATGAATACAATAAAAAATAATTAATTATTTAGTAAAACGAATGATATTAAAACATAAGTTAATAATGTTTGATTTGAAAAAATAAAATAGATATACATATACGTAAAATCGAATATTAAAAATTAATGTTTCTGATCTAATGTAAGAGCGACATCTATTACTCACACCAAGTACTTGAACATGACAAATAATAATAATTCGTGGATGTCACGTCCAGGTAGTAATTCTTTTTTTACAGAGAATTACAAATTAAATTTACAGGCTATGGTTACCTCAAAACTATGTACGAATACTTCATAATTAAACCCAAAGCTTTTATAACCTAAATTAAAGCTACGCGATTTTTAAAGTATTCTAAGTTGGTATTTACTGATATCAACCAGTCAATATCAGAACTATTTATATCAGAAAAAAAAATAAAAGTTGAGAAGGTTGAAGTATTAGGTTAACAAAATTATTTCAGCTTCAAATGTCTATTATTTCAACTGTGAACCAGCCAAAGACACTTAAACATTATCTACAAAAAATATATGTATGACATAAACAAAAAGGTTTTTTTCTTTCAAAACATTTATTTATGACAAAAGCTTGTGAAACAAATAAAAAGTTTAGAAAACTTCTTAACTATTCCACATCAAAAAAGACATAACAATAATTATTGTTGCCTATGACTCTTTATGATGAATACAGAGCACACATAGTAGAGATGCTTTCCTGTTGGAGTAATTATCTCTTTTGATCTCCAAGATCTTCAATACTATCTTCGTCAATCTGAAATTATAAACATATTAAAGTTTACCATATAGATATACAACTTGTATGAACAGATTTTTAGTAAAATTTTATACCTCAGGCCATTTCTCTGGAATAACATCGAACAGGTCATCTTTGACATCACCTTGAATAACAATTTCATCATCACCGGTAACTGAAGACCCACATGCAAACTTGGTGCCAAAGAATTTTGCTGCTACCTTTAAGTCTATGTCTGAAAAATAAATATAATATATGAGTTATTTTGCTGTAATTAAATCTTGGTGGATGCAGGCGCTTAGAAGTTGATGAGAGAGGCCTAGGCATTGGACCTCACATGGCTGAAGTGATGATGATGAATTAAATCAATGAAAATTATTAGTGGTATGCAAAACATTTTTGGTATGATAACTAAAATTAAGGATTATTTACAATAATTCATAAGCAGTCATAATAAATAATGGAAATATGTGTAAATAAAAAATATTATGTAACAGACCACAATATAGTAAAACAATCTTCATGAACTACATCTCAAACACAGCATGAGAAAAACAGTATTTTATAATAATGAGTTGAATTTTAAGAATTAATAAAGATTTTATTATAATTTGCAAAATCTATAAGGGGAAATGTGAATTCAATTTAAAGCACAAGAGATAAACTAATGGCTGGCATCGGCATCTAAAGATACCATTATGAATTTCATTATCATAAACTCAATGTACATATCTAAACATTAATTTAACATATTTATAATGTTTTTTAAGCAAATACAATTGTTATACTTTACCAAATGTACTCAGTCCCGATACCACAGTAACTGATTTCTTTTTGCCGCGGGGGGCTCTAGATACTTGCACCAGTTTAGGAACATCTTCTTTTTTCTTTGATTTTAACATGCCCTTACCACCTCTTTTTTGTCTCTTCTTTTCTTCCTCACCACCGGCATTGTCATCCTCGTCTAAAATAAAAGAAATGTACAGTAACCTTACACTATCTTTTCGTCAGTGACGAATCACACTTACCTATCTTGACTTTTTCAAACTCAGTCGGAAGATTCTTTTCGAGCCATTGTTTGCATTTATCATATTCAGGATAATATTCGCAATACTCTATTGGCATCGAACAATTACCGCAATACTGTACTCTTATTGGGTAAGTAACTCCATCCCTAGGACCTAAAGAGAGATCTCTGTCCGCCATTATTTCAATATTTATGAATTAATAAGTCACTTTTGCATATTATTGTGCGATTATTAAAAGCATTAGATTATAGTTCTGTCTTTTTAATAAAATTGTATTGAATTATTTTTAAATTTCCAAAATATAACCAAATTCAATACGAACAGAAGTCTTTTCTCAAAATGACGACTACGGCATACTGTTCTGTCATTAAATGACACATGACAGCTTGTCTCCGCTGTCAAGTTTTCGTAAAACAAGAGAAAATAATGTCTGCTAAATTTGACATCACAGTCTCAAAATATTTCTTACATTTCTAATTCTAATAACTCGAAGCATATATTAAAATACTTAATCAAATAAATAAAAGCAAATAGTAAAGTAAAACTCGTATATTTTTTAAATTAAATATTCAGACTCTAACAATAAGTACTTATGAATCTGAGGTGTTTTTTTTCAGCAATAATTTAATATGTATCTAACAATATTATAGTATTGAAATCTTATAGGCTCTAGATATTGTTTATTATATTGATTTATATATTTTAATTTGTCATTTGTTTCAACATAATATTATTAGGTGGTAGAGCCTAGCTGTGGTCATGTTACTGCAACGCGAACATGGGCTGGCTCTACCGGAGATGTACCACCCTCTCACAGAAGATCGGCGTGAAGTAGCCTTAATGGGCTGCTTTTCCCTTTTCCCCCACTCTTTCCTCCCCTCTCTCTCTTTTCTCTCCCTTTTCCAAACTCTCCTTCCCCTCTTCCTTAATCAGGGTTGGCAACACACCCGCAAACTATGTTGCGAATGTCTATGGGCTACGGTACTACCTCCATTAGGTGGCCCGTCTGCTCGGTTGCCCCCTTTCGCATAAAAAAAGGATCATTAAAATAATCATTGTTTCAACTAAATTTAAAATGTTATAAGTTTCGGCTTTATTGATATATTGCCATTTATAAAGTTTTTTTTCACAATAAGTTATTATATTTTATTCAGTTTGTTGTCAAATATTTTTTAGAGGTGGTAGATCCTAGCTGTAGTACATTACTACAGCTCGAACATGGGCTGGCTCGATCGAGGAAGTACCACCCTCTCACAGAAGATCGGCGTGAAGTAGCCTTTAGAGGCTGCGTTTCAAACGATGAGTGAGAGAGCCGGTTGCCTTTTTCCTATACCCTTCCTTTCCTGATCAAGGTAGGCAACGTATCCGCAACATCTATTGTAGATGTCCATGGACTACGGTCATTGCTGCCCATCTAGTAGGGTGTCTGCTCGTTGCCACCTTTGATATAAAAAAATAAATAAAAAAAAACAAAAATGTTATATTCTCTAATTATGCAGTTTAATATTCAATAATTAAGGTCGTGAATATTTCAACATATAATTCTGAATATTAAATTATAATAACTTGTTTCCCAGACAATAATAAATGAAGATATTTTTGTTTTTTTTTTGTCAGTATAATCCCTACTTATATTATAAATGCGAAAGTAACTCTGTCTGTCTGTTAGTCTTTCTCGCCTAAACCACTGAACTGATTTTAATGAAATTTGGTACAGAGAGGGAATTGACCTTGAGAAAGAACATAGGATAGTTTTTATCCCAGACTTTTGAAAGGTTCTCTTGGAAACGTGATATAACAGAATTCCACGCGGGCGAAGTTGCGGGCGGAAAGCTAGTAATTAATAAAATAAGATATAATATTCATTAGGAATAATTATTTATTACGAAGATTTAAAATTATTACAAAGAACAGATGAAAATAGTTTTACTGAATTCATCTTATTCTTTTTAATAAAAAAATGTTTCGTAATATCTGAAAAACTTTCAAAGAAAGCCATGACAAATCCATTGAAATTAATGATATTTATTTTAATGATTGTTCAATAATTGTGGCGTAGGTATTAGGTATTTTCTTGTTTCAATTCTCAATCTATATCCTATATCTACTATTTCGGTCTAACGGTTATCTGTAATAACTTTGCACAGATGCAAAATAAATAAAATCTTAGACAATCTAAGACCCCTACGAGTAGAAATTGTAATGAATTGTTTCATCTTCTTCATATTGTTACTTGATATATAAATAATTATTGTGTTATACATCTATTCATATTTTATAGAAAAAATTGAGAAACTAACGAGTAACTATTTTGACAATGTCTTGAATAATCACCCGTTATTTATTCTATTAAAAAAATATATCTTTAAAATTAATGAGAATTATATATTTGTATAAAACAGTAGAAACGCGAAAACAAATTTCTAAGATCAAGGACTAGACTCTTCTCTTTTTTGGTACCCATTAATAATTAATTCACATGAACATCACCTCGATTAAATATTTTAAAAGGGGATAAGATATTAAGAATATATAACTAATCGTAATTATATTCCCTCAGTCATAATCGACTGTTGAAATAAAACACATTTTCTAATACGTAAAGTATTAATTTAATTATTAATATCAATACAAAATTCATATTATAAACTTTGGTACATCTCTGTGGGCAAAATAATATTCTATTGCTTTATTTTTATCTCAACATATAATAAAATAAAATAATGATAAATACGCATCTGGCAGTATCGAGTTATTAAATCTAATTACTTTTGGATATGAGAATAAGAAAGAAGGACCTTTTATTTGAAATAAGCCATTTAGAATACCAATCACATATTGGAAATAATTTAAATAGCAATAAAATTAAAGTACATTTAAAAATTAAAAAACAATTTTACTAATAATATTTTCTACAACCTCTAAACTTAACTCGTTATACAAGTTCGAATAATGTTGCCAGAAAAATAAACAATAAAAGAATCAGAACAATCTCTGGCCTCAACTATTACGTAAGTAGAATTAGCGATTCTAATTTTAAATTTATAAAGCTACTAAATAGTAGGATTTGTTGACGACCGTTTCTGGATTTATTGTAAATTTTTCTATGGCATTTAATTATCTAAAATCTACACAGAACTATTTACATGTTACTAAGAGGACATGATTTTTAGTTTTTTTTTTATTAATTAAACCAAAAAAATATTTGTCCAAATAATTTTTTTTTCCGATTTATTTTTACAGTTAAAAAATCGTAAGGTCGCTTACTATTAATTAATATTGATTTACCGCAGTATCAAAGTTAACAACCTACAATAACTTATTTTTTAATAAAAAAAGTTATAATGTTTTTCTAAAAACATATCTAAATTACAAATAAAAACGTTTCTAATCTATGAGTTATTTATTTTCTATACATCGATAATACTGTCATGTTTTTTATCGGAAGCTTTGAGTTTTTCTTGCATTTGTGTTAACATGTCTTGCATACGTCGTATCTGTAAAAAAATACTTATAAATATAAAAGTATTAGCAAAATCTTAAATACATGCACCTAAACAAAACAATGAAATTATGTTATCCATTCGCCATTCGGTTAATGTTTTAGGAAATGGTAATTGTAAAGTAATTTAAATGTCAAACAAATCATGTGAGTCTATTTACTATAAAACTGTCAAGTCACAACACTAGTTTTAGACTGCACATGCATCTACCGAGTAATCTATTACAATGAGTGTCTTTAATTTGTTAAATTTCGTTTACGATCTCGCCAATTGACCTGAATTATTATGATCTACTTATAACTTGTGTGGTCGAATTTCGTTCTTTTTTAAGTATTGATTTTTAAATGTGTTTTACATTTTTTATATAAAGAATTATGTAATACGCTAGTATTTGAAAGTATTGTAAATATTTACCGCCAATTCTTTTATGTTATCGTAATGAATGAATCCTAGGATTCAATTGTATGGCATAAACTCGATGTAATGATTAATAAAGATTTAGTTAAACTATTAAGAAGCATGCTTTATTATGTAATTATATTCACAAGGTACGTACGAGATCCGCGGTTGGTCTAAGTTTTATCAAAATAACATATTAAAGTTATTTAAAGTTTCATTTTACCTGTATTCCTAATTATATAAAAACTTTTTTGTTACTGTTAGAATAGACAACAGAGATTTTATTCATATTAATTATGTAATTAATAATGCTTGTTTTAAAAATATAGTGTTACCTCTTCATCTTTCTGTAGCAACAAACGATCTGTATCTGTGAATACGACTTCAGTGTTGTTGCCCATTGAATCTCTCTTCAGTTTTCTGGAATGAGAGAATCCTTGATAAAATAGATAACAAAAAGAAAATAATATTAAGTGTAATGATTTGTATCCTGTATTCAGAAATAATGTGACGTCACTAAAGTAACAGAACTTAAATTTTAAAAATAAAATATCTAACTATTAAGTATGAATTAACATTTCATTGATCATCAAATAAAAATCGTTACAATAATAAAGAAAAGGTTTTTTTTTAAATCCTTCTTACTTTTAGGTTTTGATTTTAAGTTTTGGGTCGATACTTTAGCGACACTCTTGGTTGCTTTATTCGCAATTCTTAATTGATAGGTATGTGTTTATTAAAAAATATATACTTAAAGGCCAGCAACTTCATCTATGATACAGCGATCAGAACTTAATCCAAGGAGTTTTCATAACTATCATTCCAGCCAATAATTTTGACAAACGATAACAACTCAATCGAAGGAGTTCTCATAGCTTTGTTTCCAGCCAGTAATTGTGACAAAAAAAAACTTTATTAGTTCGTTTAGTACCCTCTCTCTCGCATGGCGTGTTGCGATATTTGCGAAATGCATTGCGCGCGGAAGTTCTCGTAGTGGACATCCTGCGTCACGTCTTTTAGGTCCTGCATGTGAGTGGAGATCAACATCGTGCGTAGTTTAGTGAAGTCCGAATGCCGCGGGTTTTCCACTGTATGACAGAAAGCAAACATCATATATAATCATGAAAGACATTATTTGTATCGACCAAGCCTAAATGTGACTATTAATGTACATAAATTGTTTTATATACATTTTAAGGAACAAAATGGTCGTTATGACTAGGGATCTAAAAGAGCATTACATTGATTTATAGTAAATATTAGTGGATTAATTTTGGTGTGTGACAAGATAAAAGTAAATACATGTATAGTTTTCATCACTTTAACAAAATAAAGATTTTGGGTACGAGTTTTAATATTTGCGAATCAACATTGCTTGGTTTTTTAAGTTACGACTTCAGGAACTCCACTTTTGTTTTATAAACGAGTATCTATAACCTAATTTTTTATTTACTCTCATATTTCTTATGTTTTCCGCTGTTTTAAAATGAGTCGAAAAAAACAATGGCTCTGTATTTTGTACACATTGCTATTTTCTAGTCAAGGTGTAGATGATATAAAATAGATTATCAACAGTTTAGATTTATACAGTCGGTTTCCACTACAGTTTGAGAGAGCCGGTTGCCCTTTCAATTTTCCCACCCTTTCCTCTTCCTCACGCAAGGTTGACAACGCATCCGCAACCGACAACAACCCTTATGAGTCAGATATCCATGGGCGATGGTGACTATTTTTTTTTGGTGACGCTGGAAAAATGCTTCGCATACCACTCTACCCGGGGTGGGCAGTTGTTATTATGTGGCGCTTTAAACCTAGCCCCTTATTTTTAAAGCGCCCAGTCTACCCACTAAAAACAGCGTAATTCCTTCTCGTCACTAGGAAGGCCGTCACCAGGAAGGCCGTCTGCTCATTTGCCACCTTTGAAATAAACCTATACTCACCATCAACAATACCCCATGGATACTGCCTCCCTCGCACTCTCTTCCCCCCAACCTCCAACACAGTGTCAGATGCAACCACAGCGAATGGCGCAGCCGCCTTCAGCTCCCGATCCTGCTGTTTGAATTCTTCATCCTCATCACTATCACATTCAGGGAACTGGTATACCTTAGAAAAGGGTAACACGTCATAACATAATCGTTATTAACCAACTTTACTTCTAGATTAACGATTTTTAATGCAAAAGTATAGTATAGTATTCAAGATATTGTTTTTAGAAAGAACAAAACTCTTTCGTTTATTCAGTAATAAGTATAATAAATATTATAATTGCAAGAATTAATAGCAGTTTTAAAGCGTTTAATGCGTTAAGTTTCCTATGAAACTCACTTGTATCTGATGTTCGTCTAAATCATTAAGTATCCTAGTCTTGAGTCGTCTTATCTCGGCAGCTGTGAGGGAGTCAGCTTTGGCTATCACCACAACGATGTTTACTTTCCGATGAAGCCTCCTCATCATTTCTAAGTCCACTTGACGCAAACTGTGAACAATGATAAAAGCTAATAAATTATTTATTTATTTATTACAATGATGTTGGTATTTTTTACATATATATCTAAGTTTTCACAGTGTCTCATAATCCAATATTAATTTTTCCGTACACTGGAATTCATCGTCGTTAACTCACAATTACTTTGACATCTCAATACATTTATATTTTATACTTAAATATATTGGTTATTCAAAAATTTTTATGTAGGTAATGTCAAAATCAAATTAATGTTTTTTTTTATATAATAGATAACTCTTGATAATTATCTGTGTCACGTGTTTGTCATTTTTATAGATATATGTTGACATACATATTATACCCACTCAGTACTTTTCCAAGTAAATAGTTTTACTAAGTAATTTACCTTAATAGTAGATGCGTATGTAAGGTAATAATATATAAAAGGATGCATTATTTAGAAACAAAGGAGAAATCGTATTTGAAACATCGCGTGGTGTATTCAGACATCGAATCGGATATACAATTACGAAAGTATGTTAACAAAAACATAAAATTCGTTATAAAAATTTATAACATTTTAAATTTGAAGTTATGTAAGTAGCTATCGTTGAATTTTTGTATAAAAAAAGAAGTTCCTAAAATCTTTCAATACTAAATAAAAGTAAGTTCGTCCCTACGTTTCAATGAAAATAATAAATCCGTTTTATTATATTGCAATTGAAAATTAATAAGTATGATTATATTTATAATTATTTATTCAAAACAAAACATACTATTTATATGAAAGTTTACAATAAAAGAAATGTCAACTATTAACAACGCAGGAAGCAACTAGTTTAAAATAATTTCATCTGCAAATAAGAACAATAAGTGTTAATAAAAAGCGATCAACTCATGACTATATGAAATCATTGAGTAATAGTGCTCTCGTTGATTGAGTGATTGTTATTATATGTAGTTACTATGAATCAATACAAGTCCTAAACTAACTTATCTGATATTAACTGAACAATATTACTCGCACATTTAAAGCTGTGATGCAAATTAATAGAAGGAATCATTTACTTTTATACGACTTCCATGCATATTTAAACAAACAAACTTTACCATAGTTTGGTATAAGTTGTAACAATAATCATTTGTAGTTAAGAAAAGTTATAATGTAGAAGTAATTAAGAAAATGAAGTGGGTACAAAGAATATCAAATTAATAGGTTGATTGAACTACTAATCAAAGGATTGGAACATTTTTTCTGTTTTAATGTTTTCTTCCAATTACAATTTGGTGTCTTTAAAGCTAAAGTGGATACGCTTTTAATGAGATTATGCAATCACCACCAACAGTGGAATTACAGTCAAGCATTATCCAGTCGATTTAAAAGAAAACAATGCCCCTATCTTAAGGTTTATTGCGCTATCCAAGGACTAAACTACGGGAAGTAGCGTCGTCTTGATAACTATTAAAGAAATATTATCATCATAAGTCATACATTGAATGTGACATGTTGCGTTATTCACTACCCACGTGCGTCTGGACAGTCGCTGACCTAAGTCTCTTTTTAATTTAAATTGTAACAGAGTTCATGAGACACACCTTAGGTATCGTCCTAATACGAAAAAGCAAGACAATATTTTGAAAACATTTTTAATTGTATATCAAAATTAGATTTGTTTTCGCGAGTATTCATGTAGATGAAACTAATATTTTGAGATTACTACGTTTATTTTATTATTTTTAAAATCTATGTACTATATACTCTAGACGTTTCGATTACTTCGCAGCGACTGTGATCACGGTAGACTTGTCTGCTCATGTATTGTATTTGTATTGGAAAACTTATCCCTACTAATATTATAAATGCAAAAGTAACTCTATCTGTCTGTCTGTTACGCTTTCACGCCTAAACCACTGAACTGATTTTTATGAAATTTGGTGCAGAGATAGAGTTGACTTTAAGAAAGAACATAGGATAGTTTTTATCCCAGACTTTTGAAAGTTTCTCTTGGAAACGCCATATAACCGAACTCCACGCGGGCGAAGCGGCGGGTGGAAAGCTAGTATTATAAATGACCGTTATTTTCATAATTAGTTTCACATAATATCTCTTACATTTAAATGGATATGTACGTCTAAATATACGAATGATGTACATACATTCTATTATAAAGAGATATGAATATTCTGTGTCAAGTATGTTACCGAGTTACCTGTGTGCCCATGGTGGCACGAAGTAAAGGCAGCAGTGCACTCTGTTGTCCTGCATGTGACGTCTGTTGAGGCCGCTCTCATCAGTGAAGTATTGTCTGAACTGTTCATCAACGTACGCTGAACAGACCCTCCATGAATCCTCGCAGTTGATAGCGTCTCCAAACCCCGGCGTGTCAACTATAGTCAGTCGTAACTTCACTCCACGTTCTTCAATTTCCATCGTTTTCTTTTCGATAGTTGTTGTTTTTTCGATTCTATCTGTTATTACGTCATAATTATTTAATATAATTTCCAAAGAAATATATTAGGTAACGATTAAAAGTATTATGACGTAGAAATTAATTTTATAAGTCGACGCTTACAATGGATTTCTTATATTGTTCTAATTTTTTTAATAACTATATAGTTACTTGCTGGTGGTATTCATAACACAGCATGTTTTATAATAAAGAAATGATAAATATATTATTTCCATCCACAATGCTTTATCTGATGTTAATTTGTCAAATATAAAATATAGTTAAATTAAAATAGTTTTTTTGTTACCTTGGACGTCTGGTATTTTCCTATTTTTATAAAGATCTCCAAGAAATAAACTGTTTATTAGTGTGGACTTCCCGAGTCCGGACTCTCCGACCACCATCAAGGTGAAGTCGAACCCTCTTTTAACCGACTTGCGATGAACCTGCTCCGGCAGAGTCGCAAATCCTATATAATCGCGTTCCCCGCGATCGCGTTCTGTAACAAATAAGTATATTAAATAGGTAATAAATTATACTTCTAATGTCAATAAAATAAAATAATTGATTATTATATTATTAAATCTGTAGTAGGTGTATAAATAGAATGTATTCCTATTTGATAAATACGACTAAAACGGAAGCACGTTGATACCGAAGTCATCTTTTACATAAGAGTATTTGAATTGATTGCATCTTTAGACGTGAAAGCGATTTCATTGAATTGGCATGCAAATTGTGTTGCTCTTTTGTGACACAGGGCTTGATGTCTGCAGCCGAGTGGAACACTACAGGTTCCTCCAGTGTACTTGGGTACAAGCGTGCTCATACTGCCCATCGAGGGCAACGGGCGGAAGTTACGAACGTGCCCATCAAACTATTCTATACCGTCGTTACTATAAAGAATATATTTTCTAAAACTTTTCATATACAAATAGCTTGCAGCTATGATTGGAAATTTTTGAATGAAAAATAAAAAGCAGATGAATGCATCGCTTTTCTCCCACACTGGTTGTATTCAGACAATGGTCGCTTCATTTTTCTTTCCGAGATGCAAAAGATCTCAGATGTCAACACTATTGTTATTGAGAAACGTTTATATTTATTATAATGGGTTAATTTCAAACAATAATCAATATCAATAAACAGTTGACAAATCGGAATCATTTGTTTTAGTTTGCAAAAATATCCATATAATTACGTTACATAGGCAAACCTTTTGTTAAATAGATACATGAACATGTATATAGGTCAAGATTGTTTTACATATTAAACTTACGTATTTTGATGACGGTTTTAAGAGGTAAATTCATAATAGAATCCTGTTTAGTCGTCTCAGGATTCTTATCACAAATGTTTATATCAACAATTGCGTAGGATTCACTTTTCTCCATTATCTAATCTTACGGGATGTATGTTGTTTTTAAGTTAAACCTAAACCGGCATAATATTCGCGGGTTAATTTTAATTACACTGCTTGTTCAAGGTTAATATTTTATTAGTAGATCACGTTTATGGATGTGCGGAAATGAAGACGAGCGTACACGCCCGCGTCGTGAGCCACTGGCTTTGTAACTGCATGTACTAGTACATACACAGTACACTGTACAGCGTTCAATGTAGACAATCTGGAGACTAAAGATAATCAAAGTAACAAAGATTTATACAGAACTGGCATAACGACTGTGGTTTTCATCTAAAACTTTCGTTCTCTAAAAAATTCAACGTTGTACCTACATATAATGTATTGATTCATACTATGGGCGTTACCCTAAAATCTATACATTTTTCATCATGAATATTCGTACTGTTTTTTTTGTAGTGATTTTGACAGATCGACAACAATCTGGCAATATGTTTTTTAATGTACATAAATGATATTAAAAAAAACTGTTCCTTAAATTCTGTTTCGAAATCCGTTCTTACTCTTAATTTTTTTTTATATTTATTAGTTTAATTAGTTACGCTTGCTAAAAATATAAATATTATTTTACAACGATTTTAATTATTATTCTTCATTGTCGAACAAATGCTTCTTTTTAATGAAAATTATACATATGTATGTAGTTATTAAAAATAATTAAGAAAGCGTGGGAACAATTGAACTATGAATTCCTACAAGCTGAAAAAAGATATTACTTCATAGTTTCGTAACACAACACTAAACTCTATTAAAGTTTTCTTTCGAAATATTTATAGTCTTTAAATTAAGTACAAGGGTTAAGATTAAATAAAATATGTAGTACTATTTCATACATATTATAATTATATTCCTTTCAGACACAACTCAGTATAATTGTCCAATGTTAAGACGATAATTATACGCATACAAAACGTGTACTATCATTGTTTATGTGAATAGTTCTAAGCGCGCATCATACTTGTACTTACAAGACTCCATATATAATTATTTACATATAAGTATGTACATATATTTATATGTTGTTCGTATTACTTCTACCTATTATAGTTATACACCTATCTTTACATTGTTTTTGTATTGGTCTCTAAATCAAAGCGTTCGAATAATTTTAAGATACGGTGACTGCTTTCCACGGTTTAGTTCCGTTACTCATTAATATGCGTTCAACTAACTATGATAGGCTGATAAGTCAATGTATTTACTATTATTTTTGTTTGTGACTATGATTTTAAATAAAGGGAATAAATGCTGACATATAAATAAAAAACTTATGCAACTAATTAAATTGTGAATATTCTTTGTAAAACAATATAAGTATATTGTTTTCCCATAAAAAGTGTCTGTTGCTTTTGCGTATGAATTATATGAGACATTCTTATGTAAATAAATAGTAAAACCTAAGTTTTTTTTTGTATTTGTTTTAGTTATATTTGGCATTTATAATTGTATAATTTCTCTGATCTCAACCTACTGTAATATATTATCAATTTACGCACTTTTAAAACGTTTTTTTTATACACCTCCATTCATTCATAGCAAACTTGAGTTTTAAAATTGATTTCTTTATTTTAGACCAGGTTAACGAAATAACTTTATTACTTCCAGAAACGCTAAAGTTGTGTTATTATAATTCCGATATAAGTAAACATATGTATATTTTCATAATTTGTAAATAGTTTAAAAAAATCTATCAAATCTTTATCTTTCATATTATGTAACTTTTTATATAACAAACAAATAGTGGCCTTATGATATAAAAAACAACTTACCATTCATCATTGTGCTGTACGAATTATCTCCTTGCTTTAATGTGAGATAAAAATTAAGTGAAAATTATTATGAAATTTTCACGATGCATTTTTTCGCATTTCATAATATTTCTTTGGATATCTTAATAAATACATTTTCTCTATATTACAACGTATCAAACGATCTCTGTCATGTAAACATTCATTTAATAAGTTTGGCCAAAGCTTTTATTTCATATAAACGAGATCTCATCTCAATTCTCCATCCGTGTATCATAAATCAAGTGCACTGCTTCTATATTATGTCGACATATCTATACTAAACACCAAAAATCTACACTGAAACAATAAAACTATCGCGCGACACCTAAATAATATCACGATACTTAGCCTAATAAAATTGTATAATCTAAAATAGTAGAAAAAAAACGAAGTAAAATTAATCACATTGTTTGTGCGCCGTCCTGTGCGTGTGCGTTACGTAATGTGAGGGTTGGAGTTGGTTCACTGCTTACGAGGAGGGCTCGCGGGGAGGAGGGAAGCGGGATGAGGAGGGAGTCGGGAGGGGGGGCTGCGCGCTTTGGTTCCGTAGAATCTGTATGCGAATAGCCATCACATCAAGGGTTGACAGATCGATAAGGTGATCGGCTCTGCGCATGCGCGTTTCCCGGCGTCCCCGCTACTTTTGCATTTTCCCCAACTCCGTGCCCCAGATGCATAAAGGGCGATCTAATCAATTCAAGGTCAATACTTTGCTTACCCATGTTCGATAGTCACGGTCCTTTTATTAAATATAATATAGTTTTTATATCATATAAATCGATTCGAAATATGTAAAAAAAATTAATAATTTCTCCGAATTAATGGATTATATATAGTACAAGCTAGAGTTTGCAAAATTGTAATTCGGTAAAAATTCAGCGGATACTTAAATATTATTTTATATATAAGCTTTATTAAAAATAAGTATTGGTCGTCTTTGTAATATCACCGAATTTTAAACTTTTTGTTGTTTACTTTATACAGGGTGACTGGTGAATTACTATCAATATTTAAGGAGAATACTCGGTACATGATTCTCATTCGAATTATGTAAAAAAATAGGTACTTAATTTTTTACCAAATTTCCGTATAAATAAACACGTTCCAAGTGTTCCAAGTGTGGACGCGTGCGGCGGCGTGCTGATACAACACCTCGCCGCAACACGCGTGTGTGTGTGTGTGTGTGTGTGTGTATACCTAATCTGTAGGGAGTTCACACGATGCGTAATTAATTACATAACTTTTGGTTAACTTTACTTAGAAGTTTATTAATATTTATGTTATACTAGCTTTTGCCGCGACTCCGTCCGCGTGGAATAGTGACTTCCGGCAAATTTTTAGTTCTTCCCACATAGTTCCCGTTCTTGCGGGGTTTTCAGAATGGTCGAGTTCCCGTAGAATTTTCAGGATAAAACCTATGTTTTTTTTATTAACAATGAAGTACTCTTAACCAACAACATATTTATTTGTTTATTTGAATAAAGATTGATATTATTATGTTGATACAACTTAAACAAATTATTTCAACCAAATTAGGTACCATAAAAACGGTTTTTGTGAGTTAATCTTAAAAGATAGACATATAGTGTTGCGGACTGTTTTTTAGATCATTAAAAGAGCTATTATTCGTTGATACATATTTTTTGTGTATCTTGAACCGTTTTCACGGCGCACGCAATGGAAGGCTTCAAAGATGAAATAATTTCTCCCGTTTTTTACACATTTACCACTATATCTTTGCTCCTATTGATCGTAGTGTGATGTTGTATAGCTCACAGCCTTCCTCGATAATTGGACTATCCAACAAAAAAAGAATTATTCAATTCGAACCAGTAGTTTCTGAGATTAGCGCTTTCAAACAAACAAACAAACAAACAAACAAACAAACAAACAAACAAACTCTTCAGCTTTATAATATTAGTATAGATTAATTTTTATTTTGTCATATATGATCGTCAAATATCACGTCCTCAAATATCGATAGTAATTCACCAGTCACCCTGTATAAACAAAAATTTACGCAATTACATTTGTTTGTCTTTGTGTTTTTACTTAAATATATAACTAATCTATATCTTTTTGGTCAAAAAGATATCTTCAATAAGTTAATGGATGTGATATAGATTAATATATTAAAAATGAAAGAAAATTATTGTAAATTAGAACAGATGTGTTTAAGATTGATTTTGATTAGATAAGTGTGATAAGGGCTCTTAAAGGGAGTTTATAACATTAATAATTTAAACCATTGGAAGACGTAATAATCTTAATTCTAGTCTTCATACGTTACCGTTGAAGTCACTTGAATTTTTTCAGTTTTTTATACAAGTCAAACTATAAGACATCCTACCTAAGTAAGTAGTCACTATAGTTAATAGAGGTCAATATATAGGTGTCAAAATTACGATGCTAACCTTTTTGTTCTTAAATTAAGGTCTCCATACTACATGTCAGGAAAAATCTCAAAGGAATATGTTTTCGCATTTCGAACGGAAAAAGTGCTAAAGTGGATGCTAAATTATTCACTGTAATCCTATTTTAATTTCCAATCTATTTATAAATTCTTCAGATAAAATAACAAACCAATGAAACTTAAACATTAATTATATAGGTTTACGCACTGGAATTAAAACATCAATACTTCCATCAAAACTGCAAAATGCAAATGGCTAATATACCAATAGTCAGCTCATTACTAAAAAATAAAACAAATGTGTGTAAAAAGATAAATATTGTATGGTTCTAGCCAAAACCATGAACATTTTCATATTTAAAGTATTTACAATAATTTATTAACTTGTGTTCTTAGACATTTTAAATAATTAACAATCATTCCGATTTAAAGCAATTTTCCGTCTTTGTTTAATTGCTATTATTTAATTTTTAATTTGCATTAAGTAATTATAGTTTTAAAGCTATGTATGGTCCATAAAGACCATTTGGTAAGAACATTCTTTTACTGTATGCATTTTAATAGGTATACGAAGTTTTAAAGAGAATTAAGAAAAATATACTGACTTACAAAATAAATTCTGTATTTAAATTTAATCCAAGACCAACCGCTGAAAGTAAAAGTAAAAAAGATAAACTGTTCTTTTACTTTTTTTTACAGTAATTTTAACAAATTATAAAAAGTTTTTTTTTTCAATTTATGATTTCTTGTCATTGACAGACTGTGTCTGCTTTTTCTGTTAATTTTGTTAAAAATTGTGAGTGCATAATTTGTTTTAACAGAGAAATATTATTTAAATTAAAAAAACATACAAAGATTCCATAAGGTACAACGTATCTTTAAACCAGTGATTCTTATTATATAATTGTTGTAGAGTAAGGTTTACAAAAATCAGATTCAGTGAAACTCTTTACTTCTTTTTAAAGTCCGATAAATATTTGCATAAACTATGTAGTGAATACTTATGAAATTTTTCATTGTCATGAGACAAAACGATGTTCTTAGATCACATCTATAACGAGCATCTTGTTCACCCTGACTAAGCCGGTAGAAGTGGGATTGTTTTATCTATCGCCAAAAGTGATATTGTTAATATTTCTTGAATAATAATAGGTATTTATAAATTTGGTCCATTGATTAATTTAACAAATAATATAAAGATTAGTCACTGATTGGTTTCCAATTGGTTTTTGTATTATTTCGGAGATTGGTCCACCTACAGGTTCTTTGATCAATTGACATGTACTAGTCTTGAAACTCGTCGTTTATTTTATCCCCGTCCTACTTGATGAATAGGTTTGCTGACTGAATTGTTGACGAGTGTAGCAGTAGTTCGGCGTTTTGGTTTTCAGGTGGCTCATGTACTAGTTTGAGGACTGACTTGTGGACTGATCTTCATATTGGTCAGTTGAATTGCTAATAAACTTGTGTATGGATTAACCTGCATATCTCTCGGTATTTTTTTAACAATGGAAAGAATTCTGGTATATACATACAAGTGTAGGACATCAAATCAGAATCTAGAAGAACCTAAATCGTTATTCTTCCATAGCTCTTCCTTTCGTCCATAAATCATGTTTGTGTAGACAATAGATAAGGTAGCTCTAGCAAATCAGATTCAGATTAAATGATATGAACTGACAGCTTGATGCGACCTGAGTAATTTAAATGAAACTAATATTTCTGGATTCACTACGCGTTTTTTATTTTTGACTATAAACTACATACTCCCGACATTTCGGCTACTTTACAGAAACCGTGGTCACGGTATGGCTGCCTGTGGTAAACGCGTAGTAAATCCTAAAATATTAGTTTCATTTAAGTGAGTACTCGCAAAAATCTTAGATCTTACAACCTGACAAGAGCTATCGCGTTTCAATTGATGGGTAAATATTAGTTCATCCATTAATTTGTATAGGTAATAAAAATGTTGACCTTGACAAAATATTCCATGATTTTAATATGTATGAAGCCATAGCATAAAAAATTGAGAAGTGTAGGGAATAGTTATTTCTCCCCGAAAAAAAAAAGTTAATAGTTAATGTTTAATATTATACGAATGTAAAGGCTCACAATAAGTCCCTTTACGGCTAGAAAATTACTTACTACCACGATAATATTTTTTTATCACCGACCGGGACATTCAACTAACTGCATATGATTCAGAGATAAACTTTATTTGTATTTTTCACACAATTGGTGTCGTAAAATAATCAACTGAATAAATTGTTATTAACTGTTAAGTGTCTATCAATGTAAGGTTGCTTGAGTGATATGGAAGCTTAATAATCTTGCAGCCATTGTGTCATATGATTTTTTTTAATAAAAAAGAAAAACAAGAAAACATAATTGAGAAACACATCTCTTAAAATTATTAGAAAGAAGAGGTTTGGTTTGAAACGTCATTTAATTGATGTGGTTCAATAATTTTATTTATAGAACTAGAACAATATTTTTGAAAAGATTTATCATTTCATTTAATTAGAAATCCTACCATCCTGCATTTATACATTATGTAGTGTTATAATAATTAGGTATGTTAAAAGCAAACGCTACGACTTTTTAAATCATAATTTTTATGTATCGTTGTGCCTAACACTTGTCACCCGCCATAGAAGAGGCACATTATAGCGAATTCTTGTTGGGGAATGATAAAAAAGTACTCAGATATAATGTTTTCGACATTTCAGTCTATTTCTTTTTTTTTTATGCTCAGTGCGATTTCAGAGGAAATTCCTCTCGCGAATACAGACTATTTGGAATAAAATCTAAAAGATAATAGTATGAAGTTTTTCGACTCAGAAGTGAACAGGTATTTGAAAGATCAAGAATGTACAAGTAATTTCCCTAGTATTGCAGGCGTCCATAAGTTACAGTGACCGCAAACTAAAAGGCGGAGTGTACGTCTGTTTGTCACCGACGCGACGTGGGATATAAAATGATACATTGTATTAAAGTCTCTTATTTCCAATGGAAATAACGTAATTCTTGAAAATCGACCGTGTTTAATATTATTTGCTATCAGATAACTTTAAACAGGCATAAAGGCAGTGCTGGCCTAGTGGTTAAAAGGCCCGCCTCTCATGCATGAAGGCGCGGGTTCGATCCTGGCAAGTAAAATGTAACTTTTCCGAGTCATATGTACTTTCTAAGAGTATTTAGAC